GGCAAAATTCATAGAGAAGAGCAAGTTCTTTTCAACAATCTGCCCCCAATAGATAGCTTTTCTTGAAGGACCAGATGGATGACCCCAAGGTCATACCGCCACAACAACGGGGATGGGCCCGTGAGCGGGACTGACTGTACTTATTATCTTGAGACCTCTACAACCCTGCGATACAGAGGCTCTGGGAGGCGTGGTTTGCACTACTGAGGAGCTACCCCCCACGTTAAATACAATCAATCAATCAATCAATCAATCAATCGATGCGTGGTGGCTCAGCCAGTGACTCAATGTCAACATGGCACGTGACCAGTGGCACGGCTATCTCTAGTTGTAGAAGTTTTGGATCTTGAGAAGGATTGGTCGTATGCTCAGGGGGATTGCGTAGGTCAAGGCGTAGAGAAATGGTAGACGAAACGATGCGTGGCAGGGGCTTCATCTTGTCGTCACACCACTCCTTCAACTCTTCAAGCAAGGCTCGCGCAGAGTCATCAATTGTCACCGCATCTTCTGCCTCATACTTGCCAGCAATAGGTCGATCTGGCCCAGCTGTATTTCCAGTAGATCTTTTGGCAGGACCTCGTGTTTCCTTGTGTCGGTCATGATGCCCGTCTACCCGGGACAGCGACCCTGATGCGGTCGAGATGATAAGCTGGATCTGCCGAGCATTGTCGATCTGTGCCAGTCTTGGGGAGCCTTCTCAGCGAATGGGCGAGCTTTTGCATTCTCCGTCGTGGTCGAGTCTGTGATAATCTACGCTTGGATGCTAATTAAGGGCAGATGGATATGAGTCACGTGATTAGTGCATCAGCCACCCTGCCTGTCAACCAAGCCACGCCGCCCCTATTTCAACTTTGTAATTGCACCAGTCCCGTCGCAGCCCTTTTCAGCAACTGTTCGGCGTTGAAGAAGATTCTTCCAGCATGGCGAGTCCCTCACTGTCTGCGATCTATCTCACTTGGCGAATGACCACCTAATCCCGATCGTACCGCTCGCGGACTTCACATCGGCTGCGGCGACCATGGTGGTTCTCGCGCTGGGTCTATGCGAGTTGAAGGAGGCGCTGCCAGCATGCACTGCGTCGACGACATCTCACAGACCATGCTGTACGGGCACACAACCTGAGCCTTCAAGGCCGACGCAGCCAGAGACACTCGGAGCCTCGAGACGGTCAACCTCGACTACCCGCAGTCTATAACGGCGGGGGCCCCCCAATGGGACAACCCCCCCAATGGGACAGTTCCCACACCAAATATCACCATGTTCACTTATACATATCTCCATGACTAATGAAGCTGTAAATATTATAAATATTACGCTGGAATCCCCTTTCCTTGGTGTTTTCGTGATATGTAGGCTATTAAGTACCGCTTTCGTATTGATTAAATAGCGGTACCATGAACTTAAAGCATGCCTTGCTCCCACTAAAAGGTCTGGAAAACCAGCCTTGTCGCAGCCTTGCCGCTAAAATTTAGTAAGGGTAAAACTTCATTTTGTTATAACTTTTGTTATATACATAAGTTACTATAAGCAGCTATGCTTTACAGATTTAGAAAAAAAGACGAATATTCTCATTTAAACGGATATATCGTGCAATTATTCTCGGCTAAGTTATAAGGGTTGCAATATTGCGATTTTGGTGGGGGAACTGTCCCATTGGGGGGCTGTCCCATTCGGGGGGCTCCGCCGTTATTCATTGCGGCGACCGCGGTTCGGTTTTCGCCTTCAGGCCCTTCACCACCGGCTACCCACTATCAGAGGATGACACGTTTTACTTTTGTTGGTGTCCTTCTTTCCTTTTTTTCTTTCAGATTTGAGTTTTGAATGCGAGCGATTTGATCCAGCCACGAATCCACAAAAGAACGAAATGAGAAAGATTACTGCCAGAGGGTATGACAGGCTACGCCGGCCCCATTCGACTTGGGCCCCCGAGGCAGGAGCTTGATTCAGTAACTCCTCTCGCCCTCGGCAGTTTGTAATGCCTCCATCCCGCCTGCAAAAATTCATATTCAATCTTTCGGTATGTCGTCTTCATCGCCACAGCTTATTAATGTGGGTAGAGGGATAACTCAAGTGCTCGAAAGTTAAGTGGAAGGTTTAGGTTTCCTACCACATACTAAAGTCGGTTTCTGCAGGCCTAGATGCCGCCTCTTCGGAAAAGTGCTCACCATATCCTTTACAAACTTTAAAATCCAACGCCACATAAACTTAGGGGCCCATTTGCAGGCCAACTCACATAAATATCACCGCGCAAGGCAGTTCTTTCATCCTACTGAATACACCTCTCATTCCTCAGTATCTTCAAGGCCACCCCGTCCCCTAATCATTCACATAACCACCTAAACCAGGCGGTGTTCCAACCACAAGTGGCTGGAACAGCCCCCACACTCTGCCTTCTCCGCTGCAGCGTATCTTCGCAACAACCTGCTTCAACGGCGACCACAGACATATGCGAAGGCCTAATGGCCGGCGTGGCGTGTTGCTCTACTGCGAACGAAATCGTTTGTGAAATGTACGTGCCAGACTCCCGATAAGATGTAGCGGCTAACAAGGCATTCAGGTACCCTCGAGGCGGCGAGCTATTCAGCGACATACAGGCATACCTTCATCTGATCAACAGCAAATGTCCGATTCGGCTGTGCAGTGATGCTACCAGAGTTAATCTGGGTGGGCGCCTCATGATATACCAGTCACACGAAGGATCACATCACGCTCTTATGATGATGACTGCATTTCTCGGCTTTCTCATTGCCGTATCTCTGGGGGTGCTACCATCCGACCCCCCGAACCGGCACACCCCCACTACCGGCACAGCCAAACCCCGCCACCACCACCAAAAGACCCCCCTACTCACTTACACGCATTTGAGGCTGTATAGGGTCGAAAAAATCAGCAAAATTATCATTCTGTGGTGTTTTGGCTGCTCAATCGACGTATCTAGCCGGCGCCCGGATTGACCGCCCAGATCTAGTCATCTGGGCTTCTGCAACAGGGGCTTCTACAGCCTCCTCAGCGTCCGCAACCTCCTCGTCCTCCTCCACCCCGTCTTCAACAACCTCCGACTCTGAAGAAGAAGAAGAAGACTCTACAGCAACCGGAACTAACGGATTACCACCCTGGGCTAGTATTTCTACCATTATCATGAACTTTTTGTTGGGATTTAGTATCTTCTTCCTCTTCTTGGGCCGTAGCCGTTCCAGTTCAGCCTCCAGGGCCCTGATCTTCTGGTCTTTTATGGCCAGCTCCGTCTCCTGGTTCTCAAAGGCATGGGAGATCTTCCGGAACTTCAGCCGAGTGGCTGGGGATCGGTTCTTCCCGAAATCCCGGATTTGCCGGCTCGTGGTAGGGGTCTGTTGGTCCTCCGGCTCCGAGTCTTCCTGTTCTTCCGGCTCGGGGGTCTTCCGCTTGTCTTCTTGGATTTCTGGATGGTCTAGACACTTTTTGCGGCTAATTGGGTAGCACCCTGTTACTCGGAAGCCCGAGCGGATGTTTTTTTGGTGTAAACGCCATGTCCCTTGCCTTGCTATAACAGCGGATAAAGTTGATCTTGTTAACAGGAAAGGAATCAGTCAGAGAATTTAACTGGGTGAGGAATCTCTGGTAATAGGACTTGAGGGCGTTATAGGGGCCGTTATCCAGTGGTTGCATTCCATGGCTGGTATGTGCTGGGAAAAAGCATAGCAAGATGTTGGCAAAATAACACCGCATCATAAATTCGTCCTTTCTACAGTCAGTTGCTGTTTAAATCAGAATAAATTAAATAACCAGTAAATAAAATAGAAAAAATTGGTGTACGTACGGAGGTATGGCTACCATGGCCATCTAGGATCAAAAGGACTGGTTCCCACTGCTCCTGGCCACGAATTTCATCTACTTGTGGTATGAAAACGTGCTCAAGCCACTGGCAGGCGATATCGTTACTGGTCCAGCCGTTTTCTGACGTTATATAGTACCAGTCGGCTATCTTCTGGAATTCCTCGAGGAACCACTGCGCTTGAAGATCTTTTCCCTTGAAAATCAAGCCTGGTTTGAGTACTCTACCGGTAGCTGAAATGGTCTCGATGAAAGATGTCCACGAGCGGCCCTGGGGGCTCTTTAGGAAAGCTTTCCTCGTCTCAGAACTTCCCAGAACTAGGGAATCGATGCCTATAAGGGTAGTTAGTTGACTATGAGGGTAGGGGGCTCGAAAGAGTTACCAAAACCCGACATGATGCCGCCCTTATCGACATTGTACGTATTTTCTGGCTTCACCCAGCCGTAGTCCTCCAAGATGTTGAAGAACCAGTTCACAGACTTAGGGGTAAACCCCTTAAACCGAGCGGATTCCATTCGCTTGCCGATTTTAGTCTGAATGGTAGGGTTGCGTCGTTTAAAGCTGTCCATATAGTGGTTCCCAAGTGGTGCGAAATCCCCCTTTCTTTTTAGGAGTTCTACCACAATTTCCCTGACGGCTGAGTGAGAAGGGGCAAGCCCCAAAGTCTCCTGGCGCAATATCCAGGCTGCTACCTTGCTTTCTTGCTCGGGAGAAATTCTCTGCTCGGTGGTGTGAGCCTCCGTTTTAGTCCCTCTCCCCCTTATGCGTGCTGACAGCGTGCTGGCCGGGACGCCGTATTTTTGGCTGGATTTTCTCACGGACATGCCATTATCTGTGACGTCTAGGTAGGCATCCACCACATCATCCTCTGTATACGTGGGCGGAGGCATCGTGGCTGGCTTCAGGATGCTGTGGTGCATGAGGGACAGGGGCTCACAGAGAGAATTCTACAGCAAATTTGCATTTAAGGGCGGGGCACAGAGGCTGCTAAATGCCGATACCGATGGCCCAGCAATTAAATAATCTACATTCCGCTAAACACCAAGAAAAGGGCTATCTAACCATCTAAAGAAAGTCTAGATACCCTCAAAAAGGGCTGTAATCCGTGTAAGTGAGTAAGGGGACTTTTGGTGGTGATTGTGGGGTTTGGCTGTGCCGGTTGGGGGGGTGTGCCGGTTCGGGGGGTCGGATGGTATTACGACAATGGAAGTACTACGACTGGCTGCAGCGGCAACGACACGACTGGCTAAGAGTTCATCACTATGCTCTACCGACTCAGGCAGAGCTGCATAGTCAGACAGAGGCTCAGGCGGAGGCAGGTGAAAAGCTTGACTCTCTCCACCAGGCTGTTGTCAGAATACATCTACGCATGGACACGGAGCTGCGTTCCGCTCTCAACGAAACTGAGTGGAGGATGGGAGCGCAGGTCAACCGAGCGTGTCGCAAGCTACAAAATCAGAACGATGCTCATCAAACAGAGATCCGACGCCTGTGGGCACTTGTCGACACCCCGGCCAAATTCCCTCGATTCCTCGAACTGTCACGAGAACTTCGAGACATGATCTGGGAATTAGCGACCCCGGGCAGGACCATCGTCGTTGGGCAATACCACTTGACATATTTGCCTCCGGTCACAGCTCAGGTCAATCGGGAGTCGAGATCTGTTGCGTGCCGTCGCGGGAAGCTGCTGCAATTGGCAGGGACAAGCATGGTTCCCGCCCACGGAGGCAGCGTCGCACGGCGGAACATTCGACGGCGCTGGTTCGATCCTTCTAGGGATACCCTTCTCCTGCCCGCTCAGCTTCAACCTCATGTCGAGGTATATCGCGAATTCTTCAAGGTGGCCCAGCATGTCGGAACTATGAGTGATGCCCAGTTGGTCAAAGATGATGTTGCCGCGTGATCTGTTCGACCCGCGGCTCTTCCCGTGCCTCAAGTCCGTCGATGTCGCAATGGCGTTCTGCGAAGCGGCGGGGCGAAGCGACATCCTGCTGGAGGTGCGACTCTTTGGGCTAGAACGCCAAAGGTGTATCACCGTCGATACCGAAGACGATGCCGCCATCGAGAGACTACTGCGCAGATTGGGAAATGACTACGATTCGGCCTGCTTGGATATAGTCGCAGTCGGTCTTCGGGGTTTAGGAAAGCTCAATGTCACAGGACCCGAAATGATCGCCTGGGTTAAAGACAAGTATGTCTCGGACGATAGACCAGGCCGACCGAACCTTGCGGTGATCCTGGAAGATATGCCCATCTTTCGCAGCGTTGCTCTACTTTTTAGAGAACGCTGGGGAGAGCAAGAGATGTAACCAACTTCGTGGATCGTCGCTCTAGGGGTTTACCATGTCACGGCCTGGGCGCCCTCGCGTGGGACGCTTGGGTCATCCTGTTGATTGTTACGTCCCCTATATTACAGTAATAAATGCCCATCATATGGCTTGCAGCTTACTGCAGTTGACCTCGAGGGACCATATTCTACACGTGCAGCTGGGAACAGCACAACTGGAAGACACGTCTAATGCTGGTCAGAACGATAGGCTGTAGCCAGCACGTACGCCCTGAAACTATGACGCCGCTTCTTCGCTCTTCTGACATAGCTATGAAAGCATGATAAGATCCCCCATTTCTGTCAGGCTAAGGTTAAGAGTTCCTGAAACTAAACGCAAGGGAGGAAGTTGACGAATCCTTGGGGCCCAGGATGTGGAGGACTTACCGGGTTAGGCTCTAGGATTCAGCTGGAAAGATTTATAAATAAGCCTTCATTTCTATTCTTATCCATTAAGAATCCTGAGATGATCCGGGCCGGAGCTAGCCGGAAGTCGGGTAGAGGTGTCCTTCGCTGCCACCTTTCTCAAGTTCGCCACGGGCAGGCAACACTTAATGGTGACCGAAACCTACACGAACTCACCGGCTCGTCATGGGTAAGCCAGCGGTCCGATGTCAGCCAATGTTTCACTGAGGTAAGATGATAATTCGAGGCGGTGCCCTGCATTCGGAATAACAGAGTCAAGTGCGATCACACAAGCCTTGGAGCCCTGTACGCGGACATCTCTATATACATATATCCCTACCAGCGAAGGCCATTCCTCCGAGATAAATCGCCAAGTAGCCCGCGGCCCCTTAAACGCGCACAAACCACGCACAATCACGCCCTCTTCGCCCTCTTGACCTGCATCTCTTCTAGCCTGGCGCTTACGCCTCAGCGGCCGCCGTTCGCGCTGTCGATGCCCACGACCACAGCGTAAATAGCTTGACCGCGCGCGTCGACCTCCCCGAAGACTTCCCCAAGGACCCTCAAGACGTCGTTGCGGACGACCTTGACGATATCAACTGGTTCCCAACCGCGGACGACGCGTTCGGGAACGGTGAGGCATGGGACAAATGCGTCGTGTGCGCGCAGCTGGCGCACGAGTGGATGAGGCAGGGCAGCGGCGGCAAGGACAACGACCAGGCCCTCGCCTTCTGCAAGGGTCTCGCAATCTGCGATGCGGATCATGCAGCGAAGTTCGCGGACATGTACCGCGACGGCCGGTTCCCGCCGGAGGACAAATGGGGAGAGATACCGGGCGAGGACCTGCTAGAAACCAGAGACGGTGGTGATGTGTTCTTGAAGGTGCTGATGACTTTCAAGATCAGGTACCTGTTCTTGAATAGGACGAACTTGTTTTTGGACAAGTCTCACTTGGAGAAGTTCTGGGATTCAGTCGGTGGTGACATGTTGTAGCTAGTATTTCTCTATTCTTACTGATGCTTGATTCGAGGTACGGGATTAGGTAGTCTGATGTATAACGTCCTTTTCTTAAACCCACCCCGACTACATCACCACGAAGCATGTTTTCTCCTTCGCCAAAGGCGTCGAGCCAAGCGTTGTTAGTCAGCTTCCAACTCGTCTAGAGAACCCACGAGCATAACTTCTGTCCCCGTGGTAGTTTGAACAGCTCATCAAACTCATCAGATGTAAAACCCCTCCCCAGAACCTCAACACAAAGCCCGTCTACCCACTTGACCTTATCTCTGTACATGGGCATGTGGTCAATGCCCTGGTGTAAGCTGAGACCAAGCTTCATGGCGGCTTCCCTTGCCATGCCGTTGACCACTGGGATCATGTACTTTACGACGTTGGATTCGTGGAGCTCGCATGCTTTCTCGATGATGACCATCAGTACGCCGCTCTCATCGGGCCCGGGACACTCGCAGGTGCTGCAGTGGGTTATGGTGGCCGTTGTCGGCATTTCACTGGTAGGGTCGATGGGGACAGAACATCCCCACCCGAATACCTTCTTACTGTCTTGTGTTGCCATGGCTCTAGTGTGTGTCTCGTGCGTGTGTGCAGATGTGCAGATGTGGAGCTCAGGACCAGTAGTTATAGAGGTTTGTGCCTAAATCTTCGAGAGACGGCGATATTTATATTATTACGAAACCGAAATCTGTCAGTATCGCACTGTGTCATTGTAGCTATTCAAAATTGCAGTAAGTCCATTGTTTTCATTTGATTCACTTATGCATCTGGATTTGGTCTGCCAGAGCAGTGATTCAACTCCAATGCCATTCAGTAGTCGGGGACATGGAGTCAGTATACTATCCACCCCATGAATGCAAGCCAAGAACACACGCGTATACTATTACGTTGTATATGAAGGCTAGTCCAGCCCATACATATGTCACAGCCGGGATGGGTCTAACACTATACTATCGGAGGAGGGTGCGGGGTTCGTATAGTGCCCCAGATCTCCCACCCTCATTGGCCACGCGAGGTGGAGTTGGGTCATGATAACCTCCTGAGACGATGACGACCTATAAGCTAGTCTATCGGCCACCACTCATAGGCCTAGTGTTATCAACGCCTGCAACCACGACCACCAATAACCGCTGATCCGTCGCATCCCTCCATGTCCTCGGTGGCTATAGCTGCCCAATTGATATGCGCAATGTCGTGTGACTCGTGCCATTCTTATCATGGGCTCACCGTCGCGTCCGAACGGCGGAGGCCGTTATCGGTTGGTACAACTAGTCGAACTCTATAACATTCCCAGCCCGGCTTGGTAACGCTGTCGTAGATATGAGGTTGTCCTATACCTCCCAGGCCGCGTCCTTGTCTTGTGGTATCCCGAGCATTGCCCAAACCCCGCTTCCCTCACACCGATCAGCAGTCACTTCTCTCAACTCACGCACACGATGGCATATTCTATACTGATCTGGCCAGCTATTGCTGTCTGTCTATCCCTGATCACATTCCTGGCCCTCGATAGGTCCCAGAAAGATGTCGTCCTCAAGCGCTGCGGTCTCGTGCGACGGCCATCAAGGCCGACCACGCCTTCGCTCGAGAAGCAGCCCCTCCCAAAACCCATCGCATCATCGACGTCAGAGCTAGCGTCCACATTCCCACCGCCCCAGCGACAGCAGCTCAGCAAAATGGCCCTGAACATGCCAGCCGGTCAGCGGAAAGCCATGGGTGATCTATCGTTTGACCAGAGCACGTTTGAGCGCTCGCTATTGAGGCTCGACGAGGACTATAGGACGGCTGACGACTCCAAGTACAACTACACTGGCTTCTCGGTGCGCGAAATCAAGGCCCTGGGTGACTTTCCGGGTTACTCGACCATCTCCGAGGTCCCGATGCCGAACCCGTATCGCGAGTTCGACATCAGCAAGGCAAAGGCAAGACCGTACCGCCCTTTCAGGTGGACATACCATCAGACCATGTGTAAGACATCCCAAAACTAGTTACCCGATACAAGTGCAAGGACTGACTGTCGTAGCGTTGACTAAGCTGGAGACGGACTGGTGGATAGAGCTCGAATCGACGTACAAAGAGCGCATCGCCCAACGCCAGGAGCTCTACGCCAAGCACGGAGAGGCCGTGGTGCAATGGCTTCCCGGCTCCGAGCTGGTATGCAAGGAGCTCATGGAGATGGTGCTGCAGTTCATCTGCGCACGATATCCGCACTACTTCGTTCTGTCCGAAGACAAGACGAGGCTCGAGAACAAGATACTGGGCACTGTGTCCATGATCAAGGAGAAGCACCCCTTGCTCATCCTGCTCGACAACGTGCCCGAGGACTTCGGAATCACGCTGCGGGACCCGGAGACGGGGTACTATGCTTTCCGGGCTGGCATGATATGCTCGGCGTTGGGGTGGAGCGTCGGCACCAAGATTGGGATGAAGCTCCATGAGATACACCAGCCTATCCCCGACTACAAGGAGAAGATGCAGTTCAGCATGGACCGGTAAGCGTCTCTACGTCCCTCACACCATCCGGCACCAGCTAATCCGTCGCAGGTTCTTCTCCAAGATGCCGTCGAGCAAGTCCATCCAGCGCGGCTCCTGGGGTCTAGAAGTCGACCAGCCCCTATTCATGTCGCCCGGCGACCCGCACGAGTCGTACCGCTCGCAGCAGGACCCCAACCTGACGCGGTCGCGGATGCACCTGCGGGTCGACTGGCAGACGCTGCGGCGGCTTCCGCTCTCGGGCGGCATCGTGTTCAACTTCAAGGCTCTGTTCACGCCGATCGAGGAGTTCAGGGACGAGCCGTACGTGCCCAGCCTCATTCTCAAGGTCATTAAAGAAGGCAAGGAGAACCTGATGAAGTACAAGAACACGTGGCACACGGAGCATGTGGTGGTCCCGGCGCTGGAGGAGTACGAGAGGGAGCAGAAGGAGAGGGGACTGGTGGAGGAGGACTGGGAGCCACGGACTCTGGAGGAGAGTCCCTGGTTTCCGGGGTGGGAGAAGAAGTGGCATGCGCAGCAAGGGTTCTGATCAAATGGGGGTTTCGTGGCTGAGCGGGGAAACTTGTGGTCAACATGTCCTGTCGGGCCAAATACAGAATGAGAGGTATATCCGGCATTCTAAGTCGTCAAACTACATAGGAAGAACGAAGACATCATAGCAATGTCTCATACATAGTCTATCACGACCTTTGTCAGCTGATGAGTTTTGTGACTCTTCGAGCTCATCAAAACATAGGATTCCAGATCGGCTCTCGCTTTGATGGCTAGGCGTCATAGACGTACTCGGAACGCCGGGTCGCATCCTCCACCCAACACCAGTAGGCTTACAGCATATCAACCCGGAAGAGGAGCACCATAATGCCCCTGGGCCCGACGGCTATCACGCCTCACGGAACCTGCTGCGCCTAGCCTGCCATAATTCGTCACTGAGCTGCCACTACAGCGTGCGCATCGACCGACGCCGACGCTGGCGGTGTTTGTGTAGCCGCTCCCGAGGTGCCGTAGGACTGGTGCCTGCTATCTAGGAGAGCCTTCCAGCAGCGTGAGTTCATGATGTATGCTCTATCCAAAAGAGTCTGCCAGATGGTCTGGGTGAGCGGCGTCTGCTGCGCGAGGTCGTCTCCTCCGGCAGGCAGGCTGTCTATGCTGGGTAGGCAGGGCGGCTCGCGGGGAGAAAGGTAGGTACGGCATCGGCTGGTTCTGGCGCCCAGATCCGTGGGTCATGTCCTTGTAGCAGCCAAGGCCGCCGCAGGCATCTGCTGCTGCTCCTCGCGTGCTGCCCTGTGGTAGTAGTCTCGTCCTGGGGTATCGGCACGGAGCAGTGTTGGGCCTCCTGAGCACCATCTCGTTGGCGGCCGCGTCAAACAACTCAGGCCGTGGTCCAGCGCTCTGCCGGGCTGCGTCCGGAGCTGTACGGCGGACCCGACTTGATTTTTCGCGAGTATGTCCCCGTCGCGGGGGTAATCCTCGGCACTGCGCTGGCGCATCTTTTTACGAAGCTCGGGATCCTGTAGCAGTGCTGGCTATGCCCCGGTTCCGGGCTTTCGCGCACAGTCGGGTGGTGTACAAGCCAAACTCAAAACCGGATCGCAAAACCGGATCGCGAGTAGAGCCGTTTCCGTCTTCCAGCTGAGTTCAGAGCTGTGGGATATGTCGTCAAGGGTTTACCCGACGAGCCGGTAGTGGTCGTGTCCCGATTCGTCAGCATCTATGCTGGTGCTTCGGTTGATGCCAGCGCTGTTCTGGCCGTCGAGGCTGCGGCTAGCTACGTTGTTAGAGCGGTCGACGGAAAAAGCGGTAGAAGGCGGAGTCCTCACGCCGTCTACGCTGGGTATGCCTTTCGTAGAGAAGTTATCGGCGGCAGGTGTTGACTTACAGGTGGAGAGACTCAGGGGCTGATGGATGAGCTCGCAAGGGTAGTGATAAATGCTGTATGGGAGACTGCTATATTGTCTTCGTTCTTCCTACGGTCTGGTCTTTCTCTCCGCCGCTGCAAGCTTCATGGGTTGGGCAGCTTCCAACCCTTTGTATAGCGCATATGTTCACGGCCCAGCTCGGTAGATCATCGATAAATTTGAAGAGTCGACGAAAGCTCAATTCGGTGCTACGACTTGCCTTCTGGTCGACTTCAAGGTGAAATGGTTTCCAACTTTGATTTTCAAAAGGCGTTGGTCCCTGTTGCTTGTTTGTTATATGTACAATGAGGAACTTGCATTCTGGTGATATGGCCTCCAGAATGGACCGACCAGCAACGGTGACCTCGACATATCTTCTCAAAATCCGGGGTATCACCATGGTCCGCCAAAGTTAACCGCTTATGGCCATGAGGCATATCATCGAGGCGGACTTCATCGGTCCATGAAACGTCAATGAGTAAGAACCACGTGGCCAAGCTGATGTGCTTATGTCATGTAGTACTTAGGCCCTTCGCCACCTTGTGGAACTGCCCAGTTGATGTCTTGATGCGGAGCCTTGATGTCACAAGTTTTGCAGTGGATACAGCTATTTCACGGTCAGCAAGCATGCCACGCAAACCTCCAAGAGATTCCTGTCGATGATAATTGGCAAAGACGGTGACACTTACTTCTGAGCGTTGATCTGAAACCGGACGCCGATCGACTTTGACTCATCCTCGACATACTCGTAGACCCCAGCAGGGCAGAACCGGTTCTCCAAGCCCTTGTAGGCGGGCCACGTCTCCAGAGCATGAGCATCCCAGTCCTTCACTTGTAGATGTACTGGCTGGTCTTCCTCGTGGTTGGTGCCCGTCCGCGAGACACTTGTCAAGATATCGAAGGTGATCCTTCCATCTGGCTTCGGGTACTCGATCTTGGGACATTGGTCCGCATGCTTCGTAGCTCCGTAATCGGTTTCCTTGTGCTTCAGAGTCCAGGGCACACGTCCTTTAAGGAGATAGGCTTCTAGGCCGGAGTACAAGACCCCGCCGTAGAGTCCCAGAGGGTTGTGGAAGGACGGTCGCATATTTCGGACCTCCTTCAGTTCTTTCCAAATACTCGACTTTCGGAGCGATTCTTCGTAGTCGTATAAGAAAACAGACCCAGAATCTCCTGCCGTCAGGGCAGTATACGCAGCTTCTGCAGCAAGCATACCAGACTTCATGGCGTTGTGTGTGCCTTTCACCTTGGGGACGTTGACGAACCCAGCAGAGTCGCCGATCAGCGCACCACCAGGGAAGGCGACCTTGGGTATCGATTGGAACCCGCCTTCGGACAGAGCTCTCGCGCCGTAGGAAATGCACTTTCCACCCTCGAGGACAGACTTGTACAAGGGGTGCTCCTTCATCTTCTGGAACTCACCGTAAGGTGATAGCCACGGATTCGAATAGTCCAAGGCGACAACAAGTCCAATGCTCACGAGGTTGTCCCCGAAGTGGTACATCCATGCACCGCCATAGGTATCCGACGGTAACGGGTATCCCATGGAATGGACAATCTCGCCCTTCTTGAACTTCTCAGGTTCAATCTCCCAGACCTCTTTCACGCCCAGGGCATACGTCTGGTGTTGGCTGTCTCTTCTCAGGTCAAACTTCTTGGCAACCTGTTTGGTCAAGTTGCCATGGCATCCCTCGGCGAACATGGTGACCCTGGCATGGAACTCCATACCTCTCTCGAAGCTGTCTTTGGGTTTCCCGTCCCGTGCCACGCCGAGGTCATTCGTGGCAACTCCTTGGACTGATCCATCGGGGCTGTACAGGACTTCGGAGGCTGCAAAGCCAGGGTATACCTCGACGCCAACCTCCTCGGCACGTTCTCCCAGCCATTGTGTGAATTGGCTCAGACTGACGATGTAGTTTCCATGGTTGTTCATCTGCGGCGGTATCGGTATTGGTATCGCGCTCGACTTGGTCAAGAACCTCATCCTGTCTCCGGCGGCAGGGGTGGCATGCTGGAAGCGGTTCTCGTTCGCCTCGTCGAGCCAGTCGGGGAAAAGTTCGTTGATCGCATCAGGCTGTATGACGGCACCAGAGACAATGTGTGCGCCGACCTCGCCAGCTTTCTCAAGCAACAGCACTCGGAAGTCTTCGTTGCCATTCTCGTTGGCTAGTTGCTTTAACCGGATGGCGGCGCTCAGACCGGCAGGACCTTGATCAGAGATGACATGGTCAGTCCAGCACGACTCGCGCAAACTCTTGAAGCAACAGATCACCCACCTCCTCCAACTATGCAGACATCGACCTCGTCACTCTCACGGTCAACAGATTTGGGATCAAAGCTCTCGTCGACACTTGCGAAGTTGCTGGGACGGGTAGTGGTGAAAGCTCGTATGGCGGGACGTGGGACCGAGGCAACTGGCGCGGCGGAACATCTTGTTCGGGGTGCGGAGCGAGGGGTTGTCGTCAACGATGATAACGATTCTCTGGCTACTCGTCGGTGTATCCTCGATCGCGCTGGCAACGCAGCGCCTCGCCGCGCAAATGACTGAAGAGAAACTGGGGCGGACATGGTGGCGATCTCTTTCCGGTAGTTGCCTCCCTTGGAAGAGCTTATCACCAGCTTTGGAGGGTCAACGAGACAGCACACAAGACTATAAAAGGTAGAAAATTGGTCGCCGCGCCCCAAACGCCATGGAAGACTGGCAGTGGGTAACTAAGGCGCAGTGGCAAAGGTATAGGAAAAGGTCAAAGTTTGTATTGCGCGACCCCGACAATGACGATGATGTCAAAATGTCGGGTTGGAGCTCGGGCAAACGGCCCGAGGTTACTTTCCGCGTCGGCGTGGGAGAGACTTTGGGGGGGTGGGGGGGGACTGGCTGTGGCTGTTAGCGGGCTGAACAGCCTATCAGCTCTCGATCATTAGAGCCCAGCTCCTCACCTAACCAATGACAACTATCACCCTCACTGTCACCTACCCAGCACAGAGCAGCCCAGCTGCCCAGTTGCCAGTCCTGAATCCGCCAGGCTTCAGTGCCCCACCAGCCTCCGAGAACATTGAACATTGAAGCTGCAAATGGAACTTGAAGAGAAGTAACTGGGTTGAGGATCACCAACTACATCTACCAACTCTCTCATCTCTCTGACGACGGGAAGCAGCATAATTGTCAATCGCCTTTATTCAACAAGTGCTCGCTCGTGTTTACAGGATTTCGCATTGATCATATGCGCTGTGCGCATTCCTGTCCCAAGTCGACTTGACCGACAGCCGAAGCATCGTGCATGACGAGATACCTGCAACAAGTCTCAGGATGACGATTGCCAATCGCCCGTTTGATGAGCGATTCATCAGCCTCGTGAACAGAGCCACCAGTTCTCGCCAGACTTTCAAGACCAACGTCATCTCTTCCAGTTCTGCTTCCAGACCTGCTTCCAGTGGAAGTTTCAGCAATGATCGTGAGATCCACCACGTCTCATTGACTGTCTCCAGTCCGGGGGCGGCTCCCCACCGTCTGATTTTAACATTTAAGCTTCATTGCCGTGGCCCACTCACTCAAGTTTGCAGTCTCTCCTGCAGGACCCTTTCAAGCTGTCAACAACTCCAAAGTCCCGGCTTGGTGAACATGGCGAGATGCTATTATCCGACTGGCTTTGGCTGTCTGTCATATGAATGGCAAACATGACTTCTATTCGCTCTTGGTTTCAATCGCGTTCACGATCCAAGTCGCACCATCTGTTTGTTCCTGAATCTGTACAGCCACCCAGACATCCTCGACGCCCCCTGATTGCGACCGGAAACGAACCGTTTCCTGATCCGTCTGAGAGAATGACATATCGTCATCCGAGTGTGATGCCAAGCGGTGAAACCCTTCCATTCTCGTTCACAATCTAGTTTAGCCATGCCACCCCTTTTCTATTCTTGACTCTTTCGTGGTGGTAGCTGGGGCAGGTAGTATTGACAGCTTCTGAATCCTTGCGATTGGGCGGCTGGACCGTCGCCGTCTGAGGCTCGTTTGATCTGCCTCGTCACACGTTTGAGCCTCCTGGCCAGCACCCCAAATCCCCAGAAAGGCAACGATTGCCCTTGCAGCACTTGGCATCTTAATATCTGAGCTTGTTATGATCCCCTGCAGTCCGCCGTGGGTCTCCCCCAAGTTTCCCCCGGCGTCAACTCCAACCCGGGGGAGACGAGCCCACAACACGTCTCGTATGATCTGCTCGGACGGAGATCTTATCATACCTCGTCTGCGTTTTAAGCACCCGTGACAACTCGCCTGGATGTTTTATGGTCTGGGATCTCGTTGTTTTCAACCACCGACTGCCATGAGATCTTCCCTGCATTTGTACAGTATATTTCGCAGGCTTTAGTTTTAGTGACTGGAATCTCAGGTTCCAATGCACCGCGGCAGCTTTCTGGAACATGCCGCACCGACGTTGAGGTTGCCCATGTCATTTAGGGGTTCGAGGACCTTGCACCGCGGTGTCGGTTTGAGAATGGATCATCAGGCTCGTCAGAAAGCTTGGTATGCCAATCTTCCATAAAACGTCCTGTCCCCTCGTGCCGTTCTTGCCGTCCTCCTAGTCCGTATCTTCACATCGACTCCCTATTCTCTTGGCATCCGGCATTCCTTTCAACGTTTGTTTCTATTCGCAGAGGTATGTTTGAACTGGATATCAGACCCTCCACCGTTGTAGACACCAGCTAACAGAGTATACGCAGCTGTGCTCCCTATCCCTTCTTTACTGTATTATTTTGATACCCTTCGTTTCTCTCCACTTCGGCCACTCTTTTTATCCAGTATATATCCATTCATTCATCTCGTCAAGATGAAGAACGTCGGTGCCCTCTTGATCGTCCTGGCCGCAGCTGCCACCCAGGTGGCCGCCCTCCCAGCTCAGGGCCTCAGCGAACCCATCCAGCCCCGTGTCTCTCACAACTATGGTACGTCTTACCTGACCATGTGCTATGACGTTCAAAATGCTGATCATGTCGATAGCCCTTGACATCCGCATGCCCAAGAAGCACAAGAACAAGGGTGGAGCTGCTCAGAATGCCGCTGCTGGCAACGGCACTGCTGTTGCAAACGTCGCTCAAAGCAACGGAACCGCCGACGCTGGTAATAATGTGGCCGGTAACAAGGCCGGCAAGAAGGGCGGCAAGAAGGGCGATAAGAAGGCCGGTAACAACGCAGGCAACAACGCAACCGCCGCTGCTGGCGACGCAAATGCCGCTTCTGCCGATGCGGCAGGTGCTGGTGGACTTGCCGGCTTGCTAAGTGGATTGGCTGGTGGCTCAAATGCCGCTGCTGGCAAAGCAGACGCCACTCCTGCCGATGCAGCAGGTGCCGGGGGACTTGCCCCCTTGCTGAGTGGACTGAGTGGTGACGCCGCTGCTGGAGATGCAGCAGGTGCTGGAGGTCTTGCCGACTTGCTGAGTGGACTCCACGTCGTCGCTAGAGATGATGCTGCTGCCGATGACGCCGCTGTTGATGACGCTGCCGACGAGGAGGAGGACGCTGCTGTTGATGCCCGTGCTGCCGATGAGGATGACGCCGATGAGGATAACGCTGCCGATGAGGATGACGCCGATGCTTAGCAGTGTGGTCTGCTATCCAGGTTGTTTGGTAGAACCTAATCGACGTGCTTCTCAATCAAAAGTAAATCTCAGATTCTTCGGTATAGACGGACACAGGCGCGGGAGGCATGGCTCTCACGGATGGCAACACGGGGCGGGACGGCTGAATTTCTTCGATGATGGTACTCTAGCTAGTCTAGACCTTTACTTGTATATCACCATATTACTCACGCACTTATCTACGCATAGATGATGCGAATGCCAATGCTTCGCTTGGGCCAGTCGTTCTGGTCGGGCTCACGATGGCTATGATGATTTGTTAGTTATAATGCAGCTTCGTCTTTTAGGGTTCGTCCATCTCCGACTCGTGTTTCACCCGCCTTCCTGATCCAGAAGCGTCCCCACGTGGCGTCTCGTTCCATGCCTTGAAGCGCTTTGTGGCGCAGATGTTCTATTGTACAGGTCCGCTCTAGGTCGCGGAAACCCAAGCCATACATATTGTCTCTCCGACACTTGTCTATTGTACCCCAGCCCTGTCCTGTCCTGTCCTGGTCTATACTGGGCCACCTTTTCCATTTCCCCCCTGACGCAACTCCTCAGTGGTTTTGGTAGGGTTGGTGCTTCATTCCAGCCTCTGTAGGAGTTCCTTCCGCCTCTACGACTGTGTACCAGGACTCCGATTCGGGATCCCAATAACAAGAACCCTTCCCAGTGATCCGACTCCCAAAGCCCCTACATACATTCCCACAAAAAGCCTTCAAATCTCCAACCTCGAAGCAGTCGCTAGCGGATCCACATTTCTTGTCCGAGCACCAATCTTTCCAGTAGAAGATTTCGGGTTTTGCATAACGTGGATTGAGACTCTGTGACGACTGTGATGGTGTGAGTTGAGTGCTTTGGGTTTGTGCTTTGGAGATTAACTCACTTCGTCGATATGGGGGCTTCCAGCTGGTACTGCCGCCGATAACGCCAACGTGGCAATGGCTAGCAGAGAGGCAAAGGCGGTCTTCATGAGGGAAGGGCGGGTTGTTTTGTTATTCAACTTCTCGACGGCAAGGAAGGAAAATGCGAGAAAACCAGATTCCTAGAAAACTTAGAGTGTAAGTTCGGCTTGTGTCTTTGCTTACGTTTTTTACATATTTGATGCGACCTGTACGGGTCCATATAGGGCGCGTACACGTCAGCGTGGAAAAGGTGGTACTCTCGGTGTCCGTCTGGCCCACACACGTAGGTATATAGATAGTACATCGATCCATTTAAAAGAGGATACTTGATCCGATCAACAACTGCGGCCCGCGTCGATCAACTCTCGATAGGGATAAATATAACGACAAAAGGATGAGGGCCCAGCAGCTTCTAAAATAAAGCTGTGGTAATAAGTTCCGCGACGGCAACGCCGTTCATCCTTCTCTACACGGAACTTATCTACACGGAACTGACGGAGTCTGAAAGATGTGGACAGGTAACTTACCCATTAGTGCATCCTCACGCCTCAACGCCACCCTTTTTGATGTCACTGCCAACCTTATGTCACGCAGGAAACGGAACTAACCTTGTTACTCCGCCTCAGCTGTGTGTGGTAATATTAGCACGCTGCGCCTTAAGTCGGGCGAGGGGGATCCTCGCGATCTCTTGAATTATAGGTTAGGCAAGCTGGTATTCGTTTTCTAAATTCGTACAGCAGCGAGGCGAGTTCGGTCGCCTACCTAGGTTAGCTACATAGGCCTCGGTAAACAACGCATTCGATATCTAAAGGCTCGAACTTATCATAATGGTCCTGGTAATAATGAAGGCGATTAGACCCCGGCAGAGAGTCAGATCGAGCAGGACAGAGGTATTCACTCATTACACATTACACCCATCATCAACCTACATACCCGCCAGGTATCGTCTACACAGAGCAAGCCGCATCCCACCGCTCATCCCCATGCGTGACGTTCAGCGCCGCCCGCACCCTATCCGTCGCGACGAAGTCCGCCAAGCTACAAGACCCGAACCCGTCGCTCGCGCAGCCCGTCGGGCCCAGGTCGAAGTTGGCCTCGTTCAGCAGCAGCTGGATCCTCTTCTCGTCCCCGTCGCCGCCGCTGCACGACAGGCCCCGCCACAGCATCTGCGCCGCAAACGGCACCTGGTTCGACGTCCGCCACGCCCGCGTCGCATTCACCGGACCCTCGGTCGGGTATTCCGAATCCATCGCCAGTCCCAGCGCCGTCAGACCGAGATCAATCGTAGTATCATGCCCAAAGTTCAACGACAGATTCGCTCCGCCGTCCCGCTGCATGAAAGCCGTCATATTCGCCACGAGCAGACTCCCAAGCACGGCCCCCATATCCCCCGGCAGCCCATAGCCGAACGCGCCGCGCATCAGCAGGTCGTACTCGTACTCGTGGCTTCGAATCTCGTCGGGTAGGAACAGCGGACACCACGGCGAGCTGCCGACGCCGGACACGGCGGTGCCGTAGACGCACGCGTACAGCATGCCGTGGACCAGCGGCGCGGTGACGTTGACGCCCGGGTACGCGGGCGCGAGTACGGCGTTGAGGCGCGCCGCGATGGGCGGCAGGTAGACGGCGCCCCAGGCGGCGACGATATCGCCGCCGGAGGCGTACGACCACGACGCGCACGTGTCCATGGACGTGATCCACGACACGGTCGCGTTGTCCTCGGCGATCGTGTGCAGCGTGGCGGTCGAGTTGGCGGCGCGGCCGTAGTAGCCGTCCATGAACCACACTGCGGACTCGACGACGCGGTCCTGGTCGCCGGCTAGCACCTCGACGGTGTAGAGAGTGGGGTACTGCAGGCGGGCGGCTACGCCGTGGTCGAAGAGCTGCTGTCGCCCGGGGGCGGAGAGATCGTTGGTGGTGAAGGCGCTGCTGGTCCAGCCTTCGGCGAGGAAGGCGTATTCGTCTGGGAGTTCCGCCTGAGGCTGCGAGAACAGCGCGCTGTTGTTGCCGAGGTAGTATGCCAGGTCGTCGATGACGGTGATCTCGTCCGACAGCGGGTTCCGGCTGCCGTGACGGTGGACCAGGAAGGCCTTTTCGACGGTGCAACCGGGCGGTGTGCCTGATTGTAAGGACTCGGGCGTGTTGGACGGCACGAAGTATGGCGATAGGTTGCCGAAGTGCTTGTATATGTCGAACTTACACGCTGATCCTGATGCGGGCAGCGCGAAGGCGGCTGGCACGAGCCAGGCGGCCGTTTTCCACATTGACGTTGTTGACGGCATCGTGAATATGAGCATGAGCAGCGCGGTCAATCCGAGAACCGTCCATCGCCGGTCCTGCATGCGGCGGCGGCTCCAAGGTTTTGTACGCAGAGCTGCTTCCCCGGAACCATGCTGTCGGATCGGCGGCATGCGCTTCTTGGTTCCTGGTCCTGCATGCATGGTCCAACGCTAGAGTGCCCGGGTGGGAACGGTATCCGATGCCCAGCTGATATCGCTGGTTCACCTGCCTGATCGGGTATCACGTCGCGTGGTCATCTCCGGAGTCCGAAGATCGGTCGGCCGTGTCGAGATAAACGGCGAGGCAGTCAGGCGGCCAATGCAAGAATCAATCAGGACGAACCGGCTTAAGACAGGTTGTTGATATGCATCTCGTGTCAGTCGTGATCTGATTGCGACATGGATCTTGGAATTTTAGACACATGCAGGCAACAGGTGTTAAAAGCACTTGCAGCTGGCGGCCAGCTGTCCGTAGAAACGCGCCGATGACGCGCCGACGCGGTGAATTTAAAGGACGAAGGTGTTTGACATCCAAATCCAGTGCAAGAGTCACTAAGTGTCCTGTACTTCCACCTGAGGTATATCTGCCACTCTTTGCGACACTTGAAGCTGAGGACTGGCGAGTATTACCAGCCAAAGTTGAAAGTGAGCTTCTCCGGCACCTTGCAGTCACCCCGAGAAGACAGATTGCTCATATGGCTTCACCTATATCCGTCCCGATCTTCCTGGTCATCTGCGTCGTCAAACACCTCAGTCTGGCTCTGTATATCACCGGCATTGTTTCAAGATCAGTTACTTTCACTCACGCCTTTCACATCTCACACTTAAGGGGCCCTACGAGTGCGAGGAAAGACTACAATATGTCAACGATACCCGGTTCATCACTGCATTCCTATCTACTGACTATTCTCAGTCAAGTGCTTGCCAGGTGATCGGGCCAGACACCGACCGCTTCCTACCTCTTTTCTGTGTTCCCGCCGCATCCCGTAGGTGGCATATGCCTTACCACTGATATGATGGAAGTCGCACGGTCGGGTTACTGAGAAGCTGCGCTTGATACAGCTCATCTTCAGTGGCATGATCCATGGAGAGCATCGCTCTCCAGCACTTCTGGCTCTTTACGTGAGTCGTAAGATCTGTATTCTGATTAACCGTCTTCTTTCTTACGGGTATAGTCGGTTTATGCGCGCTGCCAGGTGCTATCGGTGCGCAGCACCTCCAACTTGCTGTTGGATCACTTACATTGGCGACAGAGCATATAGACAGGCGTGGTGAGTGCCGTCGCATCGGCATCCCAGGTGATCATGAGGGCAACGATATCCACATTCAAATGAAGCTTTCGTGCCTCCATGTCGAGGTTGATGTTATCACAAGTCTTGCGGACGGTAGCGATATCCGCATTCAGATGAAGGCTTGTTGGATTCTGGGCTATGTTAGCCCATCCATAGTCATCCTTCAGGATCACCATCCCCATTTGTGACTCTGTCACATACGTGGCCAATATAAGGCCACGTATCCTTTCCTTTAGTATCTTGGATATATATAGGGCCACTCTGGCCGCTCCAGAGTAGCTGGAATTCCTCTCCTTAATAGAACACTTTGAAATCTCACATATATTAACCCACGAAAATGTTAATTTCCGGAACCGAGACCCCTTGTTAATATACGCATATTAATTGGGCGACGACGAGGTCGTGGATAGTGTCAATTTAACTCTACGAAGGGGTCTTGTCTTTCAAATGAATTGATCAATGGCTTTGTCCTTTCTTAGTCACGACCTCGAAAAATCTGCACAAGGGTTCCTTAGTTCACCAGTTCATGGGAAAACCAAAAGGCAGGGGGATGCCCTCCACTAGCGACGACCCGCGGGTGACTTTGGCTTGTGCAAAATCTAAACTGTACCTATGGCTTAACGAATGTTCTTGGGGATTTGTAAGATGCGTAGTACATACCTCTAACTAAACATGATCCTGCCACCCCTGGATGGACGATATTTACTGGGAACAGCATGTACGCGCAGCGTGACAATTTGTTTCTACGCTTCCTTCTTCGCCTCGTTCGCACTTCTCAAAGCCTTGATGAGTCCCATGCCGACATCGACGCTCGCCATCGGCTCCCTCTGTCGCGTCCAGAACAGATCGTGGCCATTCAAGAGCACAGACCGTCTGCGTTCTCGCTCTTGCTCATCCACCGCCAAGTGTTGCTGAAATCGGCTCTCCAGTTCCTCCAAGTACTTCTTGCGCTGCACGTATCGCTTCTTGCGGCGCTTCCGCATCTGTTCTGAGCACACCATACGCTGCAGGGCGAAGCCGACTATGTACCGCAACACCAGGTAGATGTGCTCCGAGACGAAGATGGTGAGAGGAAGCGCGTACCATGTATCGCTTCCTGGGAGGAAGCCCAGGCTATCGTTTCCGAAGAGATACACGACAGCAGCTGTGGAGATGCTTCCCATCCAGGTCAGGAAGCCCAGAGAGTCGATCCACGGCCCGATGCCGTCGGTCCGGATGGGAGCCGGGCGCCGATGGTCGATGCAGATCTTGAGAAAGTCGGAGCGCAACTCGATCCAGTTGTTGACGAGAAAACCGACGGAGACGAGCGGCCAGACGGGCGAAAAGAGAGCTAGATATCCGAACTGGATGATCATCTCGGAGTAGTCGTCTTGCACGTTATAAGGCTCCAGCTGCGCTTCGTTGCGGGCCCGCTTGAGAAATTTCACTTCTTCTGGAATATCCCGGATGACTGTGTTTATCGTGGCGACGTGGGCACGCTCGGCGCGGTAATCTTTGTACCATCGGCCGGCTTTGTGCTTGAGGTAAGGGAATATCAGCTCCTCGAACAGGTTGGAAATTTGGCCGGTGACAGTTAAAGCGATGACTTCGTTTCGCAACCTCGATGGGTCAACGGCGAATTCTCCATCTGATTCAAATTTGATGGTGCCGGGGAGCACGCTCCTCAAAAGGATTTCCAGATGTGGTACGATTGTGTTGCCGAATGGGACGTATACGAGCGCGGTGAGTAAAATGGGAAGATAGTTGGTGATGAAGTTGAGAACGAAGATTTTCTGCGTGTGTGACATCTCGTGTCGGTCCTGCGTGCGGTGGTTCTCGTAGTTGGTAAGCATCGTGGCTACATCTTCGAACCTTGAGCTGATGAAAGGGAGTACGCAGGCGAGAAGAACGGTCGGGAGATACTCCTAAATTACAATGCTGTCAGCAGCAATACGCAGGACAACAACGACTAGGGTAGCGTACGAGATAAGTTTTGAGAGTTCCCTCGTAAACCTCAGAGATGAAAATTTCAATGGTGAACACCAAGGTTATCAAAGCCCCGAGAATGACGAGCGCTGTGATCGTGAAAGGAATCTGCAAGGTATGGCGAATAACATGCTTCCAGATTGGAAAGTAGCGCTTGAGCTCGCCGGTCGTCGGATCCACAATCTCCTTGATATACTTGAACTTGGGCCGAGTCATCTTTAATGACGCGATACCTCGGACGTTCCACCGGAGGCTCAGGTCCACCTCTTGCAATTTCCAGTACTCTAGAAAAACCACACACCACAGACTGGTTATGATGGCATAGACGAGGGAATAGTGAGGCAGGAACATCCACGCAAGGAATCCGGTCGAGGCAGGGAAGAACATAAAGACGATATATGTCTGCAGGAAGGCGAAATAGAAAGCCACCTGCGGGTCGGTTAGCAAGACGAAGCCCTCCACACAAGCCGTGCATCTATTGATGCATACCTTCACGCCAAACAAACCCCTGATTTTGTCCAAGTCGTCTGGCTTCAGAAATATTTTCCTGCTCAAGTACTGCAGCAGCTTTCTGTTGGCTGAGACGTTATGCAACGGGAACACAGACTCAACGTTCTCCCAGTTGCCAGATTTTGGCGTTATGCCGGCCCCACCTAGTTCTTTACTCCAGGTGACGAGGTGGTACATGGAAAGAAGGTCCTCGGCCTCGTAATCTCCATCGACCACTGTATCCTTACCGCCGCCAGGGTGGTTCAAGGAGATGCCATACAACCAGTCTTTGACTCTGGTGGCAGCAATGTCAGGGTATGTTCACATGGGTAGAGAAGTTGCAATGCATCTCACCGAGATTTGTAGACCATATTACCCAACAGCTCTTTCGGAGCCTTGACAAAGATAAGGAGAGACTGGTCGTAGCCAGCTCGAAGTTCGGTGTAAAGTCCGACAGACTCGAGGTCCTGCACCAAAGTGTGTAGCTCATCGACCGCCTTAAAATAGTCTGGGAGAGCTCAGCAAGTGCATCGAAGAGGGCCCGGAGACGATTGCCTTACCGACGTCGCTAAAGTTGTAGTGTACAACGTAAACATTGTTGTAAGTGACGCCGTCGTGCGGACGGGGTAAGCGTGGTTCTTTCTCCATCAATTGAAGAGAAAGGTCAGACATGATCAAACGTGAGAAGAGAAAATAGAGCGAAAGAACGGCAGGCAGGTACGTCTTCTAAGTATGTAAGCCTAGCCGCCGGCTTGTAGGAATGCAAATGGGGGCGGAGTCGGACAGAGCGTCGGGTACACGGCACACGGCACACGGCACACACGGCACACGGCACACGGCAGTCATCTGGTGGAGTACGAGTCAGAATCATAATCTTCCGAATCTTCCAGCCTTGCCCCCGGCTGCCCGCCCCCCTGCCGCGCCGTCCTCTTGCGCCGGGCCTGAGACCCCAGCTCTTCAGACGCGCCATCATATGATCATCCACCGCCAGCGACGATCCCAGGTTCGACGACATAGACGGCGGGCCGCCTCTATTGCCGTTCCGGTGGGAAGCCGATGCGGATCTCGCGGCCGGCGTTCTCGTGCTCGATGCGGTCGAGCATGTTGAGACCTGGCCCTGGCGTTCGCATCTTGTCTTCTGGGCAACATCAGCCTACCAAAAACCCGGCTCAAATTAGAAGACCCTTGCTGTCTGTATGGATGGTTTGACTGTGGAATCACATGGATCCAACACTTTATATATCTCTTAAAAAACTAATAACCCCCTTCGTTATACGTATAACGGCTGGTTATACCGGTATTAACTTTGTATTATACGTATTATGTTGGATCTATGCAATTCCAGCCTGCAAACCATCTATACCAAGACCCACATGTATGATTAGATAAGAGATAGATACCGGATTGCGAGGTTACTTAGCCAGACCTTCAGGTCCAGCTAGACCTCCCAATCCAACCATCAGCAACATCATGACCTTGACCCCATACTCGAGTATTATGATTGATTGTTCAAGCCTGTTCCAACATATTATATATTATATGTATAATAAAAATCGGAGTCCTAGCCACGAAGTGGGGTTGAGGGGCAGAGGGGCAGAGGGACTGGCTGGCAGCTGGCAGCTGGCACCAAGGACAGCCACAGCTGTGAGCGGGTGCAGGGCAGACGCGTCGAGCACGCGTGGACGCGGTAGACCTCAACGACCTTTACGGAACCCGTTTGCCATTGCAGGAAGGGAGCGCTCACCGAAACCTGCACGCAATCAACGGCAGCTTCGAAGGTTAGAAGGTTCTTGCCGATACAATGTCAGGAATCAGGTACTACACAGACACCAACGGGCAATCTATTGCATTCCCCGATTCCTTAACCACCCATGGCAGCTATTTCCCTCTCCCCCTTCCCCAGAATCCAAACCCGGATCAGCAGCAATGGCAGCAGCCAGACCTGAGCTTTGGCGGGCAGCAGAGTCTGCCAGCCCAGCCCTACAACTTTGGCACATATCGTGAGTACCACCCGACACTTTCTGTCTAGGTCGCATCGGCTCTGTGCCAGTACCGTATCTAACAATTGCGCAGCTGTTGCCAATTACTACCAAGCTCCCCCTCTACCGCAGGGCCACCCGCCGCCTTTTGAGCCGCAGCAACCTCTTGGATACGCTCCTCTACAACCTCGTTACCTGCCGCAGCCCGAGGCTGAGAACCAAATTGCCGCACCACCCTCGAAACGACGGCGCAAAATAGACTCTGGCAAGCTTCCCGAAGTCATCACTCTCCTGGATTCAGACGACGAGACACCTCCTGCGCAACCGCTGCAAGCTATCTCCTCCAATATTGCCCCAAGCTATGCGATGCCAGCCATGTACGGAAGTGAGACTGCGAAACTGCTTCTTACAACGCCTGCGCTACCCACGTCGACACCGCCTAGAGCTCCAAACTCAACCTTGACTCCACCGTCCTCATCACCGTTGGTGAGCGCCCCAGCTCCTCATCCGCCCCCGCCACAAGCTGCAGTTGTAGAACCGACACTTTGCCCAGAGCAAGCTGAATTGGTCGAGCTCATCGCGAGCGGTCGCAATGTCTTCTACACTGGATCGGCAGGGTGTGGCAAGTCTACCGTCCTGAAGTCCTTCACCAAACGGCTCCGAGAGATGGGCAAGGATGTACGCATTCTTGCTCCCACTGGCCGTGCCGCTCTGCAAGTCGGTGGCATGACGACTTGGACTTATGCAGGGTGGACACCGAACCATCACAAACGGACTCTGGATGAACTGAAACAGGCCGCTCATGGAAAGTTTGTCCACAAGCGTTTCACAGAAACTGATGTTCTGGTCATCGACGAGATCAGTATGGTTGAAAATTTGCATTTTGAACGGCTCAACGAAGTGCTCAAAGAAGCGCGACTTAGACCCCATCAACCCACCCGGGCCTTTGGAGGCCTTCAAATCATAGTCACCGGTGACTTCTGCCAACTTCCGCCTGTGAAGCCATTCCAGCACTGCATCGACTGCGGCGGGCTGATGATCCAACGCACCATGAACGGGGAATCAACGTACACCTGTGCGAGGCATGGGACCTACCGAGACGAGGAGAAGTGGGCGTTCAGGAGCAAGGCCTGGGAAGAATGCAACTTCGCCCACGTTGAGCTGAAGAATGTCCACCGCCAGAGTGATCAGACATTTATTGCCATGCTTCAGAAGTGCCGTACTGGGGACAAACTCACACCGTCCGAGACAAACTTGCTCATGGACCACCCATGCAAAGTCCACAATGCCACCAAGCTTTTCGCTACCCGCGACGAAGTCGGAAGAGTCAACCAGGAGGCTTTCAGGAAGCTCAAGTCCCCAAACCACATCTACTGGTGCCGAGACTCCTTTTTCTGGCAGAAACATCATCCCCATCTTCAATGGAAGAACACGAGAAAGGCCAATGGCCCTGAAGAGCAGAAGCCACTCTCAGCTCTGGACGACCATCGTTATGGCGAATGTGTTGAGCTCAAGAAGGGCATGCTGGTAGTTTTGCTCACAAATCTGGACCTTTCTGCAGGCCTTTGCAATGGGAGCCAGGGACTAGTATGCGGGTTCGAGCGTTTCAGCAAAGAGAGAATGCCCAAAGCGAAGACCGGCAATGGCAAGCAAGAACCTGAGAATCCGATTCTTGGCGAACGTGCTTCATTAAAAGAGGCAGAGATCAGGCAGTTTCTTGAGGGCCCTGGCACGAGCTTCAAGGTGTGGCCCATTGTCAAGTTTCACAATGGCGTTACCCGTACCATCTATGCCGAGTGCTCTGACAACGAGCTGGGAGACGAGAGGCCTTACAGTCTTTTGTGCAGGACTCAAGTCCCATTGGCCCCGGCGTGGGCCATGACAATCCACAAGAGTCAAAGTCTGACTCTCGACAGAGTGATAGTAAACCTCTCCAAGGCATTTGAGGAAGGGCAGGTTTATGTCGCCCTTTCACGAGCAACAGGATTGGGGGGACTGAAGATCGAAGGAGATGTGGCTGGCCTACGGACGGGTCTGGGAGGCAACCAAACGGTCCAGACATTCCTACTGGAGAAGTTTGGACATTGAAATCCTTTGTTGTAGATGAGCGTTCGCACAGTTGGATACCCGGATTACTGCTTGGATACCTGGATCGTTTCCTGGATACCTGGATCGCTCTTTGGCTGTCTGGGTCGATCCTTGGCTAGCGGCATTGGGGAGATGCTGGGACTAGATGTAGGGTGTTCATGAGAAAATTGGGTTGAGGTCGGTTTGGCGGCTCAATCATACTAAACCAATATGTGTCTACCTTGTTGCCCATGTTCATAGACGTAACGAGTTTCATACACTCCGACCAGGCTTCAGGATGCACGGTAACTTGACAAGGCGGCCTACGATCAGCTACAGATCCACGTTCTGGCGGTGGTTACCGGCGCATGTGGCGAGCTTGTTAAACGTGTTATGCGAGCCCCCTGGAATATGATATCCCTACGAGCGGCTTTCCATGGCCATCTCAAGACGTGCCGTTCGCCGTTCGTACCGCGTGGTGTATGGCCGATACTGAGTACGGGTCCGGGATTTGCTTCAAAGTTACGAGCTTGCTGGTCTGATGCTTCGAGACTTCTATTCTCTTTCGGACAGTTCCTAGCCAATAACTAGAGGTGCTAGTGGGTCGAGCGTTAGAGTTTTGGCAACATGGAATTTCGGCGGCGGTTGGATTGGTGGTCGTTTCACTTGGTTTAGCATTGTAAAACTCATTCGTGGGCAGGGCTGAACTCAAAGTTGCAGCTTCCTCAGATGTCCATTTTAGGGGCACATTCAAACTCTCTTGCACTCTTTATCGTCTTCAAAACATTTCGCTTTTCCAACATTTCATTGATCTCCAGGCTTGGGGCAATAAGCACTCTTCCTCCAGAGCACCGCTTCACTCATCACTACTTACGACTCCGCCGAAGACCCCCTACTGCAACCAACCCCGACAAATTACAGGAACACAGCCCATCGAAGAACCAGGGCCAGCGCATCGACGCCATGGCAGACGAGACCGAGAAGAAAAGGCAGCTGATGGAGTCCAGCCACACACTCTTGCCAAAAACAACTATTTTTCTTGGCGCCCCGCTGTTAGGGCGCAACCTCTATATCTGCACTAAAGCAGGCATTTGTCTCAGTACCTGACTATCCTTGCCAAGGCGCAGAAAAATTTTCTCACAAGCTGGATGGCACCCTTTCACGATAGGCCCCCAAACACGCCAGTGGCCGTCCCAAAGACGACTACTGGCGGCGTGTTCAAATCCCCAGTCCCTAAAAGAACACATGACCCGGCAACCCCAAGCAGGCTCCGCCAGGCACTGCTCGACGACATCAACAGCAGCCCGTCACAGGTCTCTGAGGCTGACTTCACCACTGTTTCCCCTCTGAAAGGAAAATCCCGAAATATCATTAATAGCAGCACCATTGATATGGGAATTACCTCAGTCAAGCGAAATCCTACAGACCAAGCCATTGGAGGTGATACAGGGAACAAAGTCTCTTCTTCAGAGTGCCAGGACCAAGTTGCCAAAATACTGGCTAAAGACAAGCATCTCTATAATGACAATGTTTCAGGAGTGTGCTGCAGCAGTCGATAAGACACTTGAGAAAGCTGGAACCAAACTATACTCTCATGCCAAGGAGTTCAGCGCTTTCTTCTCCAAATGTCTGAATGAGTGGCTGGAAACCCGAGATCTGACCACAAGAAAGGCCACTTCTGGGGGGATAGAAATAGGGAAGCCCACCATGACCTTCGCCCAAGCTGTCTCCTCTGGCCAACGACAGCATCCATGGATAGTCAACACTACCATAAAGAAAACACAGCCTAGTGCCCTTATCACTATCAACCAATTGAAGAGGAAGCAGGATGATCTCCGGGTTTTTGTCCGCATGGATAATAGCCACCTTGAGCCTTATGGAATTAAGTCTACACTAAACAGAAGACTTAAGCTCCACCCTCAGGAGCTTAGAGAAATGACACGGTGTCCTTCTGGATTTACCTTACACCCAAGGGACAAGCCAACTCAGGCTAAGCTTCTGGCTTTCTAAGAAGAAATTGCCGACATTCTCAAGGCACAAAAGATTAAGACCCACACAGTCTGGCATCATTACAAGGTCGATAGATGCCCAAGAAAGGTCATCAGTGCAGAAGGGTTCACAATCGATATTACCGACACTGTTGTTGCCAATGAAGTTGAAGCCCAAACAGGCGACAGACCTCTGAGGTGCATACTCTCAAAGAACACGACTGATTCTGATCCAGAAACCACGTAGATAATCTCTCTGCCCAGTGCAGCAAGGAAACCATTCACGCTTTTTGCCCACTCAATGACCTCAAGGCATATTCAACACACCCCCAAGGTTCACCAGTGTGCAAGCTGCTTCAGATACCATGGTAGGAATTACCGATGCGAAAAGCAAGTATGTGCACACTGCGCCAACACAGTACACCAGGGAGAGTGCGAAAAACCAATCCCAAAGTGTGTCAACTGCAAAGGACCTCATGCTGCCAATTTCAATAAATGCCCTGCCCGCCCCAAGGTTGTGAAAGGTACCATCCATAAGCACACATGGGAGCAAATCCAGGAAATAAGGCTAGCCGGGGAAAGAGCCAGATCCAAGGCCTTCAATGAAGCAGGCAGAAACCAAGCTAGGTCAACACCCAGCAACAATAACAAAGACACCACAATGCAAATCGACACAACAGATACAACTCATCCCAGAGATGCCGATACCATTGTTGTCAGTCAATGTTAGGTACATCAAACGAAACACATCAACACAGGCATCTAGTCATCCATTCTGTGAATACAGCAGGAGGACAAAAGAGTACAGGCCTTACAGAGTTAGCCATCAACCTGGCTGACTACAAAGGAGAACAAGCAGACATCATTCTGATGCAAGAGCCCTGGGTTGGCATACCACCAGGCAGAAGAATGGGAGTAAAGACACACCCTAATTACAATATATACTCCCCAGTGGATTCCTGGGACAGCGACAGTACACGGCCCAGATCTCTCATCTATGTGAGAAAACACCTTTAAGCGGATCAACTTCGGCCCTATGCTACACGAGACATCACCTGGGTCAAGGTACATGGCATCACTTTTGCCAGTGTCTACCGGCCATGTGACAACCCACAGGAAGTGGATGATATTCTAGAAGTATGGACTCCACCTTTTGGCTGTGTTATAGCTGGAGATTTTAATGCTAGCGACATATCCTGGGACTCGAGCAATCCAGGATATCACGGTGGCGTCATACTGGCACAGACTATGGCAGACCACGGACTGGATCTGATTTCTGAACCAGATGTCCCAACAGATGACGATGGAAATGTACTGGATCTGGTGTTCTCAGATGTCCCCATGGCTGAAGCCTCAGTCAATGATACACTTCAGTGCACCTCAGATCATGAGACATTACGAATAGTCATTCCAATTCAGGGAGATCGGGACCGAGTTCCTAAGGCCAATCATTGGATAGTACCGGACGATAAACTACAAGAGCTGGCAGACAATGTCCAAACCAGGATTTATGAACTCCCCCGGCTGGGTGTATCCCCTGGCCAGGTGGATACCTTTACACAAAGCTTGATCAATATGATTCAAGGCTGTATCAGGACAGTGGGCAAGAAGCCCCGTCAATCTAGGCCCACTGCTTGGTGGAATGATGACTGCAAAGCCGCTGTTCAGACATACAGGGCCCTTTCTAAACAGACCACAAGCCAAGAAGGGCGAAATTCAGCCCGACGGGAATTTTGTTGTGTGGTCCGAAAAGCTAAGAGAGAGTACTGGCAGACTCTAATTGATTCAGCGACTGAACCAAAAGACCTGTACAGAATTGTTTCCTGGCACAAGCTGTCAGCAGGATTGCGTTCCCCCCCAATTATCATAGGGGACCAAATCTTTGAGTTATAAGAGAGCAAGGCAAATGCACTACGCTTAGCCACGCTTGAACGAAGTACCCCAGACAACGATATCATCGGCCCCTGGTCTGCTCAGATCACACAACCCAAGCCACACATCCCCCTTGAATACCATGTCGGACTAGAAGAGGCTGAAGGGTGCACTATAGGGACCAAGAGCAACTCCCCAGGAGTAGACACCCTCACAGTACGGATTCTGAAAGCTTGCTGGCCAGTCATTGGGGAGCATATCAGAGCCCTTTTCCAGACCTGTTTACAGATTAGACACCACCCTAAACCATTCAAAGTAGCTGAGGTAGTAATGATCCCAAAGCCAGGCAAGAAAGACTACTCTAACCCCAGGGCCTACAGACCAATATCGCTATTATCATGTCTTGGCAAAGGCCTAGAATGACTCATTGCAAAAAGAATTGCCTGGTTTGTCATCAAACTCGGAATTCTAGCTCCACAACATTTTGGAGCTCTGCCAAAGCACTCTGCCGCCGACTTGGTAGCTGCGCTCATACACGATATCGAGCAGGCCCTTGACCAAGGCCTTGTTGCAACGGTAGTCACAGCAGATGTAAAAGGGGCCTTCGACGCTGCCCTAATGGGACGGCTGGTGGTTCGCATGAGAGAACAGGGCTGGCCAGACTTTCTCATAAGATGGGTCCAGTCATTCATGTCTGAACGGTCCGCAAGAGTTCGGTTTGAAGGTATTGTGACCGACATAAAAGCTCTCACTTGTGGGCTACCACAAGGCTCACCAGCTTCTCCAATCCTTTATATGCTGTATACAGAGCCAATCTGTGCCCGACTCGGTATGAAAAGGAGACGCTTTGGATATGCAGACGACCTAGCGACTCTCTGTATTAGAAAGAACCTTAAGGAAACAGCTACAGAGGCTTCTAAAAACCTTCATTTACTCAACCAATGGGGACACAATAATGCTATTGAGTTTGACCCCGACAAAACTGAGATCATGCACTTCTCACGGAAAAAGAACTCAGACAATCCTCCGGTCCGCCACAGGACAATAAACAGAACAGCAAAGAACTCCATGCGATGGCTGAGTGTCTTCCTGGATAGAAAACTGAACTTCAAAGATCACGTTTCCTACTGGGCCAAGAAAGCTAATAGGGTAACAAACCACCTTTGAGGACTATGCAACACAGTCAAAGGACTTCCAGTAAAGTCAACCAAGAGGGCTGTGAAAACTTGTGTTATTCCTATTCTTACACATGGCCTGGAGGCCTGGTACCCAGGAATGGAAAAAATTAGGAGCTTAGGTGGGACATCAGCATGTCGCATTAAAGGGCTTCTTAGAACGATAGATGCTGTACTATGAACGGCGATCAGGGCTATCTTGCCAGTCTGGAAAACACACCCTGGACATATCTTACACTTTGAATCGCAGATTCCCCCAGCAAGAGTTCTTGCAGAGTCAATAAGAAGACGTCACGGCCTCCGACTCGGACGAGTAGATCAGAGACACCCTCTTGTTAGCAGGCTCTAAATACAAGCTCGCAAAGAACCAATAAGGCTACAAAGGAGCTTCCAACTAGTCCCTGACTTCCAGAGACCAATACTCACCAAGCCATTATGGAAGAAGCCCCCAGTCTATAAAGACAAAGACAAAGAAATAGAGCTCTTTAAGCAATGGCTACAGGAAAGAAATACGAACACTGACCTTGTCATCTATTCAGATGAATCACAATTGGACGACCAAGGCACAACCCGCACTGGATGGGGCTATACCATCAGGAAAGGCGGCACTACACAAGAAGTATACCGGAGAAGGGGCAGACTTCTACAAGCAGAAGTAGTGGATGCTGAAGTCCATGGTGCTCTCCAAGGTCTTGCAGCAGCCAGGGCAATTGGACACAGAAAACAGCTATATGTCTGCCTGGACAACACATCAGTGGTGGATGGGCTCAATGGGACTCCACCCGAGACATCACAGAACATTTTTCTGCGATTCCAAGAACTCGCCACAGCACACACTCCTGGAGTGACCGTCAAGTGGATTCCTGGACACAGAGATATTGATGGTAACGAAGCTGCCGATATATTAGCAAAAGAGGGTGCTATGCTAGAAACAGACATAACAAACCTTCCTATAATCTCTTGGGTCAAGAGAGATCTTAAGAGAAAGGGCAAGAAAGAGTTCAACCAATGGTAAAAAGACCAATCAGAACCTAAGTATCAAGAAGTATACTCACATGCAGTAACTAAAAGAGGCCTTATATCCTTTAAGAGGAGCACTCTACACAGACTTCTAGCGGCCAGATCTGGACATGGCGACTTTGCCAGATACCACGAACGCTTTGGGCATACAGACTCGAACAACCACTACAGCTGTGGTGAAAAGAAAATACCACAACATATTTTCTTTTGTAAGAGGCTAGGAAAAAATCGGTTGTTGCCTAGGTACTCGCCTAGGACAGCCTGTTTACAATACTTAGGGGAGAGGAGCACAAAATGGGCAAAATTCATGGAGAAGAGCAAATTCTTTTCATCAATCTGTCCTCGATAGATAGCTGTTCTTGAAGGACCAGATGGATGACCCCAAGGTCATACCGCCGCAACAACGGGGATGGGCCCGTGAGTGGGACTGACTGTACTTATTTTCTTGAGACCTCCACAACCCTGCGATACAGAGGCTCTGGGAGGCGTGGTCTGCACTACTGAGGAGCTACCCCCCACGTTAAATACAAAACAAACAAACAAACAAACAAGTGTCGTGGTGTCAGTGAATCCTCCTCCGACCGATAAACTGTTTATAGTGCATTCCCACAAGAACAACCCCACAGCGGGCACCAGGTCACATACATGGATATATTACCGTGGTTGGCAGTTAGAGACGCCCTGCCGAATATAGCACAGGACCCATGCTGCATCGCCACTGATGACGAACTACCTATGGTGGATCCAGGGACCAGATCTAAAAATTGAATGCACCATCTCTCGGGCATTGCCATTTGCCGGCCGTATGGCGCAATGGTCAAATGCGCCTGGTTGTGTTCTCGTTTGTGCGGTGGGCGACGAGAACAAGTGGGTTCGAATCCTGCTATGGCCCCCTTTCTGACCCGGCTTGTGCGAGTCGATAACCAGCACACGACAGTGGAGAGGCCCCATTTTATCGCAGAGCCCGATAGCCAAGCAGCTTGTCTCCACAATACCCACTCCTGCGAGGTTTTCCCCCTTGTGGTTTCCCTCGCCAGCAGATAACAAACACCTACTCCACCCACCAATGCGACATATATCGAACGGCTACTGGAACGATATGTACACCAGAGAACTGAGGTTCACTGGGTCGCTTTGTCACTAGATAGGAGGTTTTTCTGACGGAATCGTGCTTGGGTATTGACTAAAAAACCATCTGAACACTCCAGATTGGTACCGCTACAGCGAGGATAGGCTCGTGCGCGGATCTGAATGTATCTAATTTGACACCTCTACAACCTTGCGATGCAATGGCTCTGGGAGGCGTGGTTTGCACTACTGAGGAGCTACCCCCCACGTTAAATACAAAACAAACAAACAAACAAACAAACAAACAAACATTGCCATTTGCCATCAAGGTCAGACCCTTGGCAACCCAATTATAGACCAATGGACCCTTGATCATATCCATGGCCGTGTGCAATGCCCAAGGCGTGACGCAGGTCCCATTCCCATTCATTCCCATCACTGCATGCTCAGCCACGTTGGACAACATTGACTAGTACCTTACCTACTTTGCCGTCACAATCTTCCATAGACGCGCCTTTGAAGGGATCGACCGTGTGAGGGCTGGAGGGTCAGTCGATTAGATCGGGAATCCAAGGATCGTCAGCCTCATCAGGGGACCAAATTCTCTGCGCCATCCATCATGCCATGATCCACCTCAGCTTCAATGGCCACCCCATCCGCCCATCGCCTATAGTTAGTATACCGCAGGGCAGCGCGATAGATTCTTAGCTTGTGCTTCGAAAATAGATGCCAGCCAGGCTGCGCGTCCTCGCAGCGGAGCGGCATCGGGATCGCAGGTCGGACCGACACCCCTCGACAAGGGCCATCAATCCAACATTGCATCATCATCATCATCATCAGGAAGCGTCTCGGCCAAATATACTCACCCTAGTTCTTCAAGCAACAACCTTATTATTAGTAGCATCGCAGGCAGCTGGAATAGAGCCGCGCGGACATCCAGTTTCTTGTTCGGCCCGGAGGAACTGATGGCTGTGCTCATGTCGGCCCGTGGCATATCTACACTCAGCCCTCATCAGTCTTCGTACACGCATGTTAGCAAGACTCCAGATCACCAGTGGGATAGTTGGAAATGCTGGAATAAGCCTACAAGAATCAGCAGCTCTGGTTTGGTACGTCACTTCTAACGCTTATTCCATGGTGCCTTTTCCGATTCCATAGATTTACCGTTTTATATTAGAGGGAGGTTGTACGGAGACTTGTGAGGGTGCAGCACGTGTACCTTGGCCAATCACCAGGCTCAAGCACACTGACACACAATTCGTCGTAATGACAATCTGGGATGATCGATTCCGGCAACGTGCGTTCTTGCCGAACGTGTCCTACACCTGCATTCTCCCTGACCGTGTTCTACTGCCACATTCTGAACTGTCCCCCATCCATAGTCATACCGGGATCATACCACATCAGCTGAGAAGCTCGTCCGCCCAGAGCGGGCTCTCGGCTCCTCTGAACCCATGCTTTGAACGCTGATGTCCCGAGTATCCGTTGAAACTAGCGATCTCCTTGTCGCAGACGGCGCATCGGAACACTCTGGTCTTGTCTTGCTTCTTTTGGTACTCAGAGTTCGGGTTGTGTTGCTTGTAGAAGTCACTTTCCAGGTTCGGCTTGTCGTTCTTCATGGTAGCGCGGCACAAGCCGGTGCCGTCAAGCTTCTGCTCATAGCAAACGAACTTGGTCTCGCCATCAGGGAGGGTGCCCACGACTCCGTTATAGCTAATGATTGCCGGGAGGTCGTTGCCCCTTATAACGGGGATTTGTCGGGTTTAAACCATGAGCAGCTGATTGCCGATATTGAACGACATCCTGGAGGCCATTGCCGTTAGCTCAGTACACGAATATCAGACCACGGATCCTGTTGTAAAAACTTACTTGTACTTGCTTAGATGGAGTAGTCAGTAACTTTTTATGTTGCGGCGAGTGGCATCCAAGGCTGTGGCGAATAACAGCGAACAAGGTTATTAATGATCAGTCGTTATTTTATTAAATAAAAAATCCATCCCGTAAATGTTAAATCTTAAATGCAGTTTAAGGTCGTGCCGGCCCTCTTTTCTTCTTTTTTCCCCCGTCTTGCAATATTACAAGATCCTTTACCATAAGCCATATACACCACCATAAGATGTCAAGCAGCATGCTTGACATTTAACATCCTTTTAATAGGAGATCTAGGTCTTTGGTTTGGTTTGGTGGTCGAGGTTTGCTAGATTGTCGCACAAACCCCCCTTTTCCCACAAACACCCCATCCCGCAACATCAGAATATCATCAGCCACGAGCCTAACATCAAAGCAAGGATAGCTCTGAGTGCCGGGGCTTGGTTTGGTGAGCCTCGAACCGATATCTAACCTCGTGGCAGGGGTGTTCATTACCAATTAAGCTTCTGAGAAAGCAAAACCTAGCAAGGTTTGCTGGATTGTCACACAAACCCCCCTTTTCCCACAACAGCCCGTCCTGCAACCAACATCAGAAAATCCTCACCATCACCAGGAGCCTAACCTCAGCGCCAGGAATAGCTTTGAGTACCAGGCCATAGTTAACAGCTAACAACAGTCCATATCCAAGAGAAAAGTCGTCCGTCCCCCAGCTCCAGCAACCCACAAGCACCACCACAACATACCGGTCCCCATTATCCATACACCGTGGCCGCATCGTACATACTCCCAAACGCCTACAAGATACGATACGCTACCTCCAGAGTCCAGTCCCATTACTGTTACGAACCAACAAATACCATGGCCTGTTGGAGGGCCAAGGGGAGTACACCAAGAACCAATGGAATCAGAAGCCAGGAACAGAACAACGGGTATTACGGATTACATAACAAAGGTCACGTGACGGATCACTGGATTACGGAGTGAGCCAGTGAGCATCACTCTGGGACAAGGTGATCCTATTCCATCAGTGAGGGAGAGATTGGATATATAAGGACAGACATTTCGCAACTAGATAAATAGACAGTCTCTACCTCAGTGATCAATTTAAGCATCTTAGCCAACCCTAAGGTGGGAGAAATCTTCTGATGACTCGACTACACAGTAAACCCAGTTCAGACCAAGCCCCAGTATCTGAGTGTCTTCTAGTTGACAGAAGCCTCTATCGTCCTTTGTGTTGACTTACCTCAGAATATAAAACCCTATAGAACCCTTTAGCCTTATAGGTTAGACGGCTCGTCACAATTACCTCTGCATTGTATATTTCCCTACAGTCCCTCAGTCTGGCACGACGACCTTGAAACTGCATTCAAGCCTCAACAATCAACATTCGCAAGACTGATCTTTTCATTCGGCAGCACTACGAACAACCGATTATCAGAGACAGACACCTGTCCGCCTTGCGTTTCCTCCGTCCTGGCCCGTCTCGCGTTAAACCCCCTGTCCGACTCATGTTGAACAGCGTGTATTATGGTCCATCTGGTTGATAACGTGTATTCTGGTGACTTTCATTAGAGTGTGTGTTTCTGAAGGATCTACTGTCGTAAGCTGTAGGGCCCGAAATTGCCCTAGAGGCCCTGTTGGTGCACTGCCACTTCCCTGAACGCCACTGTGGCTTGCGTGCCAGTTGACAACTCACGCCTCCCTTACGAATCAGCTTTCCCTGTCTTTGCGCTTGCTTGGGCTGCAACAAGACCTTCTCGACATGGACTGCAGAGATGACACTGACAGCATCGAAGGTGCTTGACCAACATCGCACACAAGCACATAGTTAGACAATTCATGGGCAATCCAAGCATTCGCCTCGAGTCTTCCAATTCACTAGGACCCCCCGCCGAGCTATTAGCCTTCTTCTGGGTAAATGGTATGTTGTTCTGCAGAGAGGTACAGTACTAATCAGGCGTGGAAGCCCTGTATATGTACATGAATGGTTCCTTTTTTCACGGGATGCTTCCTGACAGCGGGCATAAACGCCAACGATATCTCAGTATCAGTGTTTGCACGGACAAGATACCACATCTATGTAAATAACACTTCTGAAAAAGCACAAACAGCAGCCAACCATCAGCCGTCAGCCGGGATAAAGTAAGCTTGAAACGTTAATTCATAAGCGAATGGTACATGGTAATAAGCAGCAATAGAAATGCAATAAGCCATTTAAATCTAATTAAGAATATAGTAAAAAGACCTTAAAAATGCTAAAGTGTATAGATAATACATAAGTCCTTATATACGTCGTCTTTGTTTTATAAAAATATTAAATATACGTTAATACTATTGATTTCCTATAACTTTTCAATTAATATAACCTTATAATAATATATAAATTATCGTTTAACTTAATATATTCTTTAACTATAACCTTTAATAAATCGCGGCTTTTAAACCCTTAAGCCTCTATTGTTAATTAAGTCCTTAAATTTTTAATTTATACGGCTGAGTTAATAAATTAGTATATTACGTAAATACGTATTTTATTCGCGATACTTAAAAGCTTCGCGATATTATTAAAGGTTATTTCTTTTTATTAACGTTTCATATTATTATAATAATTCATAATGTTGTTTATTTAACATTATAAAATTAAAAGGTTTTTAAATCGAGCTTGAATAACTTTAATTTAATATCATTATTTAAATTTATTAAGTCTTTAAGGCTTATATATTCACAAAGTAATTTTGAATACTGGTTGAAATATTACTTAAAGTTATCTTAATATTGAAACACTAATAAAACGTTCAAAAATTAGTTCTTATAGCTTAATATTTATAAAATTATATCGCTACGTATCATGAGTGCTATTTGATTCATATAGTTATATATAATATATACATAAATCTTCACGAAATTTAACATGAAGATCCGTTTTTATATAAAACTTTTATAACTTATTAAATAAAAGTATATAAAAGTTTCGCTAATAACATTAAAATTAAAAGTAAAACCGAATAAAATTTAACTATAAGCCACTAAAAAAACCCATGATTTATTTACTTAAGGTTGTAGCAAAGCCTACATTGATTCTATAACATCGATATCATCTCAATCTGCTAGGTTAGGAACACGAAGACATACGTCGTTTACAAACAGTCCGACCCTCCAACCCCATGCCCACCTTCTAAGCCCAACGTACCACAATTTCAACTTAGATCGGCTCATCCCGCGGCTCAATCAGAACCTCATTCACAGCAACGTGGGCTGGCTGGCGCAGCGCATAAATAATCGCATCCGCCACCTCGGCCGGCTCAAGGACCTTGGCGCCCGTCGGCTCGCCGAACTTCTTGATGGCCTCAGCATCAGTCGACATGCCCAGGAGATCCGTGGCCGTGTTTCCGGGCTGGACCGCGGTGACGCGCAGGCCGGTGCCCGCAGTCTCGAGGCGCAGACTCTGCAGCGTCGCCTCGACGAAGAACTTGCTGGCCGAGTAGACGCCCAGGCCCGGGAACACCTTTCGCCCGGCATCGGATGAGATGGCGACGATGTGGCCACTGCCCCGCGAGAGCATTGATGGGACCGTCGACGACAAGCAGTGTAGAAGACCCTTGCAGTTCACGTCGACGGTGCGCTCCCAGTCTTCCGTCTGCACATTTGCCATCATCGTGAAGTACATCACTCCCGCACAGGAGACGAGTATATCGATGGGGCCGAGCTTCTCGTTGGCCGTACGCATCAGCGATTCTACTTCTTCGCGTTTGGTCACATCTGTCTTGTGAACAAGGACTTTGCCGCCGGATCTGGCAATCTTGCTCTTGAGAGACTCGAGGGCGTCAGTGCGGCGAGCAGCAATGGCGACATGCGCGCCCTCTCTAGCCAAAGCAGTAGCGACGGCAGCCCCGATACCGGACGACGCTCCCGTAACGACAGCGACTCGGCCTGCCAGGGGTCCATTCCTGGTGGCATGTACAGCCGCATTCGACGGATGTCGTTTAGGGGGTCGTGGCAGCCAGCCTCTGGCGCAGAAATGCCGGGCATAGATCTCGAGCAGCTTGGTGTCGATCTTTGGCCTTTCCATGCCTGCCTTCTTCGACGCCGGCGCAGTCGCGGGGTCCTTGAGTACAGTCACCCACGTGAGAAACTCAATCGAGGGCATACCACGCCGAAGGATCTCGACAGTGAAAATATTATCTGCCTTGCCAGAACCTCTCTTCTCGTTCCACAGCGCAACCCAGTCTTTCCACGCCAGGGGCTCTGTAGGATACCCAAGCTCGGCGAGGCTGTTGAACACGTCCTTCGTAGTGACGGGGTTGGGGTCACCGAGATGAAATACGCGCTGCTCGGTATCGGCGAGGTCTGCAAGGGACAGAATCGCCTTACTGACGAAATCAACTGGGGTCATCTCAGCGTACCAGCCCTCGATGTCTGGCGCACGCCCCAATTGAAGCGACTCCACGATCAGCGCATTTAGTAGATCGTACGTGTTCGAGGAGCCAGAGGTGCTGTGACCGCTGATGGTACCGGGACGGTAAATCCTAGCTGGCAATCCCCGTTTCTCGGCCTCGAGAACGAGCTTTTCGGCCACCCACTTCGTCTGTCCGTATCCATCCAACAGCTTATCTGGGACGTCACCGACGTCTACCATGGCGTCTTCCGTCCAGCCCTCAACCGAGTTAGGCAGTACGCCATTGGTCGAGATGTGGTGCACAGTCGCGCCTCCTTGGCAGGCCAGCCGGAGAATCTCTCTCGTGCCAAAGACATTAGCACCCTGCATCGCCGCGTAAGGATACACAAGGTTGACAGTAGCAGCCGAGTGGATGATGACCTGCACGCGTGAAGCCAACGCGTCAAAGGCGTCAGGCGACAGACCAAATCGCTTTCGCGCCAAGTTCGCGGGTATAATCTCGATACGATCAAGCATTGAGTCGTTCCAGAGGCCCAAGTCCAGAAGATTGTTTCGCACACGTGCCATTCCAGCTGACGGGTTGGTAGTCGAAAGGTCAGCGAAACGCACAAGACAAATGACGTGCGCCGATGTGGTCTCTAGGAGAGTGTTCAGCAGGAATGCCCCCAAAAATCCAGTCGTGCCGGTCAGTAGGACAGTGTCGGCTTCGCTGAGACGCTGCATCTTGGCTCCTTTCGGTTTGATATCCACTGGAAGGACTGAGTCGGTTTCCAAGACATGTGGAAGATCGGCCTGGACTGCTGCAGTGTGTCCGTCACGGGCGTTTTGCACAACTTCCAAGTGACCCTTTAGTGTTGGGTTACCAGCAAGGCGTGCAAGCGGCACAGGAAAGCCATAGGCACCGGTGAGTCTTGTGACAAGGTCAACAAGGCAAAGTGAATGACCTCCGAGATCGAAGAAATCGTGTTCCTGTTGCATTACAGATTTATATGGTATGCTGAGAGCCGCAGCCCACATCTTCGCGATGTCCTCGAGGGTGATCTTCTGATCTGCGTCCTTCTTGTTTCCGTTGACCAGAGCCTGTGGGGGGCTGCGAGACCGGGTTGGAGAGGGCAGACGTTTCAGGTCGACTTTACCTGACACTTCGTGAGTAGGGAGGGAGTCCATCTCAACCCACAATGCAGGGACCATGTAGTGGGCCAGACGCGATGATAGTGATCGTCGAGCTGCAGGACTAAATCCTGCCTCGTCGATAACAACAGCAGGGCGATCTCCTGGTTCATCTCTGTCAGGAACCACGTATGCCAGCAGTTGTCGATCAAGGCCATCGCCGTGAGAGACGACAGCACAATGGGAAACAGCAAGATGAGTGACGATGGCGTTTTGGACAGCACCGGGTTGGACACTGTATCCCCGGATCTTGATCATGGCTCCGACACGGCCAGTGATCTCGAGGAGACCCGAGGGAAGCATCCGTGCCGTGTCACCGGTTCGGTACAGACGTGCTCCGGGTGTCCCGTCATAAGGATCCTTGTTGAAGGCCTTCGCTGTGGTTTCCGGGAGATTGAGGTACCCTCGGGCCAGAAGACCGCCACCGATGAGCAGTTCACCGCTGACACCTGCCTCAACCTGCTTGCCATCCTCATCGACAATGTAGGTATGGTCAGGGTCGAGAGGAGGCCCAACTGGGACCACCTCGGCCTCACTGTCAAACATCTCCTTGATATCTCCACAGGCGATCTCGTGAGTTTCGCTGGCACTGTAAACGTTGAGAAGGCGTGCATTCGGGAGCGCCTTAATTCCCCTGTGGGCGAGGTCGTTGGTGACCACCTCACCATTCAGCCACACGGTACGCAGGTTCTTGACACGACTTCCCAGCTGCGAGTGTCGAGCAAGTACTGTCGCGAGCAAGGTAGGAGTCATGAGAGTCTCGGTAATGTTCTTGGAGCGCAGCAGCTCGACAAGAGCGACAGGGTCGTAACTCGTCTCGTCTGGGACAGTGACTACCGTGGCTCCACGGAGTAATGGACGGAGGATTTCCCAGATGAAGAAAACATTGCAGGCCACACGGTCACCGGGCTTCAGGTCACTCAGACCAAATCTCAAGTCATAGGAGCAAACCGCAGCCCTGTGTGGGTTGGCAATTCCCTTGGGGCGTCCCGTAGTGCCAGACGAGTATGACACGAAGGCGAGACGTTCGAGGTCATCCTCGGCGGGTAAGTTGGGTAGAGTCTTTGTATTTCCGTCAGCGACAGCGGCACTGTCCGTATCCGTACCTGCTTCGTCGAGGATGATCAGAGGAATATCGCGGTTGATTTGGCCGGCGTGAGCTCGATGGGTGATGATGACCTTCGGCTTGGCATCTTCAACGACGTCGGCCAGCAGCCCGGGCGGGTAGGCAAGTTCAAGGACAAGGAATGCTCCACCTGCCCGGAGCGCGGCGAGGCAGGAGATAACGTAGTCGGCACTTCGGCCCAACAGCACACCCACCAGGTCATCACGGCCGACCCCGTCGTGGCGCAGGCGGTTAGCGAGGGCGCCGACCTTCCGATCGAGCTCCGCGTAGGTCAGGCTGATGGGCCCATCTTCCAGGGCAACGGCATCAGGCGTGGCTTTGACCTGCGACACGAAAAGTGCCGACAGGTCTTTGGTGGTGTCAATGACGGGCATTGTCCCTTCCTTGGACGGTCCGACTTGGGACCAACGGCGGCGAGCAGGATTCGGGGGGGGACGGACAGTGGCAGGTGGCCGTTTCAACGGCTTGACAACACCCCCCAATCAGTGGCACGTGGTGATATCTCAACCACGCGCAGAGTGAAGAATCCGAGCCTCGACGATGCCCGAAGCTGTGGTGGTGGTGGTAGTGGTAGTCTGCTCAAGACTCACTGTCAGAGGACAGCGGTGGGAGACGGAAGAGCAATCAGGTCTTCGTGACTTGGGTGGTGTCGAATTGACCCCCGGCGATGACGATTTTGGTCGAACTGGTACGCGGCAGTCCGGTTCTCTTGGTTCCAAGGTTGTCGGGTGTTTTGCGGACGGCTGGAGTCTGGAGGTGCCTGGGTGTGTGGAGTGGGCTGAACTTGTGCTGCAGCTAGTCAAGAAGGTATTAAAGGGTATCCGCAAGCGGAGGCTTCGCTCTAACTCACGGGGAAGGCACGAACTCTGCTGTGTTCTAAGGTTGGTATCACGCCTTCTGTATGCGAAGTAATAAAGTCAAGGCAGACATTAATAATAATACAACTTATAGTTTTTATCCTAGGTCATCCCTCTACTCTACTCCCCAAGTTGCCTACCATTGCCCCAATAGTGTCCTATCCGCCAAGATAGATAACGGGCGGACCGAGGCGGCAAGGTCAGGGTCACCCGGAGACACATCCAATTGGTCTCAGAGTAGCAGTCTGGATGGCAATCCTCCTTGCCGGGTACGATAGCGACCGTCGTCGTTGATATGGCTGGCGATACCTGTATCTCTGCTTCTCGACGTCGGTGGCCAGCCAGCGAATGAGAAGCCTTACCATCCCAGCGCCGTCCAAGCAACCGCCCAGGGTGTTGTGGTCACCGCTACGTAGGTGGAGGATCTCTTTTCCATGTTCCCGGTCTGCCGGTGTTCGCCTCGCTCGCCTCTTGAGTTCCATGCAGCTCTGTGCCTTGGCATGCATGGTCTGGCACCGTCAAGACCGTCTGAAGACTGACTCGGCAGCAGCTCGGGTGGGCAGAAGAAGCATGCTGTTCAGGCTGTCAGGCCGTCCGACTGGATTGCCGGATTGCCTAGTCGAGATGACCTCGTAGCATTCGGGACCATCCTACTGGCTGCCCCCACCAATCACCCCATCGCCTGGTGCAATGGTCCAGTGGTCCCATCTCCGGGCCCCGATCGACGAGGCACGCCGACGCCGGCTTGTTCCGATCTGCTGGTCGGCGCACTATCGGAGCCGGCTATCGAGATTCAATCTACCTTCATATGCCGTGAAACACGACCGACCCCCAACTTTCCATAGAGGAAGGGAAATACATCACGAGACCACATGTCATGATTCTCCAAACCCACGTCATCACGACCGGCTGCGAAGCTCCGACTTTGCGAGTAAACCTGTCACATCACTAATTGATAAAGTCCGAAACGTCCTTGTGCGGTTTATTGTTCCAGTTGGAGAGGGAATGTCATCACTAACCTTGAATGGACCAGCGGCCGTCAACATCTGTTATGTCGCGCCGTTACTTCATGTTGTGTCTACCGTCGTCTCAACAAGTCGATCGAATGGAAAGAAAGCTGACTTTTTCTACTCACTCAAGATATCCCGTTATACGTAGGGGGTTTACCGGTATTCAGTGGTAATGACACAGAGATCCGTGACTGGCAAGACCATGAGCTCCTGATCGCTGGTGAATTTGACTATTCCAGGACATGTGCGTTGTCCGGGGATGAGGTAGAGTGTCCCAAGCCAGTAACATCTCTCCATTCTCCGGGTGTCACTCGTTTCACTTCCTACTCGTTCCTTGTGGACAGCCCATTCGTCCGGCAGCCTGCTGCAAAAGGAATTCGTTGCGGGCTCGAAGTTGTTTAATACCAAGCTCAGTGTCTGCATCGGTACCTGCAATTACAGTGCTCCCCGTTTTCGGCACGCCATGCTGCTTTTCTCGAAGTAAGACAGGTTGTGTGTAGGAGAACCCTTGAGTTGTAAGCAAAAGGCACTCTTTGCGGTTATCTGGTCAGTCGAATATCATTGCCTACTTTTCAACGGGCTGGTATAGCTTACTCTAGGAGTAAACATAACGAGCATCTGAAATATGTCTAAGGCAGGTCTGCACGCCAGCATGCCTGGAGGATATACTGGGCAAACCACATGGATTTGAATGGATCAGAATAAGGACCGAGGCAGCTTTGGCTATTCATATGCTGGTGTTGCCTAAGTTGAGTAGTATGCCTCGGTTCTATGGTGTAGATTACAAGCTGCCTCCCACGGGCTAGGGCTACGGCTTTTCGCGGCTGCAAAGCGTGAATACAATCAAAAACAAAGGTGTCCGGGGTCGAGGTTGCATTGTCTGGGCTAGGATAGCCGTTTCTTGGGTCTCCGAACAATAAACACAATCAGGGTGAAGTGTAGAAAACAGCTTCTTACCTCCAAGGAGCCATCCACTGGGCCGACTTTCGACACTTCCTATGCCATGCACTATATGCCTCTAGGAAGCCTCGTCATGTAACAGTGAGTATTCCCCGGAGAACCTCATGACCCGTGGGGCCAAGATACCCTTATCAGGAGTTTCCATATTCAAGGGGTCTGGGTATGAGGTGGACAATATGTCTTGTTTTCTACTGATTGGGCAAAATGTAAATCTGCTTTGAGATGCTTTCAAGCTTGCCTCTTGTCGAGAACAATAATGGCAACATACTTCAACTTAAGGCGGTCACGTAGGCATTCACATGACCCTGAAGCGAAAGCATTCCCCTACGACTTGGCGAGAGTATGTTGGATTCTGGGCTATGTTAGCCCATCCATAGTCATCCTTCAGGATCACCATCCCCATTTGTGACTCTGTCACATACGTGGCCAATATAAGGCCACGTATCCTTTCCTTTAGTATCTTGGATATATATAGGGCCACTCTGGCCGCTCCAGAGTAGCTGGAATTCCTCTCCTTAATAGAACACTTTGAAACCTCACAGAGTATCTCACCGCATGGCCTTCGTCTCGCCCTCAAAAGAGTGTATGCGGCGTTATCACCACAGCGAGGCTGCAGAAGGCACAAATCAAATCGGGTCCCGTACAAGGACAGCTTCGTATATAACCCAATATCCGTAGTCCATGGACCATCCTTATCAATAGGGCGCGACTTCAAACCAAGCTACCCTTACAAGATCTCCCCTAATGGGCAATCAAGGGACCGAAGCTGTACTACACGGGATCAGAGCCGCAAAGTGCCTAGCCATCGACTTGCAGTAACCCCTACCGAGGTAATCAGTCAGAAGCCAGAGTGCAAGGAACACAGCACGGGTAAGATCAGAGAAAAAGACTCGTCTAAAACCATATGCTCCTCAACGCCTCAAGGTCACTACTTGTCGGCTGGACATCCAATAAGGCTCCCAAGACAGAGCCATGCCGGGTATTCGGCTAGGTATATCTCTAAGCACCCTGACCCATCTGAAATACAGCTTCCTTTATTCACGTACACTGTTACACTACAATTGCCGGCTCGTGATTCTCCAGCACCGATCTATAAGCCACAACACGGGGCAAATCCACATGTCATCAAGGTCTTTATGCTTTTATTTACATAGGCCCAGCATGTGGAAGCTAATGTCACAAGGAAAGCAAGAAGTTCAAATTCCTCCGACCCAACGACGTTCGACCATGACAATGAGTACCCCGACTGAACGACGATGCACGACATCAAAGGACCTGTCTCAGCCCGGAGCTAGTCACGTGGGAGCAGCGACACGCCAGCCCAGGGTCCGCTTCTAGAACAGTCGCACAGACTCAGCCTGCCCTCAAGGGACGGAACGAAGAGTATGTCTGTTATCGCTACTCCTCCGGCAGTGTGACATCTGTAAGTTACTAGGGTGTAGCGGATCGGCTACTCTATGACACGCAGGTAGCACCTCCGAGCTATGGGCGCATTGCCGGCTGCGTATCCAGATCGCAGCGAGGAGAAGAGATGCCAGCGGAGGCTCATGTTGGTTCCCAAGCGCAAGCGTAGGCGCCGGCTACGCTTACAATAGCGTGGGGTAGCTAGGCCGAGATGTATCGTATGTTTTCACGTGCCAGAGTCTGCATATTACAATAACAATTGCGTATCAAAATAACAACTCGAAGTCGACGACCGCTGTAAGCCGCAGAATCAGTAAATCACAGGCCGTCATGATTGATAGATACCTCGATGACGTGATTTGACGTGTGGTGCTGTGAGAAGCCGGGCTGTCCAATCACGATGGCGATTGGCCAGGGTGAGAGAAGGTCCCTGATTGGTAGGTGGACTGTTAATCAATCGAGAGATTCGAGGTTGTGTTGGCTCTGGACATACCAGCATTCTACAAATTTGCGTTTCTGGGCGCGGTAAGGATAGATGCGTTGGAACTATCCCGTCAAAATGGGGTAGACAATGTCGAACTCGCACGCGTCGAAGGAATCATTTTTACTCGTGAAGCAGCAGACAATACCAGTCTCGCCACTTGACGTCAGCTGTGGTGAAGCCTCGGCAAGGCGACGGAAAAGCTCTGGCAAAGAACATTGAAGAAAGGAAACGAGACCCCCATTTTTATGGGTATGTGACAGTGTGAGGCACTGGCTACCGGCAGATACTTGCGCCCTCTGAGCCGCAGTCGTGCAGGGTCAGCTTGCCTGCATCCAATGGAAATGAAAACGCTCGGCGCTTGCATCAATCCTGTGATTCCTGTCGCGACGCGGCGTGATCCACGTCTGAGCACAACGCAGGTAAGATGAGTTCCTCGGGCCTCCGTCGAAATACGTCAACTGCACACAGGGGAAGACAGACACGGTCTGCGATGACTTTGGGACGATGGCGTTGATGAATGAAAACACTGACCAGCGCAAGTTTGCGCGATATGGCATATGGCGGAAGCAAACATGCGACCGGCCGACGCCATGGCGATAAGAGGCTGCGAGTGAGTCATAACCAAACGCGCCAAGATGTGCATGATAGGACTGCAGGAATGCGGAATGGGGTGGCTGTGCGAGGCTGGGAGCGGCCTGGAGGGAAAAGGGGCAGAAGGGGAAGAGGAAGATAGTGGAAAAATTTAGAAGCGGCAACGGCACCAGACAGGGATTGGATCATGGATCCCACTGAGTGTACCGGCATAGGATGAAACCCACTCGGGCAGGCGAACCAAGGATACGAGACAAGGGGAAGCCCGCCTTCTCATCCTCCTTTTCCCAGCCCATGGCGACGCATGAAAACAAACGGACGAGCGAAAACGACACCTTTGCATGGCAGAACAGAATGGCTACAGCGTCGTAAAACGAAGTAATAAATGACGCTTGAGCATGATTCCTGGACATCACCGTTTGTAGGATGCCTGACCGCAAGAGCTGTGCGGTATTGTATGGTGCTCTGAATGAATCGTCGCGTTAGAAACCGATGGTGTCATTCTGTCCTCGCCGGTCGCGGCTGGTACCCCCGAAACCCCGGAATTGAGACCTGTGACGGCTCAACCATGATCATCGCAACCCAAAAATGCACCGTAAGAATGTACTGTGTATGTGCGATGGCATGCCGTCAGCAACCCACGGTCGCATGGTACTTACTACTCACCGATTGCCGATTGCCGATTGATCGAATAAAATCAATGAGCCCGAACACTTGACTCTCAATCACCAAAGCAAACCGACGAATGTTTGGCTTCCCAACAATAACAATCACTGCCCACTAGCCGGGCACAGCCGGGAGAACTTGGTGATGTGTCCGTTCGAGATTCCTTCGCGTGGGTTGAGCTTCCTTCTGGTGGGAATGGGAGGACGATCGACGAAAAACTAGTGGCCAAGAGTCAACCAAGCGGAAAAAGCATCGAAGGATACCTAGGGGACTATCGAAAGAGATAGGGGGCAAGGGGGGTGCTGATTGCGCATTCACGGCGTTTCAGTGGGGTGGAGAGTTTGTGTGCCAAGGCTACCCGGGACAGTGCCAGGAGCGGTTGGGGTCTAAAACTCCCTAAAGCTCTGGCTCTGGCCACACCCGACCGTCCGTCCATTCTACTGTAGACCTGTCCGATGGAGTGGCTGTTGGATCCGATCCAGCTTGAATATTGGCGATTGGCAGTGGCCTGATCAGTGGTCCCAGTGCGAAATTGGTGGACGCCAACAGTGTACTGACCAGTGACGATAGCATCGCGCAGGCTATCGGTCTGCCGAGTCATGCGCGTGGGTGCGTCCCTGCCAACTGCGTAGGTACGCGCAGAGCAGAGGGGCAAGACACCTTTTGTTTCTCTGACAATACCTGGGGGCGTATTGTCGCAGAGGCATGCGCCTGTTGGACACTGCGAACGAGGGGATGGATGAACACAGCAACTGCCTAACGCCCGACGACGATGATGATGCCTGGTGGTGTTGAACGAGGGCAGGATGGCAGGATGGAGGGTTTCTGGTGGTGAGTTGATGGTTGATGGTTGATGCAGATGGTGAGATGGATGGATCAAATGCTTTTGGGTTTGTTCTGGCCTGTGCAGGAGAGAAAAAGGGACTTGGGGGAACCCAGGGCTCAAGACGGCGCGACGGCGCAGGTTGGCGAGTCGCGAGAGGTAAAATCAGGGGGTTTTTGGGAGACATGATTGGCCGATAGCCAGGTAGCGCCTCCACTAAGATGGCAGCAGGGAGCAGCAAATTGTGGGCTGCCGCCACACAAAGCTTGACTATAGGGGCGTGCTGGGGCTGGCTGGGGCGTGTGTGCCAGAAAAGTCAGTGCACAAGCGGCGGAGCAGGCTGGCTTCGAAAAATTATAAAGAGCTGGACATCCCCTCAACCTGGATGTTTCGAAAGTCTTGCGCCGAAGTCCGGACCGAACGTCCCCCCCAAAAGTCAACTACCCCCACCCACCACCGAGCCTCTCGTCCTCATTTGTCAGCAAGCCCTGCCAGCTGTCAGTCTGCCAATCACACCCCCACCTATTGTCCTCATCATTGCCATCGGTCTGTCACCTGCACCTGCCAGCCACAGCCTGCCAGAGACGACCCACTTTTGAGAGCATCCCCACACCACGTCATCCCCCCGCAACACCACTACAATATCGTAGTCGTTGCCGACCTGGTCTTATTCATCCATCGTCCATTCACACGGCTCACCACTCACCTCACCTCGTCGTTGCACCTTCATTCAAGTGTGTCCTGTCGTCGGCCGCGCTCGTCCACCGAAACAGTCATTTCCGACAACGACCAACAAAGGATACTGCGCCCTCGGCCTGCCTGCCTTCCTTTGTTCTTTGCCGCCGACATATCTAGGACTCGAGTCACCGTCGTCAGACACACGACCTTCCTCCCCGTTCCCCCTCAACCCATCGGCGATACATCTAGCCGCACAGGCCACAGTGCAGTGTAGCCAAGAAACAGCCCATCTCCAATAGAGGAGAGATCTGAGCAGAAGAGCAGAAGAGAAGTGAAGCAGTCTAGTATCTCGGCTTCCTCGTCGTCGCCTCCGCAGGAACTCGAGTTCCCTCCGTCGTTGTCGCATCGCATCAGATCCCCGACGTCGTCGATAATCAACCCTCCTCGCAGTCCGCACCTCGTCACGAAGCCTACGATCGCTCCGATTTGACCATCGAACCGATCGTTGACCTTTGAGGTCCTGCCCGTGTGTCAGATATATAGGTCTTCGCCAGATCTATCTACCGTATCGCCTTTCGCAGTTGCTGTTGCATCTGCTGTGTTGGAGAGACATTTACTTGTTTATCTCCTCCACGTCTGCACTTCACTCGGTAAGGCTCTTCTCAATCTATTTCTGCCTTGCCTTGTCCGGAAGTTGTTGCCATGCTGTGACCGATATTCGTAGAAGTTGGGGGGTTGGTCAGATTGATTTGGCGGTGACCTCGTTGCCCTCCAACCCTATCAGCCTTATCCCTTATCTCTTATCCTCTGTTGCGCTGCTGCCCCGCGCTGATGCGGTGCCCCACTTTGCCATTTCCCAAAAACTATTTAAGGACCCTTCCTCTGCCCTCAGTTTCTTCCCTCTCCCACAATCGCCGACGGGATCGCACGATCGCGACAACAACTTTCTGTATTTCTTCCGCGCCTCCATTCATTTCCAACTTCGCGCACTGCATCGCATTGCATTCTTCGTTTTGACATCCTTTCTGACATTGCACATCATCCGCAGTCCCTCGGTTCAGCTTGCCCTCATTCGTGGAAACACAGTGAGCATACATCATCCACAAGATGGACGGCATCCAGACCCATCCCGCCACGGCTGCGCAGGCAAAGGCTTTCACTGCCACCGGCTCTCTCTCGTTCCCTGGCGGTGCTGTTGAGCTCGGTACACCTGCCTTTGGAGTCGACCAGAACGGACAGCGCCTTGTGAACGCTGGTCCTCAGCAAGGCGGCCCAGTTGCCAACGGTACCGGGGTGACTCCCGCCACACCTGCCGCGACTCCTGCTGCTACTCAGGGTGGAAGTGGATTGACTCCTACCTTGCAGTATGTATAACCTGTACGATCTGCATGTTTTTGGACTTGGGCTCACCTCGCATGCCAAAAGGAACATCGTCGCTACGGTCAACCTCGATTGCCGATTGGACCTGAAGACGATTGCCCTGCATGCGAGAAATGCTGAGTACAATCCCAAGGTACGTTCAATGCGATGCCCCAGGTATTCCTATCACATGCTAATCTCGTGTGAGTAGCGATTCGCCGCTGTCATCATGCGCATTCGCGAACCCAAGACCACGGCTCTCATCTTTGCCAGCGGCAAGATGGTTGTCACTGGCGCCAAGTCCGAGGACGATTCCAAGCTCGCGTCGCGCAAATACGCACGCATCATCCAGAAGCTCGGCTTCAATGCCAAGTTCACGGACTTCAAGATTCAGAACATCGTCGGTAGTTGCGACATCAAGTTCCCCATTAGGCTTGAGGGTCTTGCTTCTCGTCACCACAACTTCAGCTCCTACGAGCCCGAGCTGTTCCCCGGTCTTATCTACCGCATGATCAAGCCCAAGATTGTGCTTCTGATCTTCGTCAGCGGCAAGATCGTTCTCACCGGTGCCAAGGTCCGAGAGGAGATCTACCAAGCCTTTGAGATGATTTACCCCGTGCTTCAAGGTAAGCCCGCATGTTCCACGTCTGTGCATGAACGAATGACTAACATCTTGCCCTGCAGATTTCCGCAAGGTCTAGAACACCTTGAACGACAAGTACGAGGATAAGCACAAGGTTGACCTGGCCCGCAACAAAGCTGGACTTCCCCCTCTCACGGATGAGGATTTGGCGGCCCAGGATCGCCCCACCACCGTCAAGGCTGGTGCATCTGCTGTAGCTCGCAAGAAGCAGTAACTCACTCTACCCCTCATCCTACCCACGCTTCGCATGGGCACCTTGTACGAGTATATCTCTTCATGATTTCACGATTTTCCTCCGCCGGCGGTGATCAGGACACAAAGAAAATACAACTTTCACGAGCCCGGATCACTAGTCCCCTGTATCATTGTCATTTCCCACACTGCATTGCACAGGCGTTCTACAGGAGTGGATCTTTACACCAGGGCCCAGACTGTCTGGTTTCACGGAAAACGTCTCAAAGGATTCGATCGGACGGGACACAAAGACTGCGACCTGGCATTCACCTACGACACACGCCTGATGGTTGATAATGCCATCATAATTCGACCGATGGAGCATGGGCTAGTCCCAGGGTGAGAGGAGGGTCTGTGAGGAGGCGCATGGATGAGCCTGACGTCGCGCAGCTGCCTCAAGGATGGCGACTGTTGCAGGCGGGGGAGTTTGTGATGAGCTGCATCAGCAGTATCATTCGATGGGGGCACGCAGCATATCAATCGCCTCAAGGCATTCATAAGCCTGCGTGGGCTTTTGTGCATTGTGCATGGTGAATGCTCTCTGCCTCTTTTGCTTGATCAATGCTTCTTGAAGGGCATGATCACAATAGATGCATGCATTTTTGCCTGCCACTTACAGAAACCCGTACTTTAGACGACTCAGCTTAGAGAATACATTTCAGTACGCACCAAATCATTGCCCAGCTACAATTTTGTGAATTGCTCTTGCTAGCCGGTTTGGGGCTGAGATTTAAGTCTAGCTGCCTGGTCTATTTCGTCAATGTAGATCATGCTGTTCAATCATGACTCGCCCGATCTAATTCCTCTTGTAATATCAGCCCGGTCCTGCCTCCTCTGCTCCCATCCTCCGTAGCAATGGACTCCTCGACATCTTCCTCCGCAGCATTCCCATCACTGCGGCTGAGCGCACCACCACCACCCCTCCAAGCCCACTTGTCCGCAAACTCGGGCGGGCGCCGGCCCACGATGCAGTCGACCACGCTGTCCCCCAGCACGGGCAGGAACTTGAATGCGTGGCCGCTACCACCAGTAGCGATGAAGATCGACCCCTGCCGCCCGGGCACGTAGTCGACGATCCAATCGCCTGTGGACGTGTCGGTATACCAGCAAAGCCGGGTCCGGAAGAAGGGCCGGTCGTGCAGCGCGGGCCAGGGGACCAGGCGGCGCAGGGCGCGGCGCAGGTCCTGCTCGCCCTCGGGGGGGATGGCGAGGGTGGGGTCGTTTAGGTGGGTGTGGGGTTGGGAGATGGTCTGGGGGCGGGAGTTTGTGTTGGTATCGGTCTTGGAGGTGTTGGTGGTAGTGGGTTCGGACTTGGTGTTAGAGCTGGGGTGGGGACCCAGCGGCTTCGAGGTGACGGTCTTTGGGTTCAGGTAGCCGTAGCCGTGACGCGCGACCTTGAGGACGCCGTCGCACGGCGGGATGATGAAGTGGCCCGTCGACATGTTGAGCAGCACGGGGATCTTCTCGAGTTTGGCCTGCTCTTCTTCCGTGATGTGCATGTAGGCCAGCACCTGCCCCGTTGCCACGGCCTGCGATTGCAGGTCGAGGAGCGAGGGCGTCCAGGCGCCTGCCGCTACTATCACGAGGTCCGCGGACAGCCTGCTGCTCTCCCCATCTTCTGCTGATGGCTTCATTGTGGCTCCTGTCACCCGCCCGTCTGACGCGGTTTCCAGGCGCTCTGCCGTGCCGTTGACGAACTCGACGCGGTTCGTCGCGAGCACGCGTCTGTATAGCCAGTCCATGCACCGCTCCGCGTCCGCCCACCCGCTCCCCTCGTTCAGGTACCCCCAGTCTGCAAACTCGCCGCCCGTGCCACTTATGTGTCCGATGGCCCGAGGCGACGGGAGCATCCTGATGGAATCCAAGGGGCGGCCCTCGCGCTGTGCTAGAGCTAGCGCGTTAACCCAGCTCCTTTTTGCGTAGCCCAGGGCCGTGGGTACAGTCCTCGGGGCCGCAACGCCATCCTTGTTCTTGCCGTCTGTGTTCCCGTCCTGGGTCTTTTCCGCACCGCCGAGAACGCGCACGGTATCCCCATTGCCCGCGTCCGCGGCCAGCAGCAGCCCGGACTCGGAGTAGCGCCCCTCGCGGCCCAGGTCGTCGGCCGGATTTGTAGTTTTGCGGCGCCAGTGCTCCGAGGCGCGCGAGGCGAGGGACGCGTAGGCCGGGTCGGCGTAGTCGGCGCGGATGATGCGGCTGCTGTCGATGGACGCGGCGTCACGCGCGGGGAAAACGCCCGGCTCCGGCGAGCGGTCGAGGATCGTGAGGCGCGTCTGCGAGAACTCGGGCCGCTGGGTCAGCGTCCAGGCCGTGCTGAGGCCGAAGGCGCCCGAGCCGATGATGAGGATGCTGGACGGGGCTTCGTAGGGGGGCGGGTGGCTGCCTGTTGGAGCTGGGTTGCTAGTCGGGTTGTTGGGTTCGGTCGTCATGGTGGGTGGTGGTCGTGGAGGGTAGGTGTGCCGTATAAGAGGTCTCTCGCTCTCTTTCGAGCTCTGAGCTTGCGTCCACTCGCTTTGGAGTTCTGAGGTTGTGCCTACACAAGGATGGTTAGATGTCCTCAAATGTACGGGTGAGGTAAAGACATATGTTCGTATGTAGCTGTATATTCATGGAGATAATTCACAGTATATACGAGCTGGCTGAGTCAGTACGTCTCCGACTCTGCGAGGTGGAAATATTGATAGCAGATTGCCCCGCAGATGCGGTCTATGTCACTATCATGAGAACGAGAGGTGGGTTGTGACTTCCAGTTGTGACTTCAAAATGTGACTTGGGTAAGATAAGGAATGATCAATCGATTGATGGCAGAGAGGGAAAGGGCGCCGGTGACGATTTCGTCAATTGCGCACATGCAATCTCCAGCCTGGAGCAGGTCGGAGGGGAAGAAAGTCAACAAACTCCGAAGTCGCCTCCCGAATGTGTCATCCCTGTTGACTACAGTATTTTCTCCCTCAGAAGGTTTTGAGTCCCCCTATCTAGCGCGAGTGGCTTGCGTGCAGAAAACTACCTCACGAGCCTCAAGTGGCTTCTTATCGGGATTATTTCATAATCAGCCACAACTAGATGCGGCTAGTGTTATATTTTCGCACGCAGGCCACTCGTGGTCGACTCAGAAGCTTCTGAGCGAGAAAACATGGTACCGAGGCAGCAAGGCTCCGTATGCGAACAACCTCATCCAGCCATTTTCGGCGACATCATTTATTGTGCGCAAGAAGGTGCTCACCCATCGTAACATACGCCCTCAGCTCTACCTTGCTGGCAGGCACGTGGAAAACTGCTCAGCACTATCTCCATTCCATATAGAATGCGCAATCCCACGTAGCACACCGTTCCACCTCCCCAACCGGCTTTTCGTTGCGACTCGACCATGTCGTCCTCCAACAATCAGAAACTGCCGGATTTCCCCGACGTCGAGGCGAAGCTCCAGAAGCCATCGAGGCAGTCCGCGTTCGAGAAACAGAAGGCTGATGCCGAGGCCAAGCGCAAGAGGGAGGCTGCCGAGACCGCTGCCGTGTACGAGAGCTTCGTCAAGAGTTTCGATAACGACGATGACGACGACAATGGGAACATGCCAGGCCAGCGCGGCGGTCACCAAGGAGCGAACCTCGGTCGCCCAGGTGGAAATGGTCCCGCCTTTGGGGGTGGAGACCCGCCGAAGAGACATTTCGGTGCAGGAAACGCAGGTCTGGGCTTGAAGAGCGGACCTGGATCTCTCCCCCCAGCGCCGCCCGCCTTCGGCAAGAAGAAGTTCGACAGCTTCCAACAAGGCTTCAACAGGAAAGGCCTGGATGACGGGCGTGGGCAACTCGGACCTCGTGACGATGACAGTGAAAGGAGCCAGGCGTCGAGACCCAAGGGCATTCCCAAGGCATTCGATACCAGCGATGACGAGACCGACACGCGATCTCGCGATGCGGCGGAGGAGAAGGCCACCGCGAGACCTACACTCCGGCTGTCCAACCTACCTCCCGTCACTTCGCCTGCCGTGATTAAGGCCTTGATACCCTCCACCTTGACCGTGGAGAATATCAAGATTTTACCGTACAACAATACGAGAGGGGGCGAGCGGAAATCCATCGCCGCTATCGTCACACTCTCCCAGGAGACCCCAGCAGCTGATATCGAGGCCGCTGTCAGCTCCCTGCAGAACAGGTATCTTGGCTACGGGTTCTACTTATCACTTCACAGGCATCTATCCTCTGCTGTTGCCACCACAACGATACCGACACTATCGTCCTCGTCGACATCCCAGGCTTTCGGTGCCAAACCTGTCCCTCAAGCAAACGAAAACAACATTTACAAGCCTGGTGGGTTTCACCGCGGGTTCGCTCCGCCGTCGTCCTATGGACCAGGTGGTGGTCCGATGCAGAGGACCATTCTACATGTTCCGGTACAACCCCCAAAGGATATCAAGCAGATTCAGCTTATCCACAAGGTTGTCGAATCGGTTCTGGAGCATGGCCCCGAGTTTGAAGCTCTTCTCATGTCGCGCCCCGATGTGCAGAGAGAAGAGAAATGGGCCTGGCTTTGGGACGCTCGCAGCGAGGGTGGTGTTTGGTATCGATGGCGGCTGTGGGAGGTCATCACGGGCGCCGAGGCGAATGCTGTCCGACAGGGGAAGTATCTGCCACTCTTTGACGGCAGCCATGCGTGGAAGATGCCTGAGAAGCCACTGACTTACGAATACACTACTGCGATTGATGAGTTCGTATCGGATCCAGAATACAGCTCCTCTGATGAGGAGGATTTCGAGGACGAAGGCAACAAGCCCCCGGAAGGTGGTGACAACGAGAAAACATACCTCAACCCGTTCGACAAGGCAAGGATGGCACATCTACTTGCACGGCTTCCTATGACCCTGACAAAGATTCGGAAAGGGGACATTGCCCGCATCACCACCTTTGCCATCACCCATTCTAGTCGTGGAGCTGACGAGATAGTCGACATGATTGTGTCAAATATTGTGAAGCCATTAGCCCTCACATCCGCAAACCCAGAGCACAAGAAAGGTGGGAGTGACGAAGAGCTCGGACGCGGGTCCCAGGATGCAACACCATTGCCTGAGGACGTAGCTGCGAAGACAGCCGAGGCACAGGATACCAGCGGCTCCAGCTTAGTTGGTCTCTACGTTGTCAGTGACATTCTCTCGTCCTCGGCTACAAGCGGACTCCGACACGCATGGCGCTATCGCCAGCTCTTTGAGACCTCGCTCAAGCAAGGCAAGGTCTTTGAGATCTTGGGCCTCACTGCCGAACGCCTGAATTGGGGCAGACTTCGTGCGGAGAAATGGAAGCGCAGCATTGGTCTCGTCCTCAGCCTCTGGGAAGGCTGGTGCGCATTTCCTAACGAGAGCCAGCAATTATTCATGCAGACGTTCGAGAACCCCCCGAGTGCGAAGAAGGAGGAGCAGACGGAAGAGGTGGTCAAGAAGGCGGGCAAGTGGAAGACCGTCGAAGCGGGGTCTGGGGTACTCGGCGAAGAGAAGGCATTCCTCCCCGTGTCTACACGCACGGACGCAGGAGATGACAATGGGGAGGGTGGGGCATCGATGGATGACGTTGACGGCGAGGTCATGGATGAGGATGCGGACATGATGGACATGGACCTCGACAGCGACATCGATGGCGTACCTATGGACGACGACGAGGAAGAGGGTGGGGTGGCCATGGATCAAGATCAAGCAGACAATAACAATGCCGACGAAACCAGTCACGCAGAGAAGCCCCGCGCGTCTCCACCGAAAGAATCACAACAGCCCAGGAGGCGCTTGAGGGCGGTGGATATGTTTGCCGACTCTGACGGTTCGGATAATGGCAGGTGATGACAACTCAACGAAGATGTTGATTGCGCCATGCGCCGCGCCACTCTGCTCACGATTTGGCTTGCGCAAATAGCTCCACCGTGTGATGTAAGTTCAGCACTTTGTGTACACAGCCTCAGCCACGCAGCCCACGAAAGTTGTCTTTCGCGTAATTGACAGGACTCGTTCCTATCAATCTCGCACGTGTTTGTTTTGAGGAAAGAGATGCGAAGGCGTGCGTGTTGTCACGAGACAGAGACGCGAGGTGTGAACAGAGTGCTTACGGCGTTGGAAACAGTCAGCTAGTTCAACTCAATCCGAGTCGACTGCAGTATCAAATGCCGTGCAATTCTCTGGTGTCAGCGTTGTTGGACATGAGGTCAGGGCGATACTTCAAGGCAACGGCACCAACTCGAACAGGCTGTGGAGCCCGAGGAACGGACTGGTCAATTGTTGAGGACAGAGACTACGTCCACTTTGGATGACAGACCAGGAACCTGCCTTAGGCGCCAAGGCTGGTGCATTGGTCCCCTTGGCTCTCCCGTGGTGAGATTCGCGGCTTGCACACCGAGCTCGGCGTGGGCAGGCAGTAGCAGCTAGTAAGTTACCTGCACCCGCAATGTTCGCGGCGGTGGCGTTGTGTCGGCAGACCAGAGCTGCAGAGTTTGACCCTCGACTCTCGACGAACTCGACGCACTCGACGAAATCGTGGTCCATGCTCCCATATTCCATTCATAAGCTTGATGATATGGTGACCGGAGAGTCTTGCTCCAATGTCAAGAAGCCCTGCGGAGCCTGATGCCCACGCCAATGCTGGTTAAGGTTCTGTCACCGGAAGCCTTCGAGCGAGATCTCGAAACTTTTTCGCGCCGAGCGAGTTTCTTAGTCATCCTCGGTGGTAGTTGTCAAAATTGAAACAATCAAATTCCCATCTGACGCCAGCCGCCCAAGTGATACGCGCGCCGTTGTCTTGTCGGCGCCACCCCGTAGTGTAGTATCCACTAACTACTTACTCTCTTGCTCGACAGGTGCTTAACAACGCGGCAAAGAAGCCCAAGAGCGGTTTAGGTTTAGACCGGTCGAGACCATCCAGATGATAGATCCTAGTCTGACCCAATCTGGCCTCTTGATCGTTGCGCTGATCCTCTTCTGACATGGCGCCCGGTACCAAGATCCGTCCAGTGGCCTACTGTACCCCGAATTTGATGAAGCTAGCTAGAGTACCATCATCACCTCTGACCTTCTCACTTCAATGTTGTGAAAGTTTGTATCGCGTACAGCTGATCAGATGATAGAAAGGAAGTGTTCTTCATGCTAGGATCTATGAAATGGAGCCGGGGAGCTGCGCAGGGACGAACCCCTGTGCCTAGTCACGTACCTATAGGTACCACCTGGTCACGTGGGTACCACCTTGCGACAGCTTGTGAAAGTTGTCATCAAAAGTACCGACACTTACCTCTCCAGTCTAGCTAGCTGGGAGCGAATCCATTCCTCAGCACTGCGCCGTCCCCTGCGCCTAACCGACAGTGGCCAGGCTCACCGAACTCTCATCTGCTTTTCTTGGCACCTGTTCTCCATGGCCCCGCGCCCCCGACCCCAAGCCCCCGTTTTGGTAGAGCACCGATGCCCCCAGTCACGTTCCTGGGACGTCCAAGGCTCCGTCTACGAGGTTCGGGACATCGGGCTAGATAGGTGGCGCTCACCAGGCACCGCTCACCAGGCACCGCTACGTTGACTACATTTGACTAGCTAGAAACGCTAATACAATTCCGTCATACCTTTGACGACGACATCACTTCACTTCGCAAGCAAGCAATCAAGCAACATGATGTTCAACCGAGAGAGAATGTTATTGTTCATTTTACTAGCTTCAAAGCTGTGTGATGACACATCGCACTTGATGAAGAATCGGCTTATACAGGATTCCCTCGCGCTTAGCTAGTGCGACGTCAGCGCCAGGAATGTCGAGGTGAATCTGATCGGGGCAGTGAAGATGTTTGGTGCCGACAGTGTATGTAGAGTTGGCCGGTGACATTTGTCTAGGTTTGTTTTGATGAATGATGGCTGGCAGGTGATGGTGCCCGGGGCATGGTGGATACGGTAGCTCAGACAGGTACTCGTCAGGGCTCTAATCGCCTTGACTCAGTTTTGAAGTCGTGCCGACTTCTGGGCCAGGGCCGTTTACTTGGTTCCCGCATGGTATCCCAGAACGAGGAACGACTGGAAAAACCTGGGTCAACGGCAATTCGAGCCCTGGCGAGTACGTTGAGATTGACGGCTCACTGGGATGTTGGAGAAATGGGGCTTGGTTATAGCATGACTAAGCAGGTTCGACATCATCCCGCCATATGTATCTTCTGTCCCAAGTTTACCTAATTTAGCCCGCGAGCTCAGAAGGTTTTGGGCCTCGTAGAGGGGCGTCTGTACAAAGTCTACAGAGGCAGACGCTAAGCAGGGGTTCTTGCGACTGAGTTTCTCACCGAATAGTTTGATATCAACAATGTCTTCATCAAGTTTCGCGCGGACGACGAGGATAGCCGCATAAATTGGGCTATGCCAGATGGAGAACACGGACTACGCGCTTTCGTCGCAAAAATCATAATAAACAATCATCACACTCCCGAGCTTTGCCTCTTTCGAGCAGGCCTGACTCAGGATCACAAGGTAGTTCGATGAGGAGCAGGGGTGTCAGGACATAGTTATGGGTTGATGGTCAGCCAGCAAAATGCAACGAGTTGCGACTATGTGAGAACCTGTCTGCAGCATAGCAATTTACTTCGGCTAGTATTGTCATAGAGCAGTTCAGAATATCCCAGTAATCTTGAGCGGAGCTGAAGAATCAGGGCGGACCTGATAAGTCCATCCAATGTAGGTGGTGCCTAACGTTTCCCAGCTAGAGCTGTCACCTAAGTTGGAGCCTGGTTCACGCAATGGATGGGGTGGCGTATCATTGGCGTTGGGCAAGGCGTTGGGAACCTAAGTACTCCTGGATCACTGGCTGAAATCCATGTGAAGCTCCGGCCAGACCAGGAGGTGCCAGAGGCGTCCACAGCAGCATGCCAGCACGACTACGGTCCACCTTTGGACGCCACGCAGTTCTTCGCCGCTGTACGCAGAGGCTTGTGCTGCTGATTCTCCGGGAACTGTTCCCTCTGCAATGTGGGCTAGATGATATCCGGCTTGGACTAGATACGCGTGAAGAAGTTGATACCGTTGTGGCGGGAACGTGAGCGTATAGAGCTGCCGAAAGAGAAAGAAATAACGGCTTAGTTGGGCTGCGCTAGATGCGCCTTGCACTTCAAACAGTATACTTGGTTGATTTTCCTTCTTCCAAGTGTAAACCTTGATATTCAGGGCTCGGAGAATAAGACAGGTTGAATCAGTGGACCAGAGGCAGCCATAATACTTAATAAACGAGACCTCTGCTCTTGTCTATCCTTCCCAGTTGACCTTTTACACTTATTCCCACCCTGCACCGACAACCCCCCCCATAACTTCGGTGACCACAAGCACAATCGAACTGTTGCCCACATTGCATCAACACGTGCTTCACGATCACCTGGAAATCACAAGCAACACCAGCCAACAGTGATTTATTATATATCACGTTCCCACCGTGCCTCGACGACTTCCCCTCATTACTTCCACAACCACAATCGAACTATTCCCACATTGCACCAACACGTGCTTCACGATCACCTACAACATCACAAGCGACACCAGCCAACAGTGAGTTATTCTATATCTCGATCACTCCCGCCGCCCGTCTTTGCCTTTCCATCCGCATGCTCATGCTCTTGCCGGGACGCCTCTCCTACCGGTCTCGCTCCCACTCCCTCCCGGCTCCAAACTCTGACTTGACCGGGCCCCCCTCTGACCCCCATCCTGTTCTTCCATCAGCCTCGCACTTCATCGCAGGGCTCGTCACACTGTACCGCGGGCCCAACCCCGGCTTGATCGAAACCCCTTCTGAACCCCCTTCTGTCATTTCATCAGCCTCGCACATCATCGCAGGGCTCGTCACACTGTCCCACGTGCCCACAAGCTACTCGCCTCGGTCTAGTACCCGAGACGTCCCCGTACTGAGACCGTCTATTCGGCGCCTGGTAGCTCGCATCCATTCATCTTCTCGTTCTTGTCCTCGTCCTTGTCCTTATCTTTACTCTTCATCTTCTCACCACCCCCTTACTTGATCATCGCATTTGCATCCATCCTCCTCTACATACGGTTCACTCCACACGTCAACGTCAGTGTCACTTCTCTTCATGTTCCATTGACCACTTCGAGTGCCCAGTGGTACTCGAGGCTGCATCATCCTCTCCCGGTCGCCTGAACCACGGGTCATGCAGCTGGCGCCCGCTGACATCCGACCGAAGTGTCGAGTCTGTCGTTTACTAATGTCCAGGCACAACAGACTCCCAACTTGCCGATTATCGGTATAGATCTTCGGATTGCTATCCTTCCCCGAAGACATCGTCGGCCGAGTGACCATCACTTGACCGACGATCACAGTAAGTTACTACCCACCTCACTTCCGTACCTACCTTGCCCATCGGATCAGCTTGCAGTTGAACGTCTTTGTGGCCGTTAAACTTTGGTCCAGTGTGGCTACCCACACTGTCGGCTGCACCATCACAGCTGCAACACCAGATTATCTGCTGCCCGTGATATCTCTACCCCCAAGGTATCCGAGACAAGAGTTACAACTGACATCTTTTTGCACAGATATTCACTCTTCATCCATCGAACAACATCTCAGCGGCGACCATATACTGTCTGGCCAGTCTCACCCATCGCAATATATCCATCTCGTCGTCGAAATATCTCCAGGTTACACTTTAGTGAGGTTTGCAGCCCTGTCGGAAGACCTCTATGAGCCGCTTGTCATACTAAGCTGACCCGACTGTCGATTGATTATAGAGCGAATAAGTCATCATCGAATACCAAATTGACTAGCGCCCCTTTCCCCACGCCATCCCTGACCTACTTTGCCCGTGTCGTGTCGGATCATTGTCAACCCCCCTTGTTGAAAATGTCTACACAAAACGAGGAGATGGAGGAGAGACAGGTATGGCTTGCGGTGATGGGGGTGTGGGGTGTATTCATCAAGGAGAAGGGTACATTCTTCGGCGGAGTAAAGTACGCCTGGTAAGTCTTATCCTATAGCCTATTACGTCTACGCATCGTTTCTCTGCACATAGGCGCTAACACTCTGACCCCACTGCTTGTAGTATACCTTGCCACATAGGAGGCCGCAATTGGGAATGCGAGCATCACAAGGAAGAACTATTTCCGGCGAAAGGACCGGGACGGCCACGCAAGGGAAGCCCTCATGTTCAGAGCAAAAAATGTTGGCGCGGCCAATGCGACATATGCGGTCCGGGTGCTGCGCGGAATTCCGCGGCATTACGAGCCCAGGCGAAGCTGGGAATTAACACGGGATCGGTGGGGAGTGCACCACCGATGCTGCCTACGGGAGCAACGTCCTCTTCGTTGCCGATGTACTATTCCGGTCCCGGCCAAGACGGGCAAAGCTTATTCATGCCTCCGCAAGGCTTTGGTCCCGGCCCTGGTGTTGACATGGGCCTAAACCCATACTATCCAACGGGATTAAATCAGCCGCACCAGCTCGAAAACCTCCAGCTGCCACCGCACATGCCGGCCCAGATGCAGAATCAGGGCACTCAGCATGGGCCGGCTTTCGATTATTCTTTCCAGCAGCACGTAGGATACCCTCCGATCCCACAGAACGGCGTATCTAAGAAGGAGTACGTGCCCACCGGCAAGCCTCGCAGTCTCCCGAAAGGAAACGGCGTGAAGAAGGCCACCAAGGCCAAGCCCGCTGCTGCAGCTGTATCGACGCGTACTGGCGGTCGCGGTCGCGGCGGACCCACCGGGCCCGGACTGCCGCCGGGCTCGGGGCTTATCGGTTCCGGTACACCATCGACAGGATACGAAGGCCATGGCTATGGCTTTCCCGAAGTCTTCCATACCATGCCTTCCAAGCCATACTATGGAGGCCCCGTTATTAGCTTACCTCCTCTCACCGACTTACCTCCTCTCATGACGCCATCCGCGAGCGGACAGTCGTCCAACTCGGACTTTATGGGCCCCGGCACACCAGCGGCATCCTATGGAGTCCTCTACAATGGCTTACCTAACGCCTTCGCCACCATGCCGGATCCCATGACGCCATTCGGGGGCGGACAGCAGCCCGGCTCGGGGCCTGGGGCTTTTGGCATATCAGCGTCAGGCTCTCAAGCCCAGGACATGGAAAACCCAGGGGAATTCATGTCCCGGGTTTGCAATGGAGATCCCACGAATTGCATGTGCGCCGCCTATGTGGCATTCAACCTTGACTCCATGAGCGGCGCTCTCTACTCGCAGCCCAAAAGGCAATGATACAGGGTACTTACTAACTCATATCGTGGGACAACGATGTACGACACATAACGGATTTGATTTTTACGGGAGGTTACTGGATATAGAGCTGTTACTGCTGCCTCGGTCATCACCAGGTATCTTCAACATATTACTTCGGCGACCTGCGCAAGCCTCGAGGCAGCAAGGTGTATAAGAAGGAATGATTATCGGTTATTGCATGGATTAGGAAGCGTGGCATTTGGTACAGCAGGCATAATGATGCGCTAGGAAACTTGACCCATTGGTTGCTCATTACTCGTCTGGGTGTGATGGCTATCTTCAGACTAACAAATTGCGGGTGGGACAATCCGCTTAGTCTGGAGCTGACGTTAGACCCAGACGAGTAGGTTGACACAAGGAAAGTTGGGACACATTCAACCATTATTGATCATCACAGGAATCGGCAAGCGGGACGTTCGAAAGACAGAATAGAGGGGGAGTAGGAAGGTGAAGGCGTTGATGCTTCGTTCGACGGGTGGACACAAGATGACTTGGGAGGGAACCCAGACATCAGATCCATAATAAAGCCGGATGTATTGTTAACACAGTGTTTGCCTCATTAGGTCGACACAAGATAACGTGGGACCAGGGCCGATGAAGAGCCTGTCCATGGAGGAACTCAGACATGACATACAGAGTAATTCCAAATATATTATTAACACCGGAGGCCATCAAGTGTGACTGTGATTCTGTGCACCTTGCCTGTGTAGCCTTGCTCCGATGGATGATATATGTAGAGCATGCCGGCGTTTTGGGTTCTGCTGATCTGCTGTTGACGGGGTCGGGTCGGGTCAGGTCCGGTGCCGGCTCGTCGGGTCGGCCCTTACCATAAAGTTAAGAGGGATCTTGATGCCAAGATGTGAGGCTGAGGTAAGGAAGCACCCAATCGATATGGGAGTAGCAGTGGGTATGTGACAGGAGTTGTGGTTTGGCACGAATAATGATATGCAGTACCCCATGTGATATATTTAGACGTTCTTGGCGTTGAGGCTGAATGAAAAGGGGCGTGGAACTTGGATCTGGGGTACATGCCCCCGTCAGGGGACCCCTGTCATGCATCGTCCGGGTCCCCACATGTAACAATGTAACCCACATGTGACAACTCTGCCGCAACTGCAAGACATCGAAATAATAACATCATCTTCCAATAAGCCAGCTCATCCTACCATCGATCACACTGAGTCCAGCAGGAGCCATATTGAAACCCATAATCCTCGACGCGTCGATCACCCCCGACCGTACGAGACGACAATTTAAACCGGGGTCCCCACCCGAGAGTCGCAGCACAATTTGCACACTGCTCCACTGGCATAGCTACCGTACCACACTTGATACAGACGATACCCATTCCTGCTATATCAATGACACGGTCTACGTCGCACCACTATGGCTGAACCTGGGTACCGACACCGAGACCGCGGACTCGAACGCAATGACGAGCGTGGAGAGCGGTCGGACGACAGTTTTCCCGGACGAGCTTCCAAAACCAATGACAAGCGATCGCGCGACGACGACCCTGATACGGATGAGCGACGGGCGAGGAGGAGATATGCGTATGGAGATGGAGATGGTAGGAGAAAGAGGAGGAGATCGGAGTCTCCACGACGGAGGGAGGAGCGAGAACGTTACGATGGACACAGGCGGAGGGACGATGGCAATACCACAGAGCGACGGCGGGATCGAGAAGAAGGGCGAGATGACTCAAAAATACTCGACGACAGAGACGCACGCGACCATGCCTCTCGATCCACACGCCGTACGCATCATCGAGACGACAACGACAACCACGACCGCAATCACAAACACAAGCACCACCACCACCGTCACCACGCCCACCACCGCTCCCCAACACGCGTCCAGAAGCCGACGCCCACCACCCTGCCCTGCGATGCGCGCCCCCTATCCCGCACGGCCGACTACGGCACCTTCCGCCCGCTGCTGGCGCGCTACCTCGACGTGCAAAAACAAAAAGACATCACGGCGCTCGACGAGCGCGAGGTGCGCGGCCGCTGGAAGAGCTTCGTTGGCAAGTGGAACGCCGGCGAGCTGGCCGAGGGCTGGTATCATGCTGAGCTGTTCCAGGAGGCTGTACTGGAGTGGAAGGAGCTGGGGCTGGATCGCGCGATGGAGGAGGCGGAGGCGGAGCGTGGGCGTGGACACGGACGTTTGGGAAGCGGTGATGGGGAGAAAAGGGGGGTCGATGAGGTACTAGGTGGTGAGGTCCTGGGTGGTGGCATAGTGGCTGGGGAAGATGTGGATGGCGCTGGGGAAGGGCACGGAGGTGACGATGAAGACGACGACGATGACTATGGCCCCATTCTCCCCGACCAAGCCACAACATCTTCATCCGGCACACAGCATCCACAAACAAGACACGGCCCCGGCATCCCCAACCTGCAAGACCTCTCCCTCCAGCGCGAAGCCCACACCGAGTCCACCCTCGAAGCGCGCGACCGCCTCCGCCTCGACCGCAAAGCCGACCGCGCCACGCAGAAGGAGCGCCTCGAGGACCTAGCGCCCCGCGCCGAGCCGGGCACGCGCGAGCGCCAGCTCGAGAAGAAGCGCGAGGTCAACGAGAAGATGAAGGGGTTCCGGGAGAAATCGCCCGGCGGCGAGATAAACGACGCCGAGCTGCTTGGGGGAGGAGGTGGTGGGGGAGGGGATAGTCTGGAAGAGTATAAACGCATGAAGGAAGCGGATCAGCGAAAGAAGACGGAGCGCGAGGTCCGGAGGGAGGAGGTGCAGAGGGCGAGGGCTGCGGAGCGGGAGGAGAGGGTCAGGGAGTATCGAGAGAAGGAAGAGGGAACGCTCGCTGTGCTGAAGGAGATTGCGCGGCATCGGTTTGGGTGAGGATAGCGGGTGGGTGTAAGAGGAGGGGCTCTTAATTCACAGGTGTTTTCCGCGATACTTATCTCAGCCTCATGGTTCCTTGGGTATGTAGTACTCACTTCGCTGGTTTATTGCAAAAGCTCATCATGGTACTTGTATCCTGGGGCTGACGACGTGAAGCACTAGTGGTGGGCGACTTTGTTCAGTGGCGGCACGGGGACTACCTACTTGATGAAGAGTCCAAGCTACGCACGAGTGACCCACGAAGCAACGATTGGACGGCTTTGAGCTCAAATAGAGAGTATAGTACTATCAGTATCGCGAGACCTAATATAGGCTCCTAGCCGAGGGGCAAGTCCACTATGCTTGGCTGCTCTGTGCGGATCACAATCACGCCCAGGCGGGCTTCTTATTCCCTCCCAAATAAGTACTTTACGCGGCACATCAGAGGCTATCTAACTCTTCAGATAGACAGACCTCCCCGAGCCTAACGCGGCGGAACAGCTACCTCCCTCGATCGAATTCATGACATTCACCGTCGGCACCGGTTTGAGAACAAACCCGTCTCGTCAAACTCCAGGCTCGACATCGAGGTCGGATAACGTCGGATAACCGCGCTTGTTGTGTATGGCTGGGTCGTCGCAGGCGTATCGGCACGCTGTTAGGTGCTCCCTGTGGAACATGCGCAGAGTGCAGTGCACTCCAAGTAGGCCTGCACGTTGGCGAATAAGAGATGGCGACGGGCCAACATGGCATCCTCATACGTCCAACCGCGCGGCTCGCAGAGCGGCGGCAGCTGGATGTATGTTGACGCGCGCGCCGGGAATGCTGCGGCTGAACTGCGGTAGGTGGGCCAGGGAGGCTGGTGCATGAGAGGCTGGTTGCGATGTTGGGAACCAGAGGGGGTAGCAGTTGTATATATGCTAACGTGAGCCGAAAACAGCATCAATGACGTTCCCTTGCCGGTTTTCCGGGTGGTAAATTAGTCGGCAGGACAAACTTGAGCTTGCTCGTTTTCCGGCAGTACTCAGGAGCCCAGGCTTTAAAATGAACCTCACTACTGTTCTTTTTTAACAATTCAGCACGCTTTCTAGAGGTCTGCTGTTCAAATGGCATCTGCGAAATTTTTGATTTTTTTTGAAATGGGTATTTTTTGAAATTGATCTTTTACACCATACCTACGGTTGAAAAGATCGCTGACTCACATGGCGTCGACCTGCTGCGTCTTGTCTGTGGGTGAGTTCTGCAACGATGCATAGGTGGTCGACCCAGGGGTAGGTGGCGCTGCCCCAGATCCGTGCACATGCGGATTGGGTCGCGGATAGTGCTGGCTGGCTGGCTGGCTCGCGACGTCGATGGTGGATTTGGAGTGGGAAGAAGTCGCGGTGGCGGTCTTGCTGGTTCGTTGCTCGCTCGTCCATGGCAGCTCTGGATGCTATGTAGCTGATGGCTACGTAAACGAGGCGTCCTTCCACCACGTCGATGAGCCGGACGATGGGCGGCTTCTCGAATGCGGTGGATGGGTTGCAATGCTCGTTCGAGGCGATGCACACGCCTGATTGCTTCTATCGTGCGGTCTATGCGCCGGAGCATCGAGCCCACTACAGAGATAGGAGGGTCTGTTGAGAGAGTCAGGGACCCCTTTTCCTGCCCATTGGGGGACTCGCGTACGAGAACAAGGTGTCCGACGTTGTCTACTCCTTCGCCATGCTGGTCATGCTCCATTGCACCTCTCGCTGCTGCCACGTGAGAGAGAGGAACAGCTGGGGCAAACCAGAGTGAGAGCGGCTAATTTTTTCCTCCGCGAGGGACGGCTGGAGGAACTGGTTGAAGACCTCACAGAGGGGACAGGATGCAGGGCTCTGCGGTGCCGAGATCGGTCTGTAGCATACTAACTGCTTGGTCCCGACGCAGAATGAGAGGTGGCTCTTACCGCAGGTGGCGGCAGTGGGAACACAATCCTTCATCGGCTGGGCGGCCTGCGGTCCTGGCAGGATTGGCAGGCATTATGGAAGAGATGGGTGGCGCTCCAGCTCTTGTGTGGGGAGCTGTCTGTTATTCAGTCAGAGCCGTGTCGACAGGTGGGTTGGACGCCGACTATGACCTGGCAGTAGTTGCAGTCCGGGGAGGGGTTATTGCAGTTCTGCATCGCATCTCTGATGGAAATGGCACGAAGTCGTGTTTGTGAGGTCAGACTGGTGAGACAATACAACCCCTATCTGTGATCTTAAAAAGGGGTAAACTTCCGCTTAGTCAGAAGAGACCTTGCCGTTATTAGGCTGGGGGAGTACCTCTTACTTGCGTGTAGAAATCAATACCCCTACTTGGCAATTCTTCATGGCTTCATTGGGCCCGTGAGCGGGACTGACTGTACTTATTATCTTGAGACCTCCACAACCCTGCGATACAGAGGCTCTGGGAGGCGTGGTTTGCACTACTGAGGAGCTACCCCCCACGTTAAATACAATCAATCAATCAATCAATCTTCATGGCTTCATTGGAAACATGTCCGGTATCGTGTCATGAACTACGCATCCTGCCCTCTCACGGAACAAGTGGCTCCTATGAGGAAATTTAAGATGGAAGCTTTGGGATGGAGTTGGAATATCTGAACTCGGATCGTGATCTACCGATAACTCCAATGACGTAGTGCGAGGATGCCCCACCAATGTCGTATACCATCTTTACATCCACAGAATTATCCCACTCTTCGACCGCAAGAAATTCAGCAGCCTGTACTCAAACTATCAAAAAAACCATATCCCAGTGAATGTCTAGTAGACTCTCGCTCCTCCCACCTCGTCTTTTCAGCCGCCCAATAGCTCGCGCAATGTCCACCACAGCCCCTCCAAAAGACATCACCATCGTCGGCGGCGGCATCATCGGGTGCAGCACCGCCTACTACCTGACGCGGCACCCGGTCTACTCGCCAACGACACACCGCATCACCCTCCTCGAAGCCTCGTCCAACAGTGCCGGCGGCCGCACCGCAGACAGCATCCAGGACCCCGCCACGCTGGCCGACCCCACCACGGCTTCGAAGAAGAACCTCGCACACGACGGCATCGCGGGCGGCGCGAGCGGCAAGGCGGGCGGCCTGCTCGCATTGTGGGCATTCCCGCAGAACATCGTGCCGCTGAGCTTCAAGCTGCATGACGAGCTGGCGAAGGAGCATGGCGGCGATAAGAGGTGGGGATACAGACGGTGCTGGGCGAGCCAGGTCGACTGCAAGGCGCGGCTGCCGCCCGGGTTCGGCGGCAAGAGCGGCGATGGAGCGGCGGACCCTGTGAGTGCGATGGGGGATGGCGCATCCAAGGGACTGCACAAGGACCACAAGAAAGACTCCAAGGCATTGAAGCGACTCGGGGCGCCGGACGATCTGGACTGGTTGGATACCAAGGAGTCGCTGGGCGGGTACGAGAACATGGGCACGCCCGACAACACGGCACAGGTACACCCGGAGCTCTTCACGCGGAGCATGGCGCAGCTTGCCGAGGAGAAGGGAGTCAAGATCGTGACCGGCGCAAGGGTCACAGCCATCAACAAGAGCGCAGATGGGAAGAGCGTCGAAAGCGTGACCTACGAGAAGGACGGCCAGGAAGCGACACACCAACCCACGACAGACTGTATCGTAGCAGCCGGGCCCTGGACCCGCCGGCTCCTCCCCGAAGTGCCCGTCACGGCGGCGCGCGCACACAGCGTCGTGATCCAGACCCCCAAACCGGTCTCGGCCTACGCGCTATTCACGGCCATCGCGCTGCCGACCGGCTTCCCGACGCCCACACCGCAGAAGGCCCGCGGGACGGCCGCGGCGCAGACGCCGCTCAAGAAGCAGCAGGTCGTCGAGCCCGAGATCTACGCGCGGCCCGACGGGACGGCGTACGCGTGCGGACCGACCGACAACGTAGTGGAGCTGCCGGCGACGACAGCCGACGTCGAGGTCGACGTCGCGCGCTGCGACGACATCGTGTATCAGGTGGGCGGCATCAGCGACGAGCTCGGCCGCGACGGGAAGGTGCTCGCGCGCCAGGCGTGCTACCTGCCGCAGGGCGGGCCGTTCATCGGCGAGGTGGGCGGCACGAGGGGTTTGGTTGTCGCGGCGGGGCACACGTGCTGGGGCATCCAGAACGCGCCGGGCACGGGGAAGCTGGTTAGTGAGATTGTGCTGGAGGGGATGGCGAGAAGTGCGAAGTTGGGGGGCTGTGACCCGGCGCGGGTGTTGTGATTTGTGGGAGGGATGGGGGAGAGGGGAGAGGAGAGTGATGGTTTGGATGTGGTTATGATGGATGTATGAGAAATGATCGCGGATGTATGTGAATAGATAGATAGGGGGCTTGGATGCGGGACGTATTGCCGTGGCGGTGTCTGCCATTAGCCTTGTAGATGTAGATCCCGCGCCAACGGTATATATAGAACGAGAAATAGCTTTCACATATCCCTTTGAGCGTTCCATAGCACCAAGTTGTACTGTACATGCCAGATCACCACTTGCATTATCAACTGAACTCTACCCACTGTAATAAACCAATCGTCTTGTTTAGAGCAGACATAGACCGGGCTTTGATTGATGAGAGAAGTGGCCGCAGTGTACTGAATGCCGTCACATTTGCTTCTTTACGTACTTTGCCTACTTGTCAGTGAGCTGGTGCTATCGAACAGTCAAGGGGATATGGTCCTGGACTCCTGACTTGCTAGTCAAATTGGGCTGATACTGACGTGGCAGGAAAAGGGGCCTCACAACCGGACCCGGAGGTTCGGAACTGTGCAATGTTCTATCGACTTCCGATCATCCAGCAACGTTAAACTAGGTACAGGAGAGTCAAATACTAAAAGTTAACTGCGAGATGTTCTGCAAAGTAATGAGTCAATGCCCACCAAATGTGTCTGATAAAACCCTAAGGTCACATCACACTTGCCTATACATTGACATTAATACCTAGTTACCGAAGTATATATATGTAGCTGTATATGTCTAGTAGTCAACCAACCGGATCAAGCTTCCAAAGAGAGAGAGTACCGCTCACCCACGCTGGCCATGACCGCATCTCCATCAGCATCTACCCAAACGCCCCAACCCCCAAGACTAATAATAGGCAGGCGGTGGCGCGGGAAGTCTGGCGCTGGGGAATTTGGCCTGACAAGGGCCCGCTGATTGAAGCGTTAGGTTAAGAGGAGTTCCTTGAAAAGGGGTAGACTTCGTGAAGCTCACCTCTTTCTCTTTACTCCATCGTGGACTTATGGACTGGCGGGTCGGGAGCATGTGGAAAGGAGCATGTGGAAATGGGAATCAATCACATGATGGCAGTCTGATACAGATCATCTTTAAAGCGCACGTCGTGTCCGAGAAGACGGGAACGAACTGGTTGGATCTACCTTGAGGTCTCCTCGTCGTGGCGGATCCTGCCTGGATCTCTTACATGACTAATATACCAGCGGATCGTTGTTGCCGAATTACCCGCCTAGACTAATAACGTGGGCCGCGACGAGCGTCACCAGTGGGTGCACAGTTACGTATACCTAGCCCTAAATACTGATCATGCGAATGGGGCGAAATCCTGCAGGCTTGATCCAAAAGGGGAGACCGGGGAGACCGGGTTGTTCCGTCCTTAGCAGTCTTTAGCGGGCCAGGATGCCTTGCAATATACTATAAAGGTCTGTAGGATCGACTTGCTAGAAATCCTGCGGCCCGGCGGTTGGGTTGGCATGGTCCACCGGATCCGGGTATGAGTGTCCAACATAGTAACGCGCTCCATGACTTACCCCCATTTATATATATATATATATACCCAGCATATGTCTCTGGTCCCATAGTTAATAACTGAATGACTTGTGGACGTAGAACAACATAACTCGACATACATGTGTGTTTATGAATTTGTGTCATCGGTGACGCCACCTACTAGCATCCTCAAGGTCTGTACATGTTGCAGTAGTATAGCTACGCTGGTGTGTACATACATAACTAACCAGGCTAGTGGGGGACGTTAACTTTTACCACCCTGGGCACCTGCAGTCGGGTGAAATATGTTCGGTGTGTTCGAAGGATGAAAACTCATTCTAGTTGCTGAAATTAGAATCGCGAGAACATCCACCGTCATCTCCCACCTTTGGCTCGAATAGGCCTCTCCTCTTATAAGATGCCGGGCTCCTCGCGTGCAAGATAGTTCACAGAGGATATATGTACAGAAACCAGCAGCTCTACAACACCTACTCGACCAGTCATTAAATTGATCCTCTCATTCCTGTCCACTATCTGCACTACTTTACTCCGAGCTCAGAAAATCAACCTAGCCACCACTGCAGTCTTCGACAGCATACCCCATACCATGCATCTCCTACAATGCATCAGTCTCGGCCTGCTCCTGGTGGAAAGCAGCGTGCAGTTGAGCGTGCGGCGGGGCATCGAGCCAGAACAGAACGGGTACGTCGCCATCATCGCCACGGCCACCTCCCAGAGACTAGTACCCCAAAGCTGACGAATACAATCAGTCACATTTCCAAGAGAGCTTGGGATGATGTAAATAAATGCATGGAGGAGCAGTGCTTGAACGGCGTGGCATTCATTCTAATACGCGACACACTCATGACAACACCCGGGGGGAAGAAAGAGCTCGGTGAGAAGAACGCGCAATGCAAAAAATGGTGCCAGAAGAATTGGAATACGATCGGAAGCGACGACCAAAAGTGGGCGGATATCTTGCTAAATGAAATGAAGGAGCCGGACACAGCGCAGTCAGGCGCTCCGGTGACAAGCGCTTACACGCCGTCGTCAGCCGCTTCGGGACCAGGCGGGCGGTATTGTAACGTGAGATATTCAAAGGCGTACACGAAGGCCAACATAAAATTTTCGAAGACGTACACGAAGGCCGACGTAAAGTGGTCAACGTGGGCGTCTCGGTACAATGAGGCCACGACACACTGCGAAGAATCCAGCTCAGAAGAGTCCGACAACGAGGAGGCCCAGGAACAGGCCCAACAGGCGCAGGAGGCGGCTCAGAAGAAGGGAAAAAAGAAGGGAAAGAAGACAGGAAAGGGAGATAATAAGAAAGACTGGCAAATGGTTATGAGGGGTGATGGAACGATAGGTTGGAAAAACAAAATGACAGGTGTGATTCAGTGGTCTGGATGAAACTCAGGTCAAATAGCAGGAGGAAAAGCCGGAGCGTTGGTGAGCATGTTTACTGCGGTGGTTGGAAGGCGTAAGGGCGAAATTAGATATCTCATTTTCCATGTACTGAAGGCAAGTACTAGATGTCAACATGATCAAGCTGGCCGGGTATCCTTTCCACTTGCCCATGGCCCTTAGAGGTCAACATACGTGACCACATCCTGGTTTGACCTAATTCTGCCCCGCGAATAGTCTGAACATAAGAAATCTACTGGGCAAGAAGCCCCGTCAATCTAGGCCCACTGCTTGGTGGAATGATGACTGCAAAGCAGCTGTTCAGACATACAGGGCCCTTTCTAAACAGACTACAAGCCAAGAAGGGCGGAATTCAGCCCGATGAGAATTTCGCTACGTGATTCAGAAAACTAGGAGAGAATACTGGCAGACTCTAATCAATTCAGCGACTGAGCCAAAGGACCTATACAGAATTGTCTCCTGGCATAAGCTATCAGCAGGATTGCGTTCCCCCCCAATCATCATAGGAGACCAAATATTCGAGTCATAAGAGAACAAGGCAAATGCATTACGCTCAGCCATGCTTGAACGAAGTACCTCAGACAACGATATCATCGGCCCCTGGTCCGCTCAGATCATACAACCCAAGCCACACATCCCCCTTGAATACCAGGTCAGACTGGAAGAGGCTGAAGGATATACTATAGGGACCAAGAGCAACTCCCCAGGAATAGACACCCTCACAGTACGGATTCTGAAAGCTTGCTGGCTAGTCATTAGGGAACATATCAGAGTCCTTTTCTAGACCTGCCTACAGATTAGACACCGCCCTAAACCATTCAAAGTAGCTGAGGTAGTGATGATCCCAAAACCAGGAAAGAAAGACTACTCCAATCCCAGGGCCTACAGACCAATATCACTATTGTCATGTCTTGACAAAGGCCTAGAACGACTCATCGCAAAAACAATTACCTGGTTTGTTGTCAAACTTGGAATTCTAGCTCCACAACATTTTGGAGCTCTACCAAAGCGCTCTGCCACTGACCTGATAGCTGCACTCATACACGGTATTGAACAGGCCCTCGACCAAGGCCTCATTGCAACAGTAGTCATGTCAGATGTGAAAGGGGCCTTTGATGCTCCCTAATGGGACGGCTGGTGGTTCGCATGAGAGAACAGGGCTGGCCGGGCTTTCTCATAAGATAGGTCCAGTCATTCATGTCCGAGCGGTCTGCAAGGGTTCGGTTTGAAGGTATTGTGACCAATATTAAAGCTTTCACTTGTGGGCTACCACAAGGCTCACCAGCCTCTCCAATCCTTTACATGCTATATACAGAACCAATCTGTGCCCGACTTGGTATGAAAAAGAGACGCTTTAGATATACAGACGACCTAGCAACTCTTTGCATTAAAAAGAACCTTAAAGAAACAGCTACAGAGGCTTCTGAAAATCTTTATTTGCTCAATCAATAGGGACATAACAACGCTATTGAATTTGACCCTAATAAAACTGAGATCATGCACTTCTTAAGGAAAAAGAACTCAGACAACCCTCCAGTCCGCCACAGGACAATGAACAAAATAGCAAAGGACTTCATGCGATGGCTGGGTGTCTTCCTTAATAGAAAACTAAACTTCAAAGATCACGTTTCCTACTGGACCAAGAAAGCTAATAGGGTAGCAAATCACCTTTAAGGACTATGCAACACAGTTAAAGGACTTCCAGTAAAGTCAACCAAGAGGGCTGTGAAAGCTTGTATTATTCATATTCTTACACACGGCCTGGAGGCCTGGTACCCAGGAATCAAGAAAGTTGGGAGCTTAGGTGGGACATCAGCATGTCGCATTAAGGGGCTTCTTGGAACAATAGATGCCGTACTACAAACAGCGATCAGGGCTATCTTGCCAGTCTAGAAAATACACCCTGGATATATCCTACACTTTGAATCGCAGATTCCCCCAGCAGGAGTTCTTGCAGAGTCAATAAGACGACGTCACGGCCTCTGACTAGGACGAATAGACCAGAGACACCCTCTTGTTGGCAGGCTCCAAATACAAGCTCGCAAGAATCCAACAAGACTAAAAAAGAGCTTCCAGCTAGTCCCTGATTTCCAGAGACCAATACTTACCAGGCCATTATGAAAGAAGCCCCCAATCCGTAAAGACAAAGACAAAGAAATAGAGCTCTTTAAGCAATGGCTACAGGAAAGAAATGCGAACACTGACCTTGTCATCTATTCAGATGGATCACAGTTAGACGACCAAGGCACAACCCGCACTGAATGGGGTTATATTATCAGGAAAGGCGGCACTACACAAGAAATATACCAGGGAAAGGGCAGACTTCTCCAAGCAGAAATAGTAGATGCTGAAGTCCATAATACTCTCCAAGGTCTTGTAACAGCCAAGGCAATTAGATACAGAAAACAGCTATATGTCTGCCTGGACAACACGTCAGTGGTAGATAGGCTCAATGGGACTCCACCTGAGACATCACAGAACATTTTTCTACGATTTCAAGAACTTGCCATAGCACACACTCCTGGAGTGACCGTCAAGTGGATTCCTGGACACAGAGATATTGATAGCAACAAAGCTGCCGACACACTAGCAAAAGAAGGTGCCATGCTAGAAATAGACACAACAAACCTTCCTACAATCTCTTGGGTCAAGAGAGATCTCAAAAAAAAGGGCAAGAAAGAGTTCAACTAATGATAGAAAGACCAATCAGAACCTAGATATCAAGAAGTATACTCACATATAGTAACTAAAAAAGACCTTATATCTTTTAAGAGGAGTACTTTACACAGACTTCTAGCGGCCAGATCTGGACATGGCGACTTTGCCAGATACCATGAACACTTTGGGCATACAGACTCGAATGATCACTGCAACTGTGGTGAGAAGAAAACACCACAACACATTTTCTTTTGTAAGAGGCTGGGGAAAAACCGGCTACTGTCTAGGTACTTGCCTAAGACAGTTTGTTTACAATACTTAGGGGAGAGGAGCACAGAATGGGCAAAATTCGTGGAGAAGAGCAAGTTCTTTTCAACAATCTGTCCCCGATAGATAGCTTTTCTTGAAGGACCAGATGGATGACCCCAAGGTCATACCGCCGCAACAACAGGGATGGGCCCGTGAGCGGGACTGACTGTACTTATTATCTTGAGACCTCCACAACCCTGTGATGCAGAGGCTCTGGGAGGCGTGGTTTGCACTACTGAGGAGCTACCCCCCACGTTAAATACAAAACAAACAAACAAACAAACAAACAAACAAACAAACATAAGAAATCTACTGATTCTTGAACGCCGAGTTGATGATATTGGATGAACCCAAACCTTTTAGATTTATTAATTATAAGTTTATAAATCTATGTCTATTTTAAATTAGTAATTTTACACAGCAAGAGTTGTTACAGTCAAGGATCAGTCCGGTAGTGAAGAGCTTCACTAGGGGGCTAGCGATAAGTCCACGTCAATTGGTCTCTGGTCAAACCCTTTCAGAACACTCAACTCGGCACCCCACGCTCTTCTCAGTTACGAGGAATGTAATATGAACCGTTATGAACTAAAAAATGATATCCTGGCGATGCTTTGTAGCGCAGCCGCAGATGCAGCTGCTCGTGGAACACTCGTCTTTGTGCAGAACAAAGCCTTTCAGCACAATCGGGCTACTGAACAATCCCATTGTCCAGACTCTTTTGTCTCTTGCGTCTTCGAGACACCCATAGGTACGTACCTATTTCCGTCTGATTCCTGTTGACTTTCCGAAAGCAAGCTTCTCCCAAGTATTGTACCTCAGGAGGCCTTACCACCATCACCGGGAAGACTCTTCAAGATCGCAAGTATGGCAGACGCGTGTCAGTCTAGTGTTGGTATTGAGGCTGAGTTCCTTGTTGCCGTTAGAGTTAAGGGGCGGGACACAGGCACACCTGCCATATTCGCTCATTCCTCAGGAAGTGCCATTATCTTAACAGAGACACAGATGAACAATATCAGGGAAAGAGGTTCATTCGCAGAGGCGCATATCAAAAGTACGATCCAAGCCAAAATCTCAGAGCGCCCCAAGGGCGACCGCGTAGTCGTCTCCGACGACGAAACACTAACAGACTTCCACAGCTCCCACCTCCGCAACTACACAGACTGGGTCGTCAAAACAGACCCGACGGTAAGTCTATCGGCGGAACCAGACCAGACCATCTTCTACGACCCCGACCACCCCTGCGAGTATTTCGCCATCGAAATCACGTCGCCGGCCTTCTGGGCCACCGAAGCGTCATGGGCCGAAATCCACGCCGTCTTCAAGACACTCTCGCGCACGTACTGGACACTGAAGCCGCGCACAAGTGCACTTCACTTTCACTACGGCGGAGGTAAGAACTGGATCCCGCTCGGGCGCCTGCGTCGCATCGCCGCGCTGGCAATCGCTGCCGACCCGGTGCTCGCGCAGCTGCACCCGGCGCACATGCATGTCAACCTGGCAAGTGCCTGGTGCCGGAGCAACCGACTCTACACATTTCTAGCGCACGGCATGACGGCCGCCGAGGCAAAAGAGCGTATTGGGCGGGTCTTCAGGAGAGCAACGGAACCAGAAACGCCCCCGACTGACGCCGAAATAGTGAAACACATGCAAGGACCTTCCAGGGAGACGTTAGGTTTCCAGCCCGTATTCGCTCGAGGTGAGTTGAAGGGCTTCGAGTTCTCGTCCAAGATCTTCAAGCAGACAGCCCCCGAGCCCAAGAACGAAGCCGGAGCGAACAATTCCTCCACTTCGACCCTGCTGCCCGTGAGTATAGCAACAGCAGCGCGGGAGATCCTCCACGCGTCGTCTCACGCCGAGGTCCTGGGCGAGCTGATGAAGATCCGCGCCCGCGAGGTGGGCCAGGACAGGCCGGCTTATAACTTTAATTCCTATACCAAGGGGCGTTACATCGCGTTCCCTGCCGGACAGCGCGATAAGCGGTGGAGCGCTGTCACGGAGCGCACGGTGGAGTTCCGTCTCGCCGCCGGGACACTAAACCCGGACAAGATCGTGGCGCTTGGGAAGGTCGTCATCGGGCTGTGCAGTGGGCAGGCCACGCGAGTCTGGGCGAGTTCTGGGCGCTGGTACGCGAGTGTGCTCTGGGAAAGGAGCAGCCTGAGTTGTTCGACGTGTTCGATCTGCTTGCGCGACTGGGGCTCGGGGAGCAGGCAAGGGTGCTTCAGAGGTCTGTGGCTGCCTGGAACGGGCGGTCGATCGTTGATGAGCAGACCGGGGCTTGGGAGAAATTGGATGACGAGACTGTGATCGCGCGGTACGGCTTCCCGCTGGATGTTCTGCTTGTGGTGTTGCCCGGTAAGTTCTTCCACTGTGATGGGGTGAACTGACAACAGGTTTTGTAGCTTTCAGATCACACACAGAGATCTGGATACGACACTCAACTATCATCTAAACCGTCACGTAGTCTTTAGTTGACGACATGGTATAATATTCAATGTACTCTGATAATGTTGCAAAGTGGTGATTCAATGCTCCCTTGGCGGCTCGTGACATCCATTCGGGTTCGACTTGGAGCCCTGAGACATAAATTCTGGGATCTCGTATTCGACCTGGTGGCTTACCACACCAAGACCACTGCTCCCATATAACGGCGGGGCTATATAAATGGGACACCCCAATATGTGGGACAGCTTTTACACCAAGAGGCTAGACTTTTACCTACTGATAACCCAATCGGAATTAAAGCTCTAAATAAACTATGTAATGTGTTTAAATTGCTTTTTTAAAAACTTTTTAGCAATATTATTTGTTTTAGCGGTAGCGCGTAAGCTAGCGGGTTACGTGGCATAGAGATCGTATTATAATTGTTGAATGGAAGCCGGAAATTGTTGGATTAAAAGTACGCCTAGAGGGCACCTTGACAGTTAGACAACGGAACCTAGTTGTTCCGTCCCAATCCAGCCCCCTCTGGCAAAAAGCTGCCACGGTCGTACAGGGACACTTCAAGGACACAGAATACACACATACACTTCAACCTCACGATTGGCTCAAATCTAACAGAAATAGACACCGGAAGATCTCTAGTGGGGCAGAGACGCACAGGGCATCTGACCCACCAAGAAGACAGATGATCAATCTCTGTACGCTGAAGAAGCAGAGCAGAACAAGAAGTACAACAGAACACACTTGAAAACCTGAATAATCTGAACTCGCTTGCATCTAACAATAACAAGCTTGTTGGACATATTATCCGTATTATTATTCTTTTTGTTAATAGTAACTTTTTTATTTTTAAAGGTCCTTAATTCTTTTAAATCTTTTAATTTTAACTTTAAAAAAGGTTTAAGTACTAGTCTTTTCAGTTCGTTAGTGTTTAAGTTTTATAATATACGTATAACTTCTCGTCGTTTTTCTTGCTATTTAATAGCAGCTCGTGCGACTTCCGTATGCTCGATTTGGTTTAAATAACGTGTTAAATTTCTTTAAGTCGTTAACCAAGCTTTTTTAAAAGTGCTTTACAACGCTTGTTTAACTATAAACGCTTAATTTCGTTATTTTTTCTTTTAATAGTTTTTTTAAGAGCGTTAGCTTAAACATTATTTTATTATAAAACTTTGTAATTAAATAAACTACTACTTACTACTTAAAGGTTTTAATAACTTATAATAAAATTAAGGTTATATCTTGTCTTAATTCAAAGGCTTTTAAAACCTTTAAAGTGCTTTAAAGGTTAGTTTGTGACGAGCCGTCTAACCTATAAGGCTAAAGGGTCTATAGGGTTTATGTTCTGAGGTAATTCAACACAAAAGACAATAGAGGCTTCTGTCAATTAGAAGACACTCAGATGCTGGGGCTTGGTCTGAACTGATTTCTCCCACCTTAGGGTTGGCTAAGATGCTTAGATTGATGACTGAGATAGAGACTGTCTATCTATCTAGTTAGGAAATGTCTGTCCTTATATATCCAATCTCTCCCTCACTGATGGAGTAGGATCACCTTGTCCCAGAGTGATGCTCACTGGCTCACTTCGTGATCCAGTGATCCGTCACGTGCCCTTTGTTATGTAATCCGTAATACCCGTTGTTCTGTTCCTAGCTTCTGATTCCATTGGTTCTTGATTTACTCCCCTTGGCCCTCCAACAGGCCGTGGTATTTATTGGTTCGTAACATTATTATAGCTGTTATTATTACTTAAATCTTCCTTGATTTTATTATATGCTCGTTTATTGGCATTTTTCGCTTATTTACCGGCTAAAGCCTAGCACTAGGCCATTTTAAACGCATAATAACTAACGTAATTCTGTTACAAGCTTTTGCTAGATAAAAAAAGATATTAATTTTCTTAATAAAAGCTAAGTTATTAAGCTAGCTAAGCTAAGCATTTAAGTAGCAATCAACGGCTTTGAGAACTAAAAGAACGGTTGAATATACCAGTTAAAAATATAAAGCTACCTGTCACGATTCTGTAAATGTATTACAAGGATACAGGGACCCTTATTAACTATTGACGTATAACAAACACTGGTTAAAGGAAAAGAAAGATCTGGAAATACACCCAAATTGGTAGGCAGCTAGATGTGGGCAGTCGTCCCCCACCAGATCCACTAGTGCATGGATCAACCTATCGTTCGATCAGTCACGTGCTCAGTCACGTGACCCGGAGACCATGGGGACCATCACTAGACCTGATGGATGGTGGAACTATCACACTACTCTTATTAGCAACATAACTACTAGTTAATTATATAACTTACCGCATAAGTAAGAAAAAGGCTTATATATACGTTATTCATATAATAAAAATATATAAACTTATTTAAATAATAGCTGTTATAACCGTTAAGTATTAATAAGGGAATATTATCTAGATCTTTATAAATAATATTAAGTAAACATATTTTAAAGCTAATTAATTCATAATTATAATTAGTAACTTTAAAAAACCTTGCCTTTCTTCACTAATATAACGCCATTTTGTTCGAAGTTTAATTATTAATAAAGTGCGTTATTATCTAGTTTACCACCGTAAGATGCTTTCTAAACTATTACGCTTAAATTGACTTCGCTTTAAACATAACTAACGGCCGGAGCTTTTCCCCCGTAGTAATGATTGATGTTACTATAATAATTTACATATAACTGTCGTTAAACTTAACGTTAGCTCTTTTCAAACTAAAACTGCTTATTATAAATGATATGTGTCACCAGGGGGTAGTGATGGGGAAGACCCACTATAGCAACTAGATAGATTAGATAAGGGCTAATGAGGCCGCACAATACCATAAATATGTGCTGTTCCAACCCTTGTAGTTTGTGATCTCCAACCCGCACCCATATACCAATACAGACCCATCTACACACGCTTCAATAAAGCTACTAATCTTATAATATTCCGGTTAGCCGTTTAAAAACTACTTAAATTAAACAATTTACTTACTAACGACCTTATATAATGCCGTACTTATTAACATATATGTTGGATCCATGTGATTCCACAGTCAAACCATCCATACAGAACCCACATGTATGATTAGATAAGAGATTAGATACCGGATTGTGAGGTCACTTAGCCAGACCTGCAGGTCCAGCTAGACTTCCCAATCCAACCATCAGCAACATCATGACCTTGATCCAATACTCGAGTATTATGATTGATCGTTCAAGCCTGTTCCAACAATTTACCTGATTTTTAAGTTCAATAAAACCGAAATCTTTATAACGGTTATAAAAGCTCTCAACATTTTTAAGCGTAGCGATATTAATACGCTTATAATTAAGCTTTTATCTTATCTTAGTTTTAATTTTTAAGTGCTTGCAGACAAGGTTTTAAATATATTTATTCTTAAAATAATCTGGTTTTCCTTTGTATCATAAGATCTTTTTAATAATATGCTTTAAGTTGCCGTAAGTTAGGGCGTAGCCGGCTTTTTCTTAATATAACATTTATAAAACAACCTTTTTTTTCTTACTTAAAGCTAATCTTTAACTTGTTATAAACGCCTTTACGATTAATCTACGTTTAAATTATCGCGGTGTTTTTAACCTTGCGAAAAACGTTGATTTTAATACTTTATAGCCTTAGGTAGCCTTACAAAAAGATAAATTATTGTTATCTATAGCAGTTATTGCTTTTACGAGGTCTTTCAAAATGTAAAAAGCGACATATTGACGTATTGTAACCTTTAATGCTTATAAAAAAAGTAAACTTTTATTAAGTTAAAGAAAATAAGGAGCACGGGTCCCATTATCCTTTAAATAAGCCTAGAAATGCTAACTTTCAACCATTACCGCGGCCTATCCCGTCGCAATAGACCTAATCAAACCTAAATCATAGAAACCATAAAAAAAAACGATTCAAACGCTATACTTACGGTATCTAAAGCTTCATTGGCTATAGAGATATTTATAAGTGAACATAGTAATGTTGGCTGTGAAAACTGTCCTACATATGGGGGTGTCCCATTTATATGGCCCCGCCGTCAATGGTCATCATACCATGTCCTCCAGCTAGATCACACTTAGACCAATACGGCAATTTCCTCCTTTATAAGCTCAGAGCAGTATCTAGGTCAGTGTGTGTGACGCCTAAGGTTTTGTTGAATTAGATACACACAAAAAGTAGACGGCAAGCAACGCCATTTCCGAAGCCCTTGTTCAGCAGTTTCTGGCGTCGTGCCGTCACTCATTGAGTCATGATTGATCTGTGTACAACCATCAACTGGTATGATCTGACAATCTGTTCGGCTGATTGTAGCCTAATAGCTCGTGATCAGAACGGTCCCGAATAGATTTGGCGTTGTAGATCGTACGCCGACCTGTCACTGAAATGATATATCATATGAATGCATTCAGCTGAGCGTCAGCACGGCGTCAAACAGCCTCCGCTCCGACACCGACCGGTCAAACAGTACGTAAGGTGGCTCATATGTGTGATGTCCGTGTATCCAGTGATAGTACGTGATGTGTGTGTAACTTGAATGATTTAGTGCACTGCCACCTCCCTGAACGCCGTGCCATGGTGGCTTGCGTGCCATTCAACACGACCTTGCTTCAGTATTCTCAGCTGAGCGTCAGCACGGCGTCAAATAGCCTCCGCTCCGATACCGACATTCCGTCAAGGTTCTCAGCTGAACTGTGTTTCATCTTAGATGAGTTCATCTAGGATATATCTAGGACGTGGTTCCCTCTCGGCACCGATCAACCGGTCACAAGAGATCGGGAGGATGGAAGGATTGGATCTATGAAGTAAGCTTGATATGCAGATCACCATCACCGCACCGCAGCCACCGCTGATCAATGTCTCAAGCACGAAACCACTTCAAGCCCAAGTTTGCGACATCATGATGTGAGAAACAGGTCAGGAAACTATAAGAAACCGAGGCCATCTGCTCTAGCAGATATCCAAAAACTCGTCACCAAGCACAGTTCGTTCTCACAATTTATCCTCTCACCCCGTCTCCCAACAAAAGACCACGCAGCACTTTACGGTCTACTTAGCCATCAACAACCCTTCCACCGACAAAATGAAGTACACTGCCTTCCTCGCGTTTGCCTTGGCCTCGCTGGCCGTCGCCACTCCTACAACCCCTGGGGTTCCTATGGGAGAGTTGGACGAGCGAGCCGCCCCTCGCTGCACCGGCCCATGCGGCACAAACAACAACAGGTGCACGAACGGCCTCTGTGCCGGTGCCGTCGGTGTTTGCAATTGCAAGGGATTGTAATGCAGCGCTCTACATGGTAAGTTACCGCACTACCCGACTCAGACTTCGCTTGTCCTTTGGGTACCTAACGTTGTTGCTTGCCGCAGCTCCCCACAGACGAATCGCCAACCACGAAGGTTGCTGATGCACGATTGATCAGAGGCTTGTACGGTCATTTTCCGCAGGGATGAATAGGGGCAAATATCTCGGGCAGGGGCGATGTTTGGTCACTAGGAGGAGCAAGGACTTGGAGCACACAAGGTTCAGAGGAGCTAGGACTACGAGCAGGACCAAACGTGTTATCCATATATCAGATGATTTCATCATCGCTTACAATCTTTATCAACATTATTGTCTCAAATACCAAGCCGTAAGACCGTCAAACAAGTTCCCATAGTAATCGCCGGGTAACGACGTGATATCGCCGGGTAACCGACGTGGTTAGGGTTAGGGTTAGTGGTTAAGGTTTGCCGGGGGTTTGAAGGGCGGTGCAAGCCCCCCATCTGTAAATGTGTCCTTTGAAAGCGCGTGGTAGTAGTGATGATGGTGATGGTGGTAAAGTGGTGGTAATGATGCATTGCGGTGTTGAGGATATGTGGGTCTGTTGATGGATGCGGGTGCTGTAATTGGTCAACCTGGGCCGTATTCGTTTAGTGTTACTGTCCTCTAAAAAGTTCCAATACTACCTAACAATGTAAGTTGTTCCATAATAACGAGGACTTTCGTAACCGCTTTCGCTTACGAGATTATACTGGGCCTATAGTGGATGAGCATAAGCACTAACGCCACAAGCTGCGCCTCGCAGGGCTGTTTCCGTTACACCGGTAAGAGACGAGGTCACGGGAAAGTACCAACCTACAGTAGCAACCAGTCGCAGCTGGCGGGGTGACTAACATAGCTTCATTTTGTAGTGATACCTCCCTTATGTAGTCAATCAGGCCGTGTTAAGCTACCCTTCCAGTGTTGTTTTCCCAGGTCAATCAGCAAATCTGCTGTTTTGCGCGGTAGTTGTTTAGTGCTGACGACCGTTTCTCCAGGATCGATAACCCCTGAAAGTGGAGCCGGGGTGATGTGGCCCATGTGGGACCCCTTTCGGCTTCTAAATTAGACGTCATGCCTGGTGCTTTAAAAGCACGAGTGGTCTTGTCAGACTCCAAAGCCAACTGTTCACGATCACTCCTTCTGTCCTCACTCGCCAATCCACTCACTCAGTATGGCCGAGAAGTCGAGCGCACAGCGCGAAGTTCAAGGCGATGTCGTGACCCCTTTCGGTGTAGGCAGCCCTCGAAAGGTACCGATGAAGGTCATCGTGGGCGGACCGGGACGGACAGGCACTGCGAGTAAGTGAGCCCAGTCGAAGATCACCTCAGCATCGGTCAGTTGACACACCATGTGTTGCTAGGCATGAAGACGGCTCTGGAAATCCTGGGGTTCCCGTGCTACCACGCTTTCAACCTGTGGGAAGATAGCACGGAGCACATGGAGGGTTGGAATCGTGCCATTGAAGCCAAGTACCATGGTAAAGCCACCTTTGGGCGCTATGACTGGGACGAGATACTGGGCAATCACCTTGTATGACCGCCCGCGAAATTCTCCCCAATCACTGACTCGACGTCATCGTCCGAGTTCTCTACGAGACATAAACTCACGGCTGACGCGAACTCCAGGCAACCGTGGACGCCCCCTCAGCCTTCTTTGCGCCTGAGCTCGCGGCCGCATATCCAGATGCCAAAGTCATCATCCTGAACCGCGAGCCGGAAGCCTGGGTCCGCTCCTGCCTGGCGGCATTTGGCGGCATGCGGCCGGCGAGTCATCTACGGTTCATTTTCTGGCTGCTGATCCGCTGGGACGCGTTCCTTCTGGCGTTCGCCCGCCACATGAACCTCAAGCAGGCCGACATCTGGGGGTTCGAGTGGGACGACGCGGACGCGCGCGAGAAGGCGCTGCGCTGGTTCGACGAGTACTACGCCGACTGCCGCGCGCGCATCCCCGAGGATCGCAGGATCGAGTTCAGGGTCCAGGACGGCTGGGAGCCGCTGTGTCGCCACTTGGGCGTGCCGGTCCCGACGGTGAGGGTTGGTGATGGGCCGGAGAGGGTGCAGGTGCCGTTCCCATGGACGAATGATGCGGCCATGTTCAAGGTTGCACTTGGGGATATGAGACGCAGGAAAATGAAGGGGGCGTTGAGGTTATGGGTGGAGAAGATCTGTATCTTTGGGGCAGTTGGATTTGGCGTGTACAAGTCTTGGCCATTGGCCGCGGCATGGTTGGGAAGGCAATCTGCATGAAGATTATATTGGCAGAGAGATTGAAATAACGTTGTAATGCTGGCGAAAAAGAGCCAATAAATCTATTTACACTGTAACAGGCAACTAGTCCTTGCCTTCGCCATGGTGAAGTTGGGCCACCGTCTTGTCGTTCGACAAATTTCGTAGACTCGTCCGATACCGTGGATTGTCGACTACCATCTTTGATGCACCTACCTGATTCATGCGTATGTTATTGGATCGACATCGTCGTCATCGGAGTCCCCGGCTGGCCAAGGCAAGGTAAGACTCGCTCGGGTGGGATGCTTACGTCGCTTGTTGGCGGCGTACTCTGGCGTTCTGACCGCTCCCGGGCGTTTGGGACTCGGAGGATGCATCGGAGGCGTGGTCATGTTTGCCGTGGCTCCAGTCCCTATGAGGGATTCCTCCCTGCATATATCTCGTATCTGTAGAATCAAATGCGCCGTGCGACCTTCTAGCTGTCGTCTCCTCTCCCTGGTGAACCCCCGTTAGTCATATCGGCCAGAAGTGGGATCAAAGTGCCTCATTGATGGACCGGAATAGAGGACTCGGCAAGTCACGGATCGACTTACTGTCGACTATCAATTTCCCACTGATCCCACGGCTCCGGCCCTTCGTCGTCGCTGTCAAGCGGCTCATTCTCTTCGTCAGTCCAGTCACTGTTATGGTCGTCGTGGTTGTCGACATCCTCGCGGAACTCTTGGTTCTCCTGCAGACAGCGTCCCACGTATGCGATCCTTTCTCTGCATCAAAGACAGATCGAGCCCCTGTCCTTCGACCCTGGGGCAATACCGTGTTTTCTTCCGATATTACCAGGCCTCAGTCCGTCAGTCGTAAGCCCAGCAACCGCCTCGTCCCTTGGGTTTGTGAAGTTAGTGGATCACTCTGCACAACACAGAGCCTGGTGAAGGGCGGCCGTGTCTGAGATTGAGAACTTACCAGTCTCGTGAAATTTTTTTGTCCTTGTCTCCGGGCAGCCAAGCCGGCAAGTTACTTCTCGTAGTTGGATCTGAACCGCGTGTAGTTCCTCCCCCGCGACCACCTCCTCTTCCGCCTCCACCTCCTCTTCTGCCTCTGTTGCCTCTTCCTGGGGCTGGTGCTGACGGTCGAGGGGCTGGTGCTGGCGGTTTAGGGGGCAGTGATGACGCTTAGCCAACAAGGCGTCTCCCAGAACTGCAACAGTTTTTGTCAGCAAAATATGCAATGGGGCAAGAGACTGAAAAATAATTGAGAGCAAGCAGACGATCCAAGCCTGGATGTTGGCCATGACGGATAGTCCTCACTCTCGAGGCTTGGGAAGGCGGTATGTGAGGAGCTCAAGAAGTCGCTTACCATCTGGATAATGCACTAGGAAATTGGCATACACTGCCTTCGATTCAATGCGTGTATTCTCGGCGGTCAAAATCAAGAAATCCTTATCAAGCTTCATATGTTTACGCAAGTACCCTATATAGCTCTAAGTCAGTAGCTGCTAAGTAAACAAACGAAGGGGAGATTAGAAATACGGGGGAAATTCATAACTTACGGTATCATAATTTGATCCATCTTCTCGTCCAGTCACTCAAGTGAGTACCCATAGCTCTTTTGGTGTATGGAGGAAAGGCGAGAATTCTACCGATGTTGTTTCTGATTGCTTCGTGGCACCACCGAGAACTGTTCCTCCAGTCTGCACGATCAATCTCGAATTCTGAAGCCAAGGATTTCCCTACGTCGATGGCCCTGTCGTAATCCGACATAAGCTCCGCGGCCAGGGGATTTCCTTGCAAACCGTTGTTTCCGGTCTTGTCAAGGTAGTCCAGGCCCACCCAGTCAGCCGTGTCTAGAGCACTCGTCACCGCAGCCCGCACGGTGTCATCGGTCTGGTTTCTGAGAAAAAGCAGCACTGACAATGGCGGTTATTAGCAGCTGGACGGCCTTGCGACAACGAAACTTCAATGTGGGCCGAGCAAAAGCTGGCTGGTATGAACGGGAGGGGATTTGGTCTTTTACATACCGCTGTAGGGTGTGACCACGGGAGGAGGAAGCTCCTTATAGCCTTTTCTTCGAGAGGGCCATCGTGAATCCTCTCTATGGCGGCAGGATCTGGGCTAGACATCGCGCTGGGGCGTGGTACTTCGCGTTACAGCCGAATCAATCCCAGAGATTCTAGCTTCGACTAAGGCGTGACGACACCGCGAATGACAAGGTATACGACCGATGATTGATAACTGGGGGATATTGGTACTAGGCTTTACGGAGAAAGGAACATGACCATCAAGACAGAGCGGGCGGTATTCAACAAAGGCGAGAGGTTGGCGCTGGGAGTGGGATGTTTCCGTCACCTCCCATACGATCAAAGAGACATCAAAGGAGATCGATCTATTATTTTTGGTAACCTGAGACCCTCTTTGGCTTTGTTCTTCGCTCGTCTTGGGATAACAATCATAGTCTTCAATGCATGCTACCAGAAATCATTCCTATTCTGCGAAATCATTTAACCATTGGCCTAGGGCCGTGCTGAGAACATACGGAGAACTGAGTCTTGCGGAATACTCATGCTTCGTACCCTCACAAATGTATGGAACGCACGTAGGTAATATACACACCAATGTCGTAAGATGCTACCCTTATCTTGATATACCGTGTATTGGGTGTCTCATAGGCCTCTGCAAGGGCATCATGTTCGTTGTGATTTGCAAGGCACCGTCTTAAGCCCGGCAACATACGCCCATTAATGCAGGCTTTAAAGACGCCACGCAGCGGGCCATATTGCAGTTGAAACAAAGACTTTGCGAGGAAGCTACTTCTTTCCGAAGTAAACAATGCCATTTTTTCCATCTTGCTGAGCACCCCCATTGTAACAGTGTACTCGCGCTACCTTGACGCCCCTATATCAGGAAGCTTCGCTTTTTCGCAAGACGCTGTGATCTCGAAGCAGAAACCCATCCGATCAAGCCTTTGAATTATCCTCTAATCTAGTCGACTTCTCATCATGATTCAGAAGGAGACTGCTTTCGCCACTCTTGTGGTGTCGATTGCTTTCGCTACTAACATCGAGTTGCAGACGGGGTGGACGACCACGAAGGTTACCTCGATACTAAAGCACCAACTATGGCCGCAGCTCTGGAACGTGTATCTAACATTCGTGCTGAGATTTCTTCTGGGACCGCTCCAAGTCTACCTGCGTGGACCAGGCCTGCGAGCACTGCTGACGTCGATTGCTTCTTTCGGCACAATAACGCCGTACGAGTGGGTAGGAACAAAGTTCGCCTGGCTAACCGTCCGGCGAAATGCATACATTGTCAGCTATGTGCGCATGGCAGTTTGCGGGTTTGGGCCCTCGAGAACATCGAGGAAAATGTAGACCTACCCGATGTGCCCAGGATAGTCGAATTCCTGATTGTGGGCGCTCTCAAACTGGCTGTGGACTTCCTACTAATACTAGGTCTCACGCTGGGTCGGTTTTTCATCATCCATAAGGCCATCATGGAGCTTTTCAAACCAGCGCTACCCCCTAGTCTCAATGGGGCCCTGCTGAATATGAAGCCTTCAACGGAGATGGGATTCTTCTTGGACAACCTCGAAGCCACCGTCACAGAAATCGACTGGCATCCTTGGCTTCTTCAGCATCTTCTACAGGGTCTAACACAAATCGCCATCGTCATCATTCTGAACTTGGTGACGACCCACTTGCAAGTCAAAATCGCGGCTATAGTCGATAGGGAAGGTAACCACGTACCTGCCCAAACATGGATTACGTGGTTACTCGCATTTAGCGCTACTATCATCATGTTAATCCACATCACGGCATACCAAATGACGTACCCTCTGTTAACCATATTTAGTCATATACGGACAGACCTCTCCAACGCCTCAGAGATCCGTCAGGGCGTCGCACTGCATTCCGGTCTACTTGTTTGCGGAACCCAGGTCCTCGTCCGAATGATGAGTCATCTTGCCGTGTATGGACTCTATCTTTGCAGGCTCTGGCGGCTTTATGACAGATGGTTACCCATAGACTTCGTTCCGGATTTTCCGAACGGAGAAATGTTCCTCGCAGTCTTTGGAGACATTGGTGCTGGCTTATTGGAGTTGGCCAATCGGTTTCTTCTCCTTTGGGCGTTAAATGTCGTCGACCCCTGGCTCATTCACTATGGATCGTTGACTGGGTGGAACTTTCTCGGGTAATACAGCCTGGAGCATATGATGGCAGCTGACTTTCTGCCAGTGGGTAGCCACAAGGGAGGATATAGTTAAAGGGTGAGTACTCGCATTTCTATATTTCGATTGATCTGTTTAAACTTGTTCCCTGATATTCGAATCGAACTACATGTACACCTAGGATCAGGTTCTGGCTACCATGCCCAATAAGTGTCCATGTGCTTGTTGAATCTCGCATAGCTGCTCTGGCATTATTGCCCCGATGCTACCCTCGCGCAAACAGAAGAATGAGAGCTCACTGAACCATGCTAGAGGCTTGGATACCCTTCGTATACAAACTAGAAAAGTGGCTGTCTGCGCTTGAGTAGCCTCGATACCCGACGGGAAAGGAGTCGCTGATCGGGATAGGGGTCAACGCCACACCTGGAGTCGACTTCGTGGCTTCGGACTTTACGACAGAGCTCGCCCTAGACTGAACTTAGGCTTTTGGGATAGATCCCTTCCGGTATAATATCCCAAGTGCTTCTGCTTACTTGATACACTGTGCCCACGCACGCTTCGACATTCGAGTGGGACTGACATCGACGGACGTGACAATGACAGAATATGTCCAGCTGCGCATTTTTTGACAATACTAACCGGGTCTCGTGAGATTCCCGATTACTTTGTACTTCTCTACATGGAGACTGACATTTACCCTTTGCGACGCCGAGCTTCTCCGATCTCGGCGCCGTTTCCCCACAGCCTCCTTTGTCGGAGTGCTAGCCTGCGGCAGTAAGTTAGGCGAGACCAGATTCACTTGACTCAATTCAGACCATCGCAGTATATCGCAACAGAAGACCCCGTGCATCCAACAATGCTAGTTCTGGGCGGCCAAGACGTCGAGACAGTCCTGACGGGCTTGTCGGTCGCGAGATGCCATGGGCTCCTGAACGCGTTATCTCAGGCACTCTCAGACTACTCAAGCGATCGGAAAGCCTCTGAGCCTACGATACATCAACCACTGCGCCAGGGCGTGGTCACCAAACTGGGAAACACTTCCCTATTCATGCCGGCATCGAACACCGTGAGCACGGGGATCAAGATCGTGACTCTGTCCGCCAGCAGACGTGGCGCACGAGGCGCGATCAACATCTTCAACCCGGGAGGCGAGCTTGTAGGCCTTCTGAATGCGGAAGAGATCACGGCCTTTAGGACTGGCCTTGTCTCGATGATCCCATTTCTCAACTGCGGGGTGCAGAAGAGTCGCATTGTGGTGTTTGGTGCCGGGAAACAGGCCGAGTGGCACGTTAGGCTGGCCTTGCTGCTGGCCGGCGACTCGATCCAATACATCACCGTTGTCAACCGCCGCGGGGAGACACTGAACGAGCTTGAGAAGAGGCTACAGGGGGTGAAAGACAAGCACCCGCAATTGACGTTGTCATTGATCGCGAAAGACGGAGCGACTGACTACGAAGCCGAACTGAAGCACGATCTCAGGGAGTGCGATGCGATCATGTGCTGCACGCCTTCCACCGAGCCCCTATTCCCGTCAGCATATCTCGCGCCTGCCCCAGACGAGCAACCGAGGAAGAGATTCATCTCTCTGATCGGCTCGTATAAGCCTCACATGCAAGAGATCGACTCGGAGACGCTGCTCTCTGGAAAGCGCATATACGTCGATTCGGCGGAGGCTTGTCTGGAGGAAGCTGGAGAGCTCATCAAGGCGAAGGTGCCAGAGAGCCGTCTTATGGAACTGGGAGCGATCGCATCTTGGCCAAGCATCGATGAGGTAGAAGGAAACGTCGTCTTCAAGTGCGTAGGAATGGGCATCATGGACGTCGCTGTTGCGTCGGAACTCCTAAAGATAGCTGGGGACATGAAGATAGGCAAGACTATCGAAGATTTCTGAGCGCAGGGGGCGCAGGGTCACACAGGTATAAGGGATATTCCCAGCACCACCAGCTTTTCACTGCTCTGACAAATTTGATACAACCTCCATCATAGGTTGCTAGTAGAAGACTACATGGACTTGGTACTTTGACGATGCTACTGGAATCTCCCTTTGGAGGGCCATTCGGATATATGGAAGCCGTCTTCACAATCTCCGATGCCGCTCATCTCCGGCGGCGCTTGGCATCGACCAATGGCGTGGCTTACTTTCGGGGAGCGCAACGCCAACTGTAAAGGGTTTAGGGGTGTTTTAGGCGGGTTTGGCCCATCTCAACATCTTTCCAGGCTTCACTTCGATTCACTTTCTCGTCGGCCTCAGCTATCAGCAGGACGCGTGTCCTCCACCCGTTCCAGCGGAATGCACACGGAGACTGTCTCAAGTAGCCAAGCCAATCAATCTTCTACTAGTCGGTGCTCTCGCTGGGCACGTCGGAAAGGGTCCACCACTGCTTCAATGGTTTATCTGGGGCCCTCCCGAGGGTGTCACTCATGCAAATAGCGACGGAAGAAGGTACATTGTATTACCCACCCCTGTCCCCCGAGTAACCGATCGAGTCTATCATGAGGGTGTGGATGAGCTCCGGCTGATAAGACCTATCAAAATCAGTGCGATGAGGCTCGACCGGTACGTGGACAACTAAGCTTCGATCCATAGGTGATGACAATGCAAATCACATCTAGGCTGACGTATCGCCACCAGTCGTGTATGAGATGCCTCAAGGCCAACCGGGCATGTCAGGGCTACGGAGATAGCACCGTCCTATGTATCGACAATATGGGGCCCCAAACGCTGACCAGTCGACGCCGTTCATATCGACGGCGCGAAAGTGCAGTCTACCAATACGTACGCCTATCCCGGGCACTGATATCCTTCCTGAAGACACCAGGCCAACGAAGGTCTCACAGGCAAGGAGCAACGAGCTTGCGCTGAGAGCTTTCTTCTATGACTACTGCATCGTCTCAGCGAACAGTAGTCTCTCCCGAGGTTGTCTCTCCGGCCTGGAAATGATGGCTTGTCTAGGACCGAACTCCGATCTTGCGAGGGCGGGGCAGGCTGTGGCATTCGTGAACCACGGCAAGCGATTGCAACGACCTCGACTCGTGAGCGATGCGAAGATGTTCTACCAACGGCTTCACGGGTCTTTGGCTAAGACCATCGAGAACCCGGGGTCTGGAAACATCAAAGATGCCAAAATGATGGCCGTGCTGCTGGGATTGTTCGAGGTATGTACACTTACTTTCGCCACTTCCAAGAGCCGTCTGCGAACTGACTTGACATATATCATAGTGGCGAATGAGACCGAAACTTCGTGCCACTATACACATGCCCAGGGCCTGGCAGCGCTCATGTACATAGATCCGTCGCCTCAGAGTGTCTTACGAACTGCTCAGCCAGGTCATTCATTGGGTCTCATCAGAACATTACAAGTCAGTAACTCCCCGTTGTCCTTGAATACCCCCAGCTTGAATTAGAAAGAGCATCTAACCCTACGATCAGAGCACTTGCGTGTTCTCTATACGTGCTTTAGGTGACTCTGGTGAAAGTTTAGATGATTTACAAAGTAGCCTCGACATGCTGTGGAAGAGGTCTGAAGCCCCCTTAGAGTCGACCAAGGTCGGTCCACTGAGGGGAGAAGCAATCGTCCTGGAGCAGCGCTTTGCCAAATGGGAAAACTCTCGTGCGACCGAGTTCAAGCCTACCGCGATTGCACATGTCAGTCAGATCTAGCACGATACAGCAATCCCAGTGGGCTACTGGCTAGCAAATGTCGACACGTACTTCGACTTCTATGTTGCTGGCGTCTGGAATATTGTCCGAGCGGCACGGCTTCTTACCATCTCCCTAATTCTCAGCTTTTCAGCCCTGGGAAGTCGCTTGGGGGATTGCTTCTCATGCACTGAAATAGGAGAGTGCAAATCCTGACGATGACAAGGTACGCTAAGTGGTGATGTTTGACAATTGGGTACAGTGTGCGTGTATACTGTGTAGGAAGACGACACTGTGGGGGCTCCCCGCCAAAAAATTTCGCCGATGCAAAGGAAGCTGCGTGCCACTCATCATTGCAACAACCCGACGCCAGGCGAACAAAATGACAGACTCCCATCCAATGGACGCAGAGCAAGATACGGCCGGATTCTTCGAGGAACCCGATGACTTCTATCCCCCATCGCCGCCGCCAACATCGCAGACCTTCGCGTTGCAGTCTGGCAAGGAGATCACGCTCCATCTGGTAGGACACAGCCCGCTGGAGGCCCACCACCTCTGGAATGGCAGTCGCATCATCTCAAAGTACTTCGAGAGCCACACCTCCGAAGTGAAGGACCGGACTGTCCTCGAGCTCGGCGCCGGCGCCGGACTTCCCAGCATCGTCTGCGCCATCCTCGGCGCTCGCAGGGTTGTCGTCACCGACTTCCCCGACCCGGACCTCGTGGTCAACATGCAGAAGAACATCCTGGAGTGCGAGCTCATCCCAACTTCTCACGTTGACTTCAAAGATTCACCAATCATTGCGGATGGCTATGTCTGGGGCGCTGACCCGGCTCACCTTCTGGCTCACCTGCAGCCTATTGGCGCAGACAAGTTCGATATGCTCATATTGGCAGACCTTCTGTTCAGACATAGCGAGCACGGCAAGCTAGTCGACACGATTGAGACGACCATGAGCCGGAAGAAGGAGAGCAAGGCGTTTGTGTTCTTCACGAGTTACCGCCCGTGGCTGCAGCATAAGGACTTGGCATTCTTCGACATTGCACGAGAGAGGGGTTTCGTCGTCGATAAAATCTTGGAGGAGAAGATGGAAAAGGCCATGTTTGAGAACGATCCCGGCGACGAGGATATTCAAAAGACTGTTACCGGATTCACTGTTCGCTGGCCGGATGAGAAGTGTGCCTAGATACGCCGTACCACTCTTTGCCGAGAACCAGCTGCAGAATGTTGAGCCGCGTTGGGTGAATCTGCCCCTTTGGACTCGCAACATATCATCCTCCCAACGACAGTACCGACTCACGACCAGACAATTCTTGATAGGGACCATGCGTGATACGTACCGACGCCAGCTATGTACCTATTATCTAGGTACATGTCCAATCTCAACAGCATATGCTGCGACATCAATGCGAGCATTCGCCATTACTCATCGGCCAGCCTCATGCTTTGCTGGCTGGTGAACCACACTGAGGTTACAGCTTCCCCTTCCGTTGGGTGAGACAGGAGTGTCCTCATCAATAGTGGCAGCGGCAATACTGAGCCAAGCGGTTCCGAATTCATCGCTGCGCCTGCAAGATAGGTCGCCGTTGGTTCCTGGGATCGTGCGATGTGGACCCTGGTTGAGGCAGTGCATGCAAAGACATCGCAAGGGGCCGTCAGTCATTCGCCAAAATCCGACCAGCTTTCAAATGTCCGACCACTCCGATGACGCGTCACTTGTACGATCGATACCTTCTTAAGATAGTCAAAAGAAGGCGCTATTTTCCCACGGCTCAGCATGTTGTGCCATTTGTGAATTCTCCTGTCAACGCTTTTCGATGGCCCCCAACTCTGGCCCACCGCTATTGGCCAATTCATCAGCAAGAGCCATCAGCTGAGCAGGCTGTGCTGGAAATGAGACATCCATGCATGTTTATCCCGGAAATAGCCAGATCGTGATGATACCGTGATGGCTCACCGCAAAATATCAGGCTGGGCTGCATGGGGTGCCACCATGGCACCAACTGCCTATGACAGGCACAATAAGGCACAGCCTCAAGCCAACTGCTAAAACAAAACAGCAGCAGCCCCTGATTACATGTTATTATTCGTGTTCCTCTGTGTTCACAAGTGATTGAATGACCATCCACCAGCTGTGCCACGACAGACATAGAGGTGCTCTAGCGTGCAGTGGGATAACCACCGTGACCGGCCTCTACTCCTGTCTAGAATGGCCTGGGGCTTGTCCAAGGGGGCACTGTCGGGATGGGGTCTACTAAGATGGCTTGCATTAATCCGGCTGTTCCAGGCACTGGCGTCGTTGGTGACCGCGACGATGAACGGCTTTCTCCTGGCATACATCCACCTCAACCGGCTAGGCTTCGCGAACAGCATGTTTGTGTTGGAAATCATGGTCTGAAATTCCGACTCGGCCCTCTTTCAACGGCATGCTGACAGGTGTGTAGGCTTGTGTTGCCCTGATCTATCCGGGTGTCGTGCTTTTGATACTGCATACTGGCAAAAGGCGGCAGAACGCCAGCTCGAGAATGATTGCGACCTTTGTTGTCACAGACGTGATACTTAGTGGACTGATGCTCGCTATCATCACCCTGCTTGCCCGGACCGGGGTACCATCGAACTGCCATGGACTTACGCGGGACAACTGTCAGACCACATGCTCCTGGAGAAAACTGAATCTCATTATGCTGACCTCAACTAGTCGTGAGGGGAGATGCTCCAGATGATCCGCCTCCGGGCTACACCACCATACGATTCGGCGATGGGCCACACGACGGAAAGGGGCTACTCGACAGGTACTGCACGCTGGAGCGAGGGTTCTACTTCATCTCAATAACCCTAGTGTATGGTAAACCAATTTGCCCATTCCTGACTCAAGCTGACGTTGATAGCTTCACTTACACGACTACCATAACACTCGGGATTCTTCGAATATGCGAACGCTATTATACCAGGAACAGTCAGATTGACCACCTCCTCACGACAGCCTATAACATCCACCGGCTCGCGCACAAGCAGTCAGAGCTGCACCGACCAACATCACCCGCAGATTTGGAGGACCCGGGCGCATTGACAGCGGGAATCCTCGCACCAATGTCCAGGGGTAGTCGCGCCACACCATCTCAAGGCTTGGTCTCGCCCAGCACTACGTACCACTCGTTACATGTCCAGCCACGGCATGCACCACTCCTGGTGTCGCCTGTATCGCCTGTATCGCCCATGTGCCCTGGCACAACTCCGAACAGGTCATTCGCAGCCACCCCAACGGTGTTCGGAACATCGACGGATGGTTTGATGGCAGGGCGACAATCCCCAGATCCAGCGGCTGAAGCGGCTGTTACCGACGGTTACCGCCATCAACCCCAGGCTGGGATGTCATCGCTGCCCCCATACTCGCCCGGTCCCTCACGAGCGCAGTTCATGACCGGGCACGGGAATGAAGCGAACGACTTGCGACTTAGCGACTACGTCAAAGGGGAAAATCGGGCACAGCATATGAAAGACTCCGGGGCTGGGTTATAGCGAAGCCCACTCATCTCGGGTCGTTTGTTAATGTACATAATTGTCGTTTAACTGCTTACTCGCTTGGTTTTAGCGACGGCGCCGAAGGAGATGGTCGATCACGGTATAGAATCTGTCCCTAGAGTTCCTCTATTGCAGTACTCATTATTCCTGAAGCTGTAAGGCTTTGTCACATTGTTAGGGGCCAACAAGGAGATACATGGGGCCGTGTTGAAGAAGGCCAGCAGAGTTCTGTCACCAGCCAAGCTTCTCACGAATCTTCATGTATGTGACTTGCCCTGGTACTCTGGGTACCCGAAGGAAAGGATGGTACTCGGTTTTCATACCCGTGATCAATCCGTACACACTGGAAAGCCTGTATGTCTCCATGTCCATAGACCCCTTCATTTAGAGGCAACGTAGTACTGGTCAACCCCGCAATCGCGTCGCCAGCCTTGACCCGCACGCCAGCAGTATCAACGTCACCTTTGTCACGGGCCACCATTTCTCCAACAGAGAGATTGGCATTCATGAATGCATACCACCTCGAACATCGTCACGTACCCTTTACCACTGGTCGATTGTCGGCACACGATGGATCACGAGTTAACTTCATCTCACTTCTTCTGATGCTCCACCAAAAGCCTATGCGCTAGGTCAGACTGGAGGCGGAAGACTGGAGATACTGCAGGGGTCTTCCCTAAACGGCCGTGGACCGGACCACGAGACCCTCACTCGACCTCACCTCACCTCACCTCACCTTCCAAACTCGTGCGGAGATCCGGCCTGTCTGCATACCGAATCCACGGCCTGCTCGCAAAACACTCACTCGATTCGTCACACGATTCCATACACCCACAGGAGAAATTACACCCTATAATCTTACCAGTGCAACCTAACAACCAAGCCTGACGTTCCGCTCCAATCCCTCCCCAAATCGCACACCCCAACAACCCCGATTTCCCCACTCACACTCACACTCCCATCCAAAACCGGCCACCATGCCCACCTCCCCCCTCCGCGCCGAACTCGCCACGCAAGGGTTCACAATCCAGCGCGCCATCCTCGGCCCCTCCGAGCTCTCCGCCCTGCGCGAAGCCGCCGCCCGCACCACGGCACGCGCGCGCTCCGGCCGCTGGCCCGACGTCCGGACCGTGGGCAAGCAGTTCCCGCCGTGGCCGAAGCCCAAGCCGGACGCGGATACGGACACGCACGTCCCCATCTGGGGCGTCCAGGGCCTGCTGAATCGGGACCTGGGGCCCGAGGCGGCGGTGTTTGCACGGGCTTATTTCGGGGATGCGGTTTTGGGGGTTGCGCGGGAGTTGTTGGGGGCGGATGATGATGGGGGAGCAGGGGATGGGAAAGGGATAGGAGAGTGCAGAGACGAGGACCTGGTCATGGAGCTCTTCAACATGCTCGTGCGGCCCGACACGGACTTCGAGCTCGAGTGGCACCGCGACGACGTGCCGCGGAGCGCGAGCGTGGAGGAGGAGTGTGCGCGGTTGGGAATCCCGCTTTCTGTTTTGCGGACAGAGGATCCGAGCCAGAGCCAGGAAAAGGGAGAGAAGAGGAAAAGGGACTTCCACACCCAATACAACTTAGCCCTCTACCCGGACAGCTCCCTGATAGTAATCCCAGGCTCGCACGCCCGTCCCCGCACCGAGGCCGAGCGCGTCCCCGACCCGTACGCCCCCGCCCTGCCGGGCCAGCTCGTCGTGTACCTCGAGCCCGGCGACATCGTCTTCTACGACAACAACATCCTGCACCGCGGCGTCTACGACTGCACCAAGGAGCGCATGAGTCTGCATGGCAGCGTGGGACATGTTGGCGGCGCGAGGGCGAGGGCGCGGAATGTGCTGCAGCATGGGGTTGGGGGCTGGGTGGACCAGTGTGATTTTGCGGCGCTGGGGGGTGGCGAAGATGGGAGGATCCGGAGGAGGGCTGAGGGTATGAGGGATAGGCTTGTGAAGCTGGGGAGGGAGAGTGGGGATGTGGGATTTTCGTTGACGGGTTAAGGGGTTGGGGATGGAAATTCCGATACGAGGTTCTTACTCACTTTAATAGGAATGATTATTTCACATAAAGAACCAGACGGGCGAGATATAAACGTAGTGTTGCAATCGGTTAGCAGGACAATAAAAGTTCACTCAAGGCAGAGAAAGGGGGTTGGTTTATCTGATTTTCCCATTATGAGCTAGTCCCAGCAACCGCCATGTTGCTAACCATACCCCCTTCCGTCAATTCTGCAGTGCTCTGCCCTCCACTATGAGGTGTACGTTAGCAAGGACAATATCAACTCATTTCCTCGGGGATTTACAGCATGCTTCCCCTACTGCTGTGATCACCGTTGGTCACGCCGGGCGGCCTGCATCTTCGGGCGCAGGAATGTTGGATTCTGGGCTACGTTAGCCCATCCATAGTCATCCTTCAGGATCACCATCCCCATCTGTGACTCTGTCACATACGTGGCCACATAAGGCCACGTATCCTTTCCTTTAGTATCTTGGATATATAGGGCCACTCTGGCCGCTCCAGAGTAGCTGGAATTCCTCTCCTTAATAGAACACTTTGAAATCTCACATGGTAGCATCTCTGATCGATCACGACCTCCAGTAGCCCTTACCTTTTAAGCTTTTTCTACTGGTCTGATTTATTCTAATTATCCTCTTTTTGCTTGTGTGCCTCTAGGACTAGCTACCCTTATTGCCACAAGTCTTTAAGTGTTTCTTTATTATGACTGTTTTTTTTATATAAAAAGAGGTCACTCCTTGGCTTATATTTTGCCTTATTTGTAGGCTAGTCTTACAATATATTATTCTTTTTATATTATGTCTGAATCCACCCCAGAGACGGCCCTGGCCTTTATGTCCACCTCTATCCCTTGCCTCTAAGACCATCAGAAGCTCGTCGGCGAGGAGAACTGGGAGGCCCGGGCCCAAATAAAGGAACATTTGCTCATCACCCTTGGGCTCTAGTCTCTTATCCTTGAAGCTATCAAGACAGACGAGAAGGAACTATATAAGGCTACAACTGGTGCTGTCGATGCTCCAGTCACGCCTTCTGCGGGAGCCTCTTTCAAGCCCCCTGAATTGAATGCTAATCTGAGCATCAAGAGGTCAAAGTTATACCTTGCTATCACCTAGAACATCAAGTCTAACCCTGATTCTCGTATCACGGGTTTGTTTGACCCTGGTCAGATCTGGATAGCCTTGCGACAGGCATATTCAGGCACGAGAATTGACGTAGTTTCATCAGTTATAGATGAACTGGCTGCCATTCAATTCTCTGAAAATAGAGACAAGTTCGTGGGCAATTACCACAAACTAATGGACAAGGTCTTGTGGCAGAATATCACATATCCTCTGAATATCCGTATTGCTAATTTCCTGGCTGTTATTCAGACAGCTTTTTCAACCCTTTATCACGAAATCTTGAAAGATTATAACTGTGGAATCTTTCTTATGACCGAAAATCTATTGTACCGGCTCCAGGAAGAGATACAGATTCGCAAGGCTCAAAATGAGACCTTTATCACCAATTTTGGCAAGCCTGTTATACCTAATAAAGACAAGAATAAATAAAAAAATAAGGGGAAAAGCAGTAACCGCTTATCTCTTAATGGCACCAGAACCCCTGGAATCAATCAGGGCTCTTCTAACAGCAATACCACAGATCTTATCTGGTGCTATGAGTACAGAGAGCTTGACAAGAAGAAGGGCCACCTTAGATGCAATAAACGCATCCTCAACCAGATCATCCAGGTCTCTGAGAAGGCTAGGAAAGCTGGAAGGTCTTCAAACAGCGCTCCCACTCACCAGAGTGGTCACACTGGCGCTTCTGACGCCGCTCAATGGTGCAATTATACCGATAAGGCCATCTCCAGTCAATATGTCCTCACTTAAGGACCACCACATAGCGCCAACCAGGGAGCAAGTACCAATCTGATTGACACTGTTCATGCTACAACAAGCACAGACTCGTGGCTATTTGACACTGGCTCTACTGTTTCTATTTGTAATAGTAAGAAGTGGTTCACTTGCCTTCGAAGGGACCCTGATCTGGTTCCCTTTACCACTGGAGGAGGCCCTGTTATTCCTCAAGGTGTTGGCAACGTGGAGATCTCGTTCATTACCTCTAATGGTGATACCGTCACTCGGACAATCTCTGGAGCACTGTTTGTGCCCTCCTTCCCAAGTAATATCCTCTTAGGAGACCAGATATATCGCCAGGGATGGTATCTGATGATCCGCGATCTGTTTGACCCCCATAGAACATGGGTGGCATCATTCCACCAGGGAATGTACGTTCAGACAGAGATCCCTAGTGTCCAGAAGGACACATATGGGATCAATCAAGCCCTGGACGTGTTCACCAACATGGTGTCCAAGGATTCTTCCCTGGAACTGACCTTTCAAGCTAAATCTGTGGCGCTAAGACTACTCCACCGCTGGCATACAAGACTTAGCCATCGATCTATTGGTGACCTGATCAAGACAGCCAGTATCACTAAAGGGATTGAATTACCGCCAAATGTACAAGAGCTAACAAAAGAATTCACCTATTTAGAATGTCTGGAGTCTAATATACGTCGCCTAGTCTCTCGAGTTGAGCAGGAACATCCAGATCATGCTTTAGACCTGGTCCATATGGATACAGCCAAGCACTCTGTCCAAGGCTATAATGGTTGTCTCTATGCCACTGTATTTGTGGATAGCAAGTCTCGTTTGAGGAAGTACTGCCCTTATAAGAAGAAAGGGGAAGCTTCTGACCAAGCCATTCGCTACTGTGAATGCGCTCACACCCAGTACGGGCGTTACCCAAAGCGATTCCGAATGGATGGTGGTTCTGAATACACAAGATTCAAGCAATGGGGAACTGAACGTGGTATCCTGTTTGAAGTCAGTGCTCCATACACTCCTGAACAGAACGGAGTGGCTGAGAGATCCTTTGGCGTTATACATGCTCCCATTCGCGTATTATGAAGGATTCCGGGCTACCTGAAGCCCTTTGGTCGGTTGTTAGACCTGCTGTATGTGATAGGCTCAATATGAGCTATAACGTAGGTCACAAGCGAGCGGCAATTACAAGCGAGCGGCAACTTTTCACCAGCCACCCAACCTTTCAATCAAGGCTCCTAATTGATCAACCAACAATAATGGCATTGCGTTATAGCGAATCAGACTTACAGCTTGCTGTCCAAGCTAAGCGACGCGACCCTCATATTACCATTGGCAAGCTTTCTAAGACTTTCCATGTCCCATACAATACCTTAAAGGCTAGAATCGCCGGCCGACCATCACAACGCGATAGCATGCCTAATTCTTTGAAACTTACGGTTTCTGAAGAGAATGCCATTTGTTCCTTCATAATCGACCTGGATGCGCGAGCATTTCTGCCCCGGTACACTTATGTTGAAGATATGGCAAATCAATTGTTGGCGGCGCGTGGGGCTGGACGCGTTGGAAAGAACTGGACGGCAAACTTCATCAAACGTACACCAGGCCTCTGGACGCGTTTTCATCGGAGGATGGACTACGAGAGGGTCTTGAACGAAGATCCGGACGCGTATCGCGCGTGGTTTCGCCAAGTTGCGGCGGCAATCGCGAAACATGGTATCCAAGACGCGGATATTTACAACTTCGACGAGACTGGGTTTATGATGGGCATTATTGGGTCCGGCATGGTCATTACAAGCGCCGAAAGACGTGGTAGGCCTAGACAAGCTCAGCAAGGCAACAGGGAATGGTCTACAGCAATCTCTGCTGTTAATGCTGATGGTTGGGTGGTCCCGCCATTCATTATTCTACAGGGCAAAACCCACCTCGCGTCATGGTATCGCGACACGATATTACCACGCGATTGGAAGGTGGCCGTGTCTGACAACGGGTGGACCACGAATGAGATTGATTTGGAATAGATTCAGCATTTCGACAAGTATACCAGACCGCGTATGACTGCCGGTAAACGCCTCCTCATCCTAGATGGTCACGAAAGCCACCATTCCCAGATCTTTGAGAGATATTGCCAGAACAACAGCATTATTACCCTTTGTATGCCTGCCCACTCGTCACACAGGCTCCAGCCTTTAGATGTCAGTTGTTTTAGCCCGCTCAAACGAGCGTACGGTCGCATGATTAAGGATCTCATGCGGCGTCATATAACCCATGTTTCGAAAGAGGACTTCCTTGCAGCATTTTGTGAAGCACACAACGCTGCTATGACGCCAGGGAACATTCGAGCAGGTTTCAGTGCCACTGGGCTTGTTCCTTTTGACCCAGAAAGTGTCATTTCGAAACTGGATGCTGTCGCTGTAGTACGAACACCGTCGCCAGACCCCAATCTGCCACCCACTACTTGGACTTCGAAGACGCCTACCACCATCAACGAAGCGGTCAACCAATCGGTTCATATCCGAAATCGAGTCAGAAACCACCAGGGAAGCTCACCTACATCAATAATTGATGCATTGAGCTCGTTTTCAAAGGCTACATACGGTCTTATGCACAAGGTCGCTTTGGTTGATTCCCGGGTCCGCGAGCTAGAGGAGGCCAATCACCTACTAAGTAAACGCCGGAGGACAAAAAACAAACGTCTAGTAAAAGGAGGAGTACTTTCTGTTGAAGATGCAGTAGGTCTCCAGGCTGTAAAGTATGGTGGTGAGCTGGCAAGACAGGAAATAGGTGAAGGTAGTCGTCGTCCGAGGAGGGCGGCAGCGCGTGAGCGACGTTGTGGCGTTTGCAGCAACACTGGCCATAATGCGCGAACTTGTACAATAGAGATAGAAACGTCTGAAGAAGAAGAATCCGATTGATTAGATTGAATTAAATGCGTTGTGGTCGAGTTATTTGACATGTTGGTTAGAAGATTGGTGAAAAGTTGCCGTTCGCTTGTAATTGCCGCTCGCTTGTGACCTACGTTACATCTTTTTTCCAGGGTATTAAGAAGACTTCTTTTGAAGTCTTCTTTAATGATCTGAACCCTAGAAAGGATAACAAGCCTAATTTAACAAATTTAC